TCTCGTATTGTAGAATATGTGATTCCAAAAATATTTTACTTAAGTAATTTTTTTTAAAAAAAACAAATATTTCATTGAAAATTGTACTGTAACTTGAAATTTAAAAAAACTATAGTATATTATACATGGATATGATGTATTTTAATACAACTAAATACTCATATTTATAGAATTTACCTTCTCTTTGAAAAATTATACAAACCTTGATTAACCAAAATGACCTTCCGGGACACCCATTAGTTGTGGCCGATAATGTTCGGGTTGCTTTGGACATGTGAATAACGCATCCACATCGACATTCAGAACTTAGTTCACTATTTGTGTATATAGGCAAAAAACCAGTACTTGAGGTGTTATTATATTTTTGGATTTGCTGTTCAACTTTGCTACATTCATTTCCAGACATTTGTTTTTCCCCACACGATTGCGTTTCTAATGATGGACCCTAAGACATGATATGATATGAAGATAACACACATACATACTTACATGCATTTAATTATTTATGTAATTTATATACTATATAGTTATTTTGTACCTACACCACATAAAAGCATTGAAAACTGAAGTAATGTTTATACTGAGTAACTATTTTATCGTCGAACACTTATTATTTCTAAAAGCATTGATATTTTTAAGGAAATTAAAAAAATAAGCAGCTTTAAAATATTACATTCCTAATATTTCTTTTTCATTTTTCATATCAAAAGGCCACGCGCCTTGCCGCCACTTAATAATGAGGCTCCATTACTCTCCCTTTATTTAAATTTAAAAGTAGAACGGGTTGACGGAATCAAAAATGTTAATATCAAAATGTATTTCAATTAATATTCCATTTATTGATGGCATTTTGTAGGTAGGTTCCTTTTTAGAAATCAAAGTAAGTAGTTGAAAAGGCCGGTTTTAACTCAAGAGCGGGAGCGGCAGCATATAATCATTGGTGTCACCGTTATCGTGCGAGTCCGCACATATGTTGGTCCAAAGATCAATTACGACCCATATCTTTCACATCTATTTACCTACATACACACGTATACACTTTGTTAATAAAATGTTGTTAAAATTTGTAAACATATATGTGATATTAAATTTAAAAAAATTGTTAAATTTAGTCAAACTATTATATTTTAAAATAAACACACACCCATCTAAGGTTATATAATATCTATTCTTATATTTATAAAAACATATTAAAACATTATGAGTTATTAGTTAACAACATTTTATTAACAAAGTGTATACGTGTATATGTAGGTAAATAGATGTGAAAGATATGGGTCGTAATTGATCTTTGGACCCACATATGTGCGGACTCGCACGATAACGGTGACACCAATGATTATATTTTTCATACCCATATACTGCATTGCTATTAAAAATACTTGTATCTTTATGTATGGCGAGCATAAGTAATACTATTAAATAATATTTTCGAATAGGTACTCGAGATCGGTACATAGTATGATAATTCTATCATCTATGGAAACGACTATATATATAGGTACTCTAATAATTATGTTATCGATATATGTGATTGATGTGTCGATACATTTTATGTGCATATGCGATAGGTAAGCTTAGTCGTGTGATATTTTATCATAGTGGTGGTGGCAAAAAAAATATATTGTTCATAGTAGCACATGTGTGTAATATTTTATCGATGTGGCGGGGGGTGTCTGATGTCTCACGATGTTGCGAAAAGTCTTGCAAAAAATGTATTAAAAATGATCGGTAATATTTGTGCATGATCGTGATCGTAGTTGGATGACCATGTCATAGGTATAGCATAGGATTTATGTATAAAAAAAAATATTTAAAAAAAATATTATGAAAAGAGGGGGTAGGTAAAATATAGGTCGATGAATAGGTGGGCAATTAGAGTGGCCATTTTAAAGTCTAGCATCAGCTTAGGCTCAGAATCATCTTATGATTTGAGCAAGATTGTGGTTGGGCAGCCATGTTATAGGTATAGCATTAGCTTTAGGCTTAGGATTAGCTTAGGATTTGATCATATTCCTGCACAAGATCGTGGATGGGGTCCATGTTATAGATATAGCTCTCACACAAAATTGAGCATGCTGCCGCTCCCGCTCCTCCTGAGTTAGAACTGTCTTTTTCATACTACTAAAGTAGGTAGTGATTTCACTCCAAAAATAAGGGTGACAAATGGAAGTGTAACCTTTTAAAGCTGCTTGTTTTTTAAATTGTCATAAAAAAATATAAAAAAATTACCCTGTATAGGTACCTACCGGACAAAATTTGGCTCCGTATTTTGGTGGGGGTGAATCACAAGTCCTATATCTGTTTCTAGTTCCTCCATAACACGTGGTCGAACATGGTGACCATTCGCTCCATTTACTCCATTTTCCGGCATCATTTTCTACAAAAAAAATAATTGAATATTTTATTATTATTAGCACCATAATTAATTTTTAAGTATCATGTATTATTAGTATATACCAGTGATCGGTAATGTCGGCACACAGTTGGTTTTGATATTTGTAAAAGCTCCGTTTATAGCTGTATTCACGTACACAAAACAATACTCAATGTATTTTTCTGAAAACAAATCGCAATCGAAATTCACACTATGACGCCCTTTAATTATTATATGCTCAGATACGTAATGCAATGTAGTGGGTGGGACCAAAGTAGAAACATCTTCTCGTTGTCGGCCAAATAATCGGATCTAAAAAAACAAGTTTATAGCATTTAAATAAAATAGGTACAAAAACAAAAAAGTTTAAAAAGTTTTTACAGAATATTAAAAGTCAAGTTAGACTTGTATAAGATTGAAACAATTAATTAATAACTCCCAAAATCTATATGTTATAATATTTTGTAGTTTAGAGCATTTAAGTACTTACTAAAATATTATTACCTATAGGTCTACAATATTTATATTGTATATTTTATATATTATATTATATATTTTAATATATATATAATATTTATATAATAAATACGTTTTTAATACAATTTTTAACATTGAATTAGTTTTTGATAATACTTTTTTTTAAATAAAATTATAGAATCAGATTGAGTAAATTTAATAGTTGACTATCAAATCATATTGGAGTTGGAAAATTATCTTTATATATGTTAGTACATACTACAAATATATAATTCGTACAAGAAAAAAACTTCTGAATATATAACGCATAAACTATTAAACATTTTATATGTAGGTAGGTAATATTATCTAATTATATATAGGTTTTTAGTCAGGGCCGGCTTGAAGGCAGTCCATAAGCTATGAATTTGATTCAATTAGATCCTTGCGTTTTTAGAAGCCTTGCGTCTAGTTCCATTTATAGAAAGACAGTAATTTCACATAGTTATTTAGGGAAATGCAAATTAAAATGAATGAAATAAGAAAAATTATTGTATCATAAAGATTTACCTACGCTGAGTATTAGAAGATAAAAAAGTAAAAAGAAGCTTATTGAGGCCCCGGAAAAATGACTGTACAGGGTCTCGATAATTTCCAAGCCGGTCCTGTTCTTAGTATACACAAGGTACATATCATTTTTTTGATCGTATTGATTCGAAAATAAATGAAAATCATATTACTCTATCTGCAGTTGGCAAGATACATGATGGGTACTGGAACATAACGGGTACACCTCCACCATAATTATCACAAGGAAAAATCGATTTGCCATGAACACTCAAATTAAATTTATTACTTGGAACAACCTAAATAAATAAATTTCTTAAATTAAACTTATTATTTCATCATTAAAATATTATTTCATCTAAGTATTCAGTACATTTTATTCATACCTCTAACTGTCCATCCATAACGTGTGTAAAGACCGATTTTCGTTCGGGTGGTCTTAATACTGCAGTATAAAAACCAGCGATACCAAAAATATCACATTTTAAAAATATTTTTCTAAATTCCGGATAACCACGAATTTGTTCAGAATGAACAATCTAATCAAATTAAACAAGTTAAAATGATTAAATGAGTGTAATCAAATTATTAAAGGAGATCTTTAAATACAATACCAAATGCTCTATAATAGAACCACGGGAAGACTCTCTGGAGACATTCTTGCATGAATTGGCAGATAGTCCACAATATATCAAATCAAGCCATAGCACGGGCACAGCAGACCCAACAGCAGGTTCACATTGAGGACCTTCAAATTCCATTACTATTACAATTTGTTGAAACGGATCTGGGTACGTGGTAATCTGTTTCGGTTCAAACGACAAACTAGCTGCAGGCCATCGAACATCAAGGTCAACAGTCTGCCCATCCTATAATAATTTATTTTTATTCATTCAATAGAAAAATTAAAATTTAAGTATTTTGATTCTCTCCTCCGAGGAAAATATTGTATATTACAAATATCGCATTTGTAATATTTTTCTTATAGGATAGGATCAGAATATTTCCACGGTATCTCTACCTGTCGTAAAAAGTCATAAATGGGGTTGCGTCAGGTCAACAACCGGTGTACAATTCGGTAAAACGCTAAGAAGAGTTCTAATAAAGACTTGGACGGATTTTCAGTTCTCGGATGAGAGCGAGGACTACGGATGAGAAGACTTAATGTGGTGCAAGGTGTTTACAGATGATACAGCTTTGAAAGGAGAAAATCGGAAAGAAGTTCTAAGGGAAATCCAGAGAGAAATTCACAGAGAATCCAGGAGGAAAACATTTTTATTACTGGCACGGGCTATGTCGAGTGACACAGCTAATTTGAAATAATTATAAAAATGTATATCCTGATTATAATATCAGTCTAAAAAATTAATCGAATATCATTCATTCACTCCATTATTATAAGTTAACATAATTTGGTATGTTTTTATTTGGTAATAAATAAATAAATATACTAATGTACACGATTTAAACATTTTATAATACAATTATCAATTACATAGGTACCTATTATCTTAAGTAATGATGTATACTTTTTAAAAGCATATAGATTTTTAATTGGTAAAAATTAAGAAGAGTTTTAAAAAAGTTGAAATTGTACTCGGACTTTCTGATAGTTATTTTCATATTTGTAACTTATATGTATATAGTTGGTAAGCATGGTATGACAGGTTTATAGCTTAGATTAGTGGTTTTTAACCTTTTATATACAACACTAACATTTATACAAATGGCAACAAACTTAAATGAATTCATAGATCTTAGTCTTCCAACATAATTCACCCAACATATGTGACAAAAATTAAAATCAAATTTTAAAAATAATTTGTTTAGTGATATATATTATGGTAATACATGGCACATTAGTGTTTTATGACACACCGATTAAAAACTATTAGTTTAGGTTGTAAAAGCAATAAATATTGTTATCTAATAATAATTTTACTTGAATTATGTCGTTATCCTCTGTAGTATCATTGGAAACTAATTGAAGTAGATAATGTCCTCCTTTGGTAATAACGCCACAATGTATAGTGACATTTTGACAATTTTCATCGATAGGTATTGTACCCATTAATGTGTAATTATTATTTTTAATTTCATAGAGCTGCACTGCACTACCTGGCTCCAATAAATTTATTCTGAGATCGTTCATTAATGCTGTATAGTTTGAAGTTACATTTAGCCATTCTTGAGCTACTACACAAACTAGAATTAAATTTAAAATGATTATAAACAATTGTATACATGAAATAAAATAAAATGTATTTCTTAAACTTGTTTTATGAAATTTATATTCACAGGAATAATGTTTTAGATTCTGAGTGGAGCGAGGAATACATTGATTTTACAATAATGTTTTTTTTCTGTGGACAACTTTTCTACCGGCAATTTTGCTCCGATTTACAATGATAACACTTTTTCTAAAAGAAAATTTGAGTGGGGTTGTACTTTAAGGAGGTGATTTTTTGATTTTCCTAGGAGTATTCCCAATGAATGGGGAAAACGTAGGAAAAACAGGAAACTAGGTAAAATATTAAACAAATATTATTAATGAAAATACATATATTATGCACATATAATTATTTAACGATAATATGACAAATATTTTGTTGACAAAGTAACACCGTCAGCCGAACTCAGCTCAGAATCATTTTTTGCTTTAGCTATGGTTAATCCTTGCGTTCTCATTTACATTAAATTTCTCCTCTACTATTTTTATCGTAATTTGGTCAAAAATAATCATAGAAATTTGAAATTTTCACATAGTACTAATATTGGTTTAATTTATTACATTTTCAATTTTTAAAACACGGTATTTTGTGTAAAGCGACGTTGTAGGGGGTAATTTGAGCATCCGAGTACAACACCGGCGGTGGCGGTTGCGATATAGAAGGAAAATTTCAGATTGCGCTTATTGTTTTAATATATACAAATTAGTATTTAATTCATAAATTAATGAGTTCTGTTGTAGTTTGTTTTAAAGAATCGTAGAAATAAGCACTGCTCAGAATTGCTTTTGATTACAAATGATTTATCGTTGCTCACAAATGTATAAATTAAATGAATCATACATTTAAAAATTCCCACCTAGCAATGGTACACCAATCAGCAGTTGCACGTTTTTTTTCTTCCAAATACGACGTATAATGAATAAAATGTACCATTTTTTTAAAAAAAATAATTGGATATTTGTATGAAGCAAAAATCTTTATTCAAATATTACTAAAAATACTTAAAAATTTTAAACAGCTATGAATAACTCGAAACATACAGAGTATAACGATCTTCAGAATATTTCGAATTGTACCATAGCTAATATAAGTATTTGACTATTATTTCAGATCTCTATAGGATCATTTTTCACTGAATTACGACGAAAAAAAAAATTAAAGATTTTTTCAGTTTCCCTACTAGTATTAAAATATAAAAGTACAAGTAAAAACAAAAATTGACCTTTCCAATACACCAACTATACAACATTTTTACCAGAAAACAAAAGTTGATGTTCGGATTAAGATTTCTATTCGGAAAATTGTTTACAAAAAAAAGGTTTCTTACCCATTATTATAAAACCAAAACAATAAAGTATTTGTGAGTACTAGTAAAGTACCTACTATTAATATTACAAATAATTCAACTTATTTTTAAAACCAATATAAAGAAAAATGCCGAAACAGATAAACGTCAATAATTAACTTTTTTTAACTAATATCTATAATTATAATAAATTGAATATAAACTTTAAAATTTAATATTCTCGATGTTATATGGATAGTGTTTATGTTATTTAAGTACAGGTATTAGGTAATAGGTATGTACCTAAAACGGTCATTGAAATTTATGTCATGGTTGTAGATATAACAGTCTTAGCCCATAGGAAACTTAAATAGCAGCAACATGGATTTTGGTATAAGAAACCTTAAAAATAGTTATTGTATAATACTCGTAAAATATTAGATAGGCCTATTTTGCATCGGCATTATTGATTACCTAATACCTTTTGATAGTAAACTAAGAAAATCGATTAAAATGTGTTGGTCACGAGATAGCATTAATATTAAATTACAAAACCCTGTATTAAGTAAAATTCACTCGTATAATAAAAATAAATGAATATAAAATTATTTTTATATTTAAAACAAGTGAAGCCACATTATTTTCATCATTGTTTTAATTTTTAAAGCACATTAACAACATTACACATTAATAATAACAGCTATTTCACTTCTAAACAAACTATCATAAAGATTATATTATAATATATATCAGGGGTGGCCAGCGAGAAGAGCTTCGCGAGCCCCCCCAATATATTAAAAAATATGAAAGAGCCGAAATAAATAAAAATGTCTTATTAATATATATATATATACATATATGATTATCGTAAATAAGATAAGAGTCTTTATACTCGACAATTAAAATAATAAAAACTTAACATCGCTCAATTTTAATGGATGATAATTTAATGGATTTGTTTAGGACTACTCTAACAACATATAATCCTGACTTCAAAAAACTTATAAAAAAAAAAGAAAAATGAACACGCAACTAATAAGATATTATTTAATAATTAAAAATATTATATCAAAAACACTATATTTTTTTGTAAAAACGTTTTGTATCTTACGATAGGATACGAGCCGCATGAATCTATGATGAGAGCCGCATGCAGCTCGAGAGTCACAGTTTGGCCACCCCTGTTATATAGTATACATTATATAAATATGTATTAATATATATTTTTAAGTTAAAAAAATCCCCAATAGAAAAAAATCCTAAAAAGACGAAAAGACGTCCTAGGATAACAGGTGCAGCCATTGTTATAGATAATTTTATGTATACCTGTTAGCAACGATAAACCATTGCTTACGAAAAAACGATTCTGAGCGGAGTTCAGTTGATAATGATGCTTTGTCAACAATATATGTCATTTTATAGTAAAATAAGTAAATAGGCATTATATATTTTCACTAATAACATTTGTTTAGAGTACCGATTTTCCCAGTTTCCCTAAGTTTTTCCCGGTTTAACTATGTTTTTTCCCGGATTTTCACATTTGCTGTTAGGAAAATCGAAAAATAACCTACTTAAGGAACCTTCTCACACCGATTTCCTTTCTGAAAAAGTGCTACACTTAAAAATCTAAGCACGTCTGTCTTCTGGTAAAAAGTTGCAAACAGATAAAAAAAAAAAAAATAAACAGTTTTGTAAAATTATAAGCTTCTTCGCTCCACTCAGAATTTAAATTACAGTAATTTTTCTGTAGTTTTAGATCTAATATATAATTTAAGAAGAAACCTATATAATTGGTTGGTAGCTATAACCAATACTTCTTAGATTCCGAGCATAACGGGGGAGCTATTGGTTTTACAATGCTGTTTTTTTTCTCTTCTTTTTTTTTTGTTCTAGTCTGTGTCCATGTTTTTTCCTAGTTAACTTGTTCTGATGTATAAATATAGCATCTTTTTTGAAAGCTTAAACTGTCTAGATTGTATTTTAAGAGTCATTTTTTGATTTTCAATGCCATTTTCTCAATAAAAGCACCCAAGTAGGAAAAAACGTGGGAAAACGTACAATTTCTCGATTTCATTATTTTATAAAAACACAGACGATGTTTTCTACCAGAAAAAATGATTTAATCGAAAAATCACAAGACACTCTTTTTGATTTCATTTCTTAAGGTATTATCGCCAACACTTTTGAGCTTTTAAGGAATTTTAATTTTTGGGAATTTGTTTTTTGTAATTCGGTTATAAATATATGTAGAGACTTTAAACTTGGTAATAATACTTATATTGGACTTACTTAGACGTGGTAAAATTTCTAAAATTATCGGACGAATTTTTTTTTTAATAAGCGTTTTGAAATCAGGTTTAAACGAAAATCGCAAAAAAAAATACGGCACTTCAAATTATGTATTACCAAACAGCGCTCGGAATCGTCAAGCAATGGTTTATCGTTGCTTAGAGATATAAATGAAATAACCTTGTGTATCCTATCTTCCTAACTTTTCACCTTCTTTCCTTCCCAACCCCGACATCAGCTCTTTTTTTAAATTTTCTTCATCCCTTAATTATATATACAATTTGTATTTATCTATAAACTAATTTTATAATGAGAAAATATTTGTTTGTATGTTTGTAATAGATAAGCTCAAAAATTATTTAGTCTATTTTAAAACTTCTGTCACCTATAATAAGCTACATTATTCCCGAGTTACATGGACTGTAATATATTTTCAAACAAATTAGAGATCCCTACAAAAATTGCAATAATTAGGTTTTTAGGTATTTTCGGTACAAATCTAATTGTTTATTTATTTTTATTTATTCATGGATTACCTTGTTTATATGGATGACAATTTCGTTTTCACGGACTAAGGACAAAAAAACTATTATTATTATTATTATTACTATGATCTACACTATTGTCCAGCAATAGAAAAGCATTGACAGACCAACTAGTTATAGATATTTTTATAAAAAATTGTCTATTCAAAATTGTTTTTAATGTTTCCAAGTTTTCGATTCTAAATGGAGCGAAGAAGCTTATTATGGTTTTACAAAGATGTTTTTTTCATTTTATTTTTTTCTATGGACAACTTTTATATCAGAGATATTGCTCCGATTTTTAAGTGTAGCATCTTTTCTGAAGGGAAGTCGGTGTGTGAAGGTACTCAAAATAATTCATTTTTTGATTATTTCAAGAGTTTTCCCAACAAATGTGAATAACGGTAAAATATGGGAAACTAGGAATATTGTTAAAAAAAACGAAAAAATCAGATGAATTTTAAACAAATATTACTAAAGAAAATAATATATAATGCCTATTTAATTATTTTACCATAATATGACATATATATTGTTGACAAAGCATCACTATCAACTGAACTGCAATCAGAATCGTTTTTTCGTTAGCAATGGTTTATCGTTTCTTACAAATATACATTAAATTCCCTTCTGTATTCTAACTTCCCAACTTTCCATCCACAATAGTGGCTACACTCGTCCCCATTATCCTAAGTCAGCTTTTATTAATTAACAATAATATTTTACGTGTATATATGTATTCTATATATAGAGATTACGGTGTTTGTTTTATCCTTAGCGTTACATGCATGATTGCAAAGGCTAAGCATATACTTTTTCACTGCACATTTTATATCAAACCATACTATATCAGAGGTATCACCCTCCTCCATCTCAATGGAACAATTTAAGTTTTGGTGGGATAGAGATGAATTTTTAATCAGCCCATTAACGGACAAATAACCGACGCTATTTTAGATTTTCTCTGAAAGACTAAATTAGTATATTTGTTTATTTTAACTCGACCAAATTTTAAAAAAAAACGTAATTAATTACTAGTACAATTTGTACATCAGAAATATAATAAATATTAACTATATATAAAAAGTTAAGTTTTAATTCGATTTATGATGTATTACCTATATGAATTCATCAATAATAAAAGTACCTTTACCTTTAATCTATTCCGCGTCTTTATCATCTTTGAAATAATATGTGATGTCTTTCAATGTTTTGCGAGTTAACTTGTTGTTATTTAAAATTTTAAGAAAAATACATTTTAGAATTTTTTTTTTTTTTCTTTAATAATGATTATTAAAAGTGTAAAAAAATGTCAGGTTAAAAATGTATATAAATAAATATCCTAATATAACTGCTAAACACTTTTTAATTTCGTACTGCTACACACCTAAAATTTCGTATTACATAAAGTGTGTCGTACTACGCAATGTTTTAATCCCTGCATACTATATATTATAATTATGATATTATTATATATTATTTGCAAATTCGTATTAAGTAAATAAGAAATGCTATTACCATCGGATTTTTGTCTACTCTCGCATATAATTTTATTATAAAATTAGGGAAATATAAATTATTAGAATATAATTAATTAATATTATATTTATACAAGAATTTGGTTCTTGTCTTCATTTTTAGATAGGTAATTTTATAAGTATTTGAACATAGAATAATAAATTAAAATACTCGTACTTATTGATAGATAGAACTGGATTAGTTATATAGGTATTAGATGTAATTTTTTGGTATGTTTGTCTGATTAATTAATTAATCATGATTAGGAGTATTGAATAATAATATTGCTTTAAATTTCAAATATCAATAATCATCTTGTGTGTTTTCACATTTAAATAATTGTAAAGTATTAAAATTAAGAAATATATATGTAGTGAATATAGGGAACATATGGGTACCGTATAAACTTGATCAATTTAATCAATATATGTAATAATATATTTTTAAAATAAATACAATAATACACATGGTACTAAATCCGAAGTATAATTGGGACTAGGTCGATTAATCAAAATATGAATACATAATAATATAAAGGTACCTTCCCCGTTTTTTTATAGCTCACTGTATATATTTGATAAAATAAAAAGTACCTATATTGTGTATAGTATACACGCGTATATTATAGGTACCTACTTTAATGGCACGAAAAAGTACCTAACTACCCAATATGTTGCGTGTGAAATGGGTATTTTTTTTTTAAACAAAGCTACTGTAAGGTCAGTTTGACATGAACCTACGGGCCACGATATAAATATTGATTTTATACCTTCGTGCTACATTATAATCTTGAGTGGGTATTCAAACTTTGACTAAGATGAATGAAAGTCCCGGACATTCTGTATAATATATTTTACGAGTATGTATGTATAAACACGAGTCGCGTGTGTTTACTTGTGCATATATTTTACTGTAGACCAGTGGTCCTCAAACTTTTTAACTATCTTAATTTGCTGATGATTTTTTTTTTTTTACTTATAAACAAAATGTTTACAAATGTTCGTTTTGTTAGGCGTCTTTCTAGATATCATCGACTTAAAATGATTTTGAATTATACTTCGGATTCCTATCGATTCTGGGAAATCGATTAAATGAAGTCATGAAGTTTTCACAGATAATGTTAAATGTTATATTGGAAGTGTGAAATCAGACGGTTCCGACAACCACTATCGCTTTATGTAAATTATTTTTTTAATTTTGTCGGTATGGCTCACGGACCATAGGTTAAGGACCTATGATGTAAATATATATAGTTATAACCTGCAGGTACTATATTTAATGGTAATCTTGTCTCAAGAGTCAAGAGTGCGCCTATTCACTATTTTTTAATTTAATGCGACCATTTTTCTAGGGTCATTTTCAACAGGGAATATTATTCTGTATAATCCGAATTTCTATTTTCAAACATAAATTTAAAATTAAAATTAAATTTGATATTGAGTTATTACGTTTATGTATAATAAGACATAAAACAAAACTAATTTTAAACTGTTATAGTATGAATCATTATTATTGTTGTGCGGTATTATTATCTATGATTAGTGTTAAAAGAATTTTGAAACTAAATTTGGGATGATAATAATTACAAATTTATATGTTTTTAATTAAATTTGAATCAAAATGATAAGTGGTAACTAAAATTACACTGTTCAAAGTTACTTGCGGAATACAAGAATACGATGTCAGAGGTGTTTAAATTTGCAAATTAAGATACTATCAGGCACGGCTGATATCAAATTTTGGCTTATAAAATCGTAGCTTCTTTCTATACGATTTTTAAATAAATGTCCACCTTTCCCACTAAGATCAAGCCCAAATTATGCTACTAGTTTGTGAAGTACTGTAGATTAGAGAAAAGTGTGCAATTTTCAAAAGTTAGCCTTCGTAAGAAAAACACACTATTTAAATTTGAATTGGAGAGGGGAGGCTGAGCGTACCTATTTGTTTTTAAAAATATTTAAGTGTATCAATTATTATATTTCACTATTGATGTTATGAATATATATTATAATATATTATGCCACAGTGGCGCCAATGTTTAAAATATATTATGACATTGTATACATCAAGGGGCCCCTCATTTTTTTTTAAACAATTGCGAATCAAAGCACCCACAAAATTAAATAAATAAGCTATATTTTCAACCCCTTAATGGCGCCCCCTAGCTACAAAATCTACTATGACGTAAGTCATAGATAGATCAGGTGATGACATAATATGGCATATGCTATGTGGACATAAAAACATTCAATTATTTGGGCATATCAATACATTTTTTACATATTTGTGTGTAGATACCCTTCTTAAATGTTTTCCAATTCAAGTACCGAATTATAAACCTATAAATGATGTATTTATTTCGTATGAAGTATAATTACAATAAAGACGAGACCGTAAAAATAGCATTTTAAACAAGATACCATACAAAGCCGGGTCTTTACATCCATAGCTGAGCTCACGTTATACTTTATTTTGCGACACAATATGCTCGCGCGTGTTCAAATTTACTCATGAGTCTTGTGCATTCGACTCACGGACATACAAATTCCTTAGAACATCTTTTGGGACGATCTTAGCATATTGCGCATTGTTCACGGACTACGGTACGTATTCGATTTTACCGTAAACGTAGTCGATCCCGTGCGCACAATTGTGATTACTAATACAACGAGCACGCTCAAGCAGTGTGGACCCGGATATAGGAATATTAAGAAGTATAGTAAATAAATAAATGTAATACAATTTAAGTTTTCACTTACCAACGGTTAAACAGGACGTAAGGTAAAATGTGCTGAGAAATAACATGTTTCCGGAATCAATCATTTTTTTTTTCTTCATTAAACAGTATTATTCATAAAGTCGATAATTTCGTCCAAACAAATACAAAAATCTAAAATGCAAAACAGTAAAGTTTAATCATACTATCATAGTACCATAATAATGACTGATGTACTTAAATAATTTTAGTCTGTTCTATTTTTACAAACAAATTCTATTTGATCATATTTACTAAAATATTTCGTTTTATTTTCTAAATATTATTGCTATGTAAATACGTAGTTTGTGAGTACTTATAATTTTATTAAGTATTCAAATCGATGACGAGTGGTTTGGTTAGAAAACAAAACTATCAAATATCTAACTAATCATAAGCACCTATATACCTATAAGATAGGTTAATGATTAAAATGATTCGTACCTAATATTTTGTTTTATTTTAACTTGTCAGATTCATCTGCGGTACATAAAATATAGAGAGAGTAATTAAAACTAATCGTTTACATGGTACCTAATAATAGTAACATTATTATAAATCATGATGATGCAAAACAACTACAACGCTAAAAATTATTGTGAAGTTTTAAATTTCATTCAAGTCTAACTATTTATATTACACCAAAACAATAGTATTATTATACTGCTATAAAAAAATTAAGTTAACAATTGATAATGGTACCTGTTCAATAAAATTACTATGTTATAATATTACACGTGCGGTGGAAAAATTAAAAAAAAAAAAATAATGCGGCGACGGCATATAGCAAACTAGTGAATGTAGACGCCAACGCTACATCACGACTAAACGGACGGACACCGTCGGGATTCCCCTCACCCCTATAACGCGTGCATTTTTCCTCTTGGGGTTTATCCACCCTCGAGCGAACGTGCGCGCGCCCGGCGGCCTTTGCTCAAACTTTTATCGACTGAACGCGTCCCCAATCGCACGTTTTACGATCGCACCGCACCGAATCCCATTGTCTGGCCACGATAATAAATAATATATTATTTTCATCCGACCAATACATTTTATACAAACCGTAACACTATACTGTGCTATACAGATACGCTTTATATAAGTTACAGCATTCTCTAACTTTATTATAATGTTATTTTCGACTTTTACCATCACCATGAACAGGTCGGCAGTCTGTCTACTGGCCATTTAATTAAGGTACTTACTTGGCTACTTATTGTTTTATTAAACTTCCGTCGTGGGTAAATAACGGGTTTAATTAAAATATAAATAGTGGGTTTTATTATACATGATGATATTAACAAGATGCATATCTCTCCATCTATTCCTTAAAATTAATCTGACGGCTATAATCGGATGGAATTGAGGACGGGATCCAGATGATCGTTTAAATGGAACATTAAATAATTAGTCATTCAGTTTAAAATTAAGATGAACAATTTGCCAATCCGATTGATAATCAGACTGTTAATCGTGAATTAAAGAAAACAGATTTCATTCTGAAGAGCCATACGATTAATTATGGACCAGGCAGACTGTTGAAAATAGGATATATTGACAAAAATATACCATGTCAAGTAAATTATCAATGATTTCAGCGTATAGAAACACCTAATATGATAACTCAGCGACGGTGAAGAAAGAATCAGTGGCGGATTTAATGGTCGTTTAGTTGGAAAATACCGATGGGGTCCCCTCCTAAATTGTGTACTGAGGCTCACCTGAATTAGGTATATAGTTGATTTTTTTTAAAGTTTGACCAAAAAAAAAAACAATTATATTACAAAATGTAATATAATTAGCCATTGTTTTAATAATAAATAATTTAAATATATAGGAAAAATTAGAAAAAGTAGAAAATGTTTTAATTAAACAAAGTAGAAAATATCGAACAAATAACTCATATACCTTCTATACCCACTACCATTGATCACAAATAATATTATTTATAAATTATAACTATAATAGATGTTACTGCAATACTACGTACTAATCTCTAAGTACGAATGTATGATTTTATAATCAATTTCACCGCATCGGTTTTCACACACAATACAAATTAAAATACACCAATAGTCAATAGATAATATATTAAGTTATTTTATATTCATTGTCCGTGTGTTTCCTTAAATGGAAACTCATTTAAAATTTTTTTAACATTACTCATTGGAAATGTGAGTACTAAAAGAGCTATGAGAGTGTACTAAGAAGATTAGAAAATTATCTTCGCTCAACTATGGTTCAAAATCGAACAAGCAATTTAGCTTTACTTTCCATGGAGTATGAAGCAGCACAACTTCTTGGTATAAACGATCTTATCAACAAGTTTTCCAACGTTATAGCTTGCAGAGATTTTCAATTTGAATTGTGTAATTTTATGTTATTTACTAACTATTAATTTTGTTTTATTTTTAAAAATGGTGTAATTTTTTTTGTTTTTAATAAGAAGATTTGTTATTACAAAATGAATATGGGTTGATTATTATTTATCGCGAACGGTTTTGTAAATTTGGGGTAAGTATATTACTTACATATTTTGTACGAGGCCCCTATTATGGATTTGCCGACTTTATTTGAACTCTTAAATTCACCACTGGACTATTTATACCTATCGATAATATTATACTAACACCGAATTAGACAATATAACACGAAAATATTACTATACATTAATAGTTACTATTAAAAATAGTATAATATGCGGGTTAGAGACAGGGGAGGTAACTAAAGAAGCTAATTGATTAATCTGTTAAACCCATTATTTTTGAAACATTATATTTCTGTCTAAATATGTAAATGTTTGAAAAGTAAATTCTACTGAAAATTGCATTTTTCGAGCCATCCTTCGAAAGTGGTATATGCACGTGTGAATTCATTCGCAATTCACTGGATTATTATTTATTCAGCATAATTTAATAGTATAGGTAATGTTGTATATTAAGCATTTACGACACGACAAGCATTATACGTTTATGTTATATTAATTATAAGTATAACATAATCTTGTGGTTTTCAACCTTTTGAGGCCCACGGCTCTTCTGATTTTGAAAACCAAATTAGCGGCTCCCTTACGAATAATTATAATAATAAAAATTAAAATAAATAAATTAACTGCAATACTCTACTATGTTTACTTACTATAAGTGCGGTTTCCTTGATAATAAACCATAACGCCCCTGGGAGTCACGACGCACAGTTTGAAAGCCACTGACATAATCATAGCATATCATATTATGGTGGGGACTGTCCATCGTTGTTCGTCTCGCAGATAATATTTATAAAATTTCATTCCGACTTATACCATTATCAATAAAGGACAAATTAATATGCGTGAGTTATTATTCATATTAATAATACTTAACAGGTAAAATAAAATAATTATCATGACAAATAATATGAGCTGACTCGTACATCAACTGAGCTAAACTTGTATATGCTATACAAAGTTCCTAAATAATCATAATTCGTTTTACAATAGAATTATTCGAATATGTACAATTATTGAAATATTAGATAGTATATATTATTTTATAGGTTTAGTTTGAATATACTAACATATAACGTCAACTTAACATTTGATTTTTAAACACTTTCTCATCAAGGTGATTTACTATTTTATCGATTTATATTTGAGTACAATTTGTATATTTTTAATTGTATTTATGAGATTTTTGAAATGAAGTCCACATAATTTTTTATAAGACTTTATATTATTATCTCCAATAATTCTTTTCGATTCTATTCTCTTTATGAGGCATTGAGACCCCACGCTCTTTACTACTATAATGTTTCATATCTTTTTTTAGATTCAGCGCATAGTGAAGATTTTATTGGTTTTACTATAATGCATATGTTTTTTTCCTATCTGTAAACAACTTTTCTACCAGAAAACTTGCTCCGAAGTATCAAGCACGGCACCTTTTATGAAAGGTAATTTTATTTAGTTGGTATATTGGGAAGTCATTTTTAGATTTTCTAAGGGGTTTTCAAAATAATTGGGAAAAAGACGAAAAAAAATTATAAGCAAAACGGCCAATATTCACGGTGCGTCACGACGTTATCGGCTTTTTATTTTCCAAGTAGTTTTCATATTAATTTTGAAAACCCGAAAAAAGATGAAAAATGAGAACTGATAAATGTATGGCACTAGGATTCCTTTCTTTTAAATTCGTATTGTTTTTACCAGAAATATTGCTTCAATATAAAAACAACAAGAGATTTTTTTTTATTGAATTTTTAATCTTGTTAGTGATCAAGAAAGTTATTTTTTGATTGTCTTTGTAGTTTTTTTAATAATTGAGTAGAATAGAAAAATATGCAGAAAAAAAATGAAAATATACGAAAATAATTCTTTTACTATTTTAAATTTAACTTTTGTAATAAAATTTAGTTAAACATATTTGTAGAGACTTGAAAATATTGACAATAAATTTATATTTGCTTTTTCTAGACGTGGTAAAATTAAAAATATATTTTATCCATTTTTTAACTATTTATAAACATTTTAACTTAATGAGTTTTTTACGTACTCTGTGTGTACAATTTTTAGACTAAACAAAAATAGTTGAAAATTTGACAGGTGGTACATTATAAGTTGTACTTAGTGGTCATTAAAAAATCAGTGTTATGTAGTATATATATATATATATATATACGTTTTTATAAGAGTTTTATGATAACATTTTTACGAAACTCGTAAATATTACGGCCTTTCAAAACATGTATAGCCGAACTTGGCTCCGAATAGTTTTATCGTTGATTACAGGTATAAATTAAATAACTTTATGTATGTCACCTTATCAGCTACCCATCTGCAACAATGGCCGCAGCAGTCCCCAGTATCAGCTTTAGTGTTTCATGATCATGTTTTCATGTTTACACCGACAGCAGAGGAGGATCTGTTTTCACAATATTTCCCAACTGCTGCCATCGTTTATTAAAGAATATAATTAAATATCAAGTTAACATTTTCCTCTTCGTGGGGTAATATACATCATCCCCTTACAATATGCTAGCTTAGGCCTAACCTGCACGCAACTTTGTGTCTGATTCTTATCCTATGCCTTTAGGCATAAAATACCCTCTGGCCTCTACCATGGAGTAGAAAGACTGAGTGCCATGAACAGAAGCAGCCATGAGTTGATTATTCATAATGTGGTTTCGGTCCCGGTGCGGAATGTCCGCTGGATAATGACAAATTATAGGTAAAACGGCAAATATTTATAGCGCTCCACGGTGGCCTAACCTAACCGATTTTATTGTTTTTAATTTTTTCAACTTATGTTTTCTACCAGAAATAAAATTTCAAATGATAAAAGATCGATTTTGTTTCTTTTAATATAATATACTATGTAGCCATTGACAAAGAAAGTTGTTTTTTGATACATAAAGTATTTTATATAGACTCCACCACTATTAAAACTCACGTAGATATGTATACAAATGTAGGTGCCACTTCGGTAACATTAAATAATCAAAGTTTTATATTTGTTATTAATTTTTTTTTTCTTTTAATTGTGACGACTATTTTAAACTTACAGTATAAACATTGATTTATATGTTTTACATGCTCATTTTCTGTTATTACTGTGACTCAATGTTTGCCGATGTCATTAAGTTTCTGCTGGAAAGCACTTTGTTGTGATATTTTGTACCATGTTTCTTTTCCTCGTTGCAATTCACCGATTGTTAAAAAAGATGACCACGAATTCAATGAGTGAACCTCACTTTCCTTGCTAAATTTTTTGCCTGCGATCTTCATTCGTAGTTTGGAAATGAAGCGTTGAACCCACGCCGTTCGTGTCGTTAACGTGTCCAATTGGAATACCGCTCCAGAAAGTGGTTCTTCTCTTCACACATGATAAATACAAGTTTATGGCTCTTAATTTCCGGAGGATCATCCATAATTGGTACGTCACTAACTGGCCACTCATGCCTAGATTTTGTCATAAACTCTAGGCTCGACCGCCACATTTACGAATCCGTCAATCGTTTCACCGTTATGCTTCTTGAAATAAAGTCGGCGGAGTTATCCAATGTACTCACGTGTCTCCACTGTTTGAAGTTTGTGACATCGTTTATTTTCGATACTTGACTACCCACATATGTTACCAGCGTCCTGGACACTCTGTTAATCCAGGTTAATACAATACTGGAGCAGTAAAAAAATTGATGTATTTATCCCTAGTGCTTGTCCATCTATACTAGTAAGTTGAGCTGGTAATACTGCTGCATTGAGCTCAATTCGAGGAATAGTGGTGTGTTTGACAGATGCTACCCTTGATTTGGTACAAATAAGGCGCTAAATCCATGATCCGTCATGTTGTTCTGACCTCACATAAATACATGCGCCGAAAGCATATTGGGATGTATCACAAAATCTCACCATTTCCATTGTGTTATCTAACTTCTTTGCACGCCGTGGAACTATGATTTCCTAAATTCGAACAAGTTCAACTGCGTACGATTTCCAGCGACGTGAATGTCGCTGCTTAGCAGTTCATCCTATGACACTGTTGCATGAATATTTTACCTTTGATTATGACAGGACCAAGCAACTCCAACGGAACGAACTCCTTTCTCAATTCTCCAAGTATCATGCGCTTCGTGCACACAGAATGCAATCTACTGATTTGCGTTTTAAATTGTAATTCGTCAGTTCCTGGATGTCAGCTTAGACCGAGGGACTTCAAGGATCGAAATTTGGTTGGTCAAATTCACTATAAATTGTTCATCTTGTAAACGTTGATGTTACCCCAAAACACGTAATAACTCCGTAAAATTTGTACACCACTTTCTCAGATCCAAGCCCTGCACGACTTCAGATTGTTTGTATCCGTAAAGAAATATCAAATAGTAGACAAATTTTATTTTGATATCACGGTGAATGAACTACCTACTCTATTTATAAAATGATTTTTCCCGAAGGAAATCATTAATTGCTTAGATAATATTGTTGGGTACCAAAAATAATATCAGATAAATATTTCATTAGTATATCCAAAGGGTATCATTGTTGTAGACTATGGTAGTATACTTGTTACTTTACTGTATCCTCTAAACGGTGAAGTGTGTTGACAACACACCTAGTCGTTTCAACCTCAAAAATAAGGGTGACAAAAATGATGGTAATGTAACATTTTAAAGCTGGTTTTTTCTTAAATGTTTTTAAATTTAAAAAAGGTTTATTTCTCTTGGTGTAATATAAATGACCCCCCCCCGATTTTTCATAATGCCGTCCCTGAGAAAATCGTCTAAAAGAAATATTGAATCCATACATTTCATAATCAATAAGCAAAACAAAGTACAGATTATCTACAGCTAAAATATATAAATAATACAATTTTCTTTCATAAAAGATGCTACAATTGATACATCAGACCAGAGCAAGAATTCTGGTTGAAATTTTGTACGAAGTATAAATAAATAAATCACTGCTAAAACCAATATATTCATCGCTATGCTTTAAATCTAAAAGTTAGGATATATTTTTATATAAAAATTGTAAATGAAATGTGTAGTTTATTATTATAAGTGTCTTGTAAAGGGGATTGTGGTGACATTACACCCATGGGTCTGTGATGTGTCTATAATTTTAGCACTCCCAAAGTCGGTGGTCTAGTCGCGTCTATACCTTTATTCTAGTATTTCATTTAAGAATATTCAAACTTTAAAACGCATTCGCAAACACACATGACCGTGAACGCGAACGCTTTTTTAATTCGGAGTATAGCGAAGAATACATTGGTTTTATGAAGATGTTTCTTTTTTACTGTGTACAAAAATTCTAATAGAAACCTTGCATTGAAGTATCAAGTATAGCACTATTTCTGAATGAGAATTTTTCTGGGGAAGGGAGTCTTGAATTTCCAAGAAGTTTCTCAATAAATGTGAAAAACCGTGAAAAAGTACGAAATGTAGGTATTGATTAAAAAAATATTACGGCCTTTTTTTCCAATGAAAAACTTTTCTACCAACAATTTTGCTCCGATTTAGAATAATAGCACTTTTTCTGAAAGGAAATTTGTCTGCGCTGGTACTATAGGGAAGTTATTTTTCGATTTTCCCAGTTTTCTAATAAAAAAAACGTGTTAAAACGGGAAAATAGATACACTATTAAACAAATATTATTAAATAAAATATAAAATTCATACATAATTGTTTTACCGTAATGTAACATATATTGTTAACAAAGCAACATTCTTAACCGAACTTCACTCAGAATCGTTTTTCATTAACAATTATTAATCGTTGAATACAGTTATACATTAAATTGCCCCTCTATCTTCCCAAATATTTGCCTACAGTAGTGGTCAGTGACTTATACACATGCGAAGTACGCCAGTCTTTTAGATTCTGAGTGGAGCGAAGTTTATTTTTTATTTTTTTTTTCTGTGGACAATATTTTCAACAACAATTTTGCTCCAACTTATAATGATAGCAATTTTTCAAAATTGAAATCGTACTGGGGAGATAATCTAGAGCAGTCGGTTTTTGATTTTCTCATGAGTTTTTCCAGCAAATGTGAAAAACCAGGAAAAAACATGAAAAAAACCCAGAAAATAGGTACATTAAACAAACATTATTAAAGAAAGTATATATACAGCCTATTTAATTATTTTACTATAAAATAACATATATATTGTTGATAAAGCATCACTATTAACTGAACTCAGCTCAGAATTGTTTTTCGTTAACAATGGTTAATCGTTACAAATAGATATTTATTAATTTACCTATAACAGTTGCTGCATCTGTTCCCATTATCCTAAGATGTCTTTTTAAGTCTGGGTTTTCTTAAATAAAATAAATAAAGCAGAGATTCTCAAAAATTGTATGGTACGACTCATTTTGGCAATTTGTTTGTTTGGCGAACAATCAAATAGAAATAATATTTCTTTTGTTCATATGATCATAAATAAATAAAACTTACTGGTATAAAAAACAAAAGTACACTTGCGGACTTACTGTAACATCATATATCAACTTAATTAACTATGGTAAACTGTGGTAAAAGTATATAACTAATTTAATACATTGAAAGTAAAATTATAATTGCTTAATTTATATTTAATGTGAAAGGTATGATTTTTTTTTTTAGTTTTCTTGATTATTGCATTGATATCCATTTCACACATATTTTATAATGTATATTACAATTAATATGGGTTTTTTAAATTTCACGACAGAAAAAAAAGGTAATCTAATGTTTTAATATTTTATATTCTAATACAAAAATAATATATGTATGTATATTTTACAAACTATATGAGTCACCAAAAATATAATCATGATAGTTAATAACATTGGAACTGTGGCAATACTTATTTATGTAATTCAAAGAAAAAACAAGGAAAATTTAGGAATTTCATCTACTGCCCTTACAATGAACTAAATAAATACAATTTGTTACCTTTCGTCAATTGGATGTTCTCGATAGGAAAAAGTTTTCTGTAAAATTTTTGTTCACAGAAAAAAATAAGGCACACAGGCATGGCTAAAGTGGTAAACGATATAGGCTCACGCCTAGGATGGCATTTAAAATTGTTAACGCAGTATTTACATGTATAAGAGATGACAAAAGTTAAGTTTGCTTAGTTGTGTTTAATACTGGACCTAGGCCTGAAGGCACACTTAGTAAAATCATTATTGGAGAGTGGATGTTTATACTAAAAAAAAAAAATGAAAAATATGCATCAATAAAATTATTTATTTAGAACTTATTTTATTTATTAAAAATTATTGTTATAGTCATGGATTTTCTGAATTGTTTTACTATAAATTTCAGGAACATAATTTTTCCTTAACATTCGTTTGGAATATCATGCTTTATATATTTGCTTAAAAATTTTCAAAAAGCTTTATTGCTAATTTTTTTAATGAGCTATTGGCATTTAAAAGCACAGAATACATATCCTTATGAAAACTAAATTTTTTTAAATATTTTAAACAAGTTGTTGTTGGTTAATTATTGACAATGATTTATCTTTGAAATTTTCAATATGTTTATTTGTACTAATAACTAATAAATATTGGTAACCATTTACTGAAATATTACACAGTGTGTAGTATGAAACAATTAAATCAGTAGTAAACAATTTGAATTTAGAAACAATATTACGTAGTCGCGACAATAAGGAAATTTTCGGCATTTTGAAATAAATAAGTAAAAAATATAGATGTGAAAAACTGTTCAATTTTCGAACCAAACAAATACTTAATAGTTCAGTTCAAGTCATTCGTTGCAGATTCTGTGCAGTCACCAATACAATATTCTGTGATAGAACACATTACAAAAAAGACAATTTTTATTTTTACTCTTTAGTGGGTCTCATAAACGTAAATTGGTAAAGGTCATAAAAGTTAACCTGACTTTTTTAGTTTTTTAATGTTCGAGTTCGATAAAACATTTTTAAGTTTGGTTCAGTTCGGGTTCAAATAAAAATGTGTAGGTTCAGTTCGGGTTCGTTAATTTTAAGGGAAATTTGGTCAGACATTAAAAATCAGAGTTTGTATAATCTCAATATAAAGCTTTATATAATATAGCAACTTACTTCAGACAAAAATGGGAACACAACTAAAATATTGACAAAAATTAAATCGTGGCAATTAATATTGTATCAAAAAGTACTATCGCAGGTTTTTCCATTTATAGTAAAAATAATCGTTGTATGTGATTGGTACTGATTATTAGATGTTATATATTATGAAAAACTTCAAACATGCACTTAAAAGCATGAATATAAAAATATGATCAATCAAGTAAAAATCAAATAAATATGCAAAATTAAATGAGTAATTTGAATTCTTTGAGTGATGAAACACATTTCTATCTTATTCTGCATTAATTTAGATGTTATAAAAATATATGACAAATGCATAAACATCCGCCATCTAATCATTATATTTCTTTCTTTGCTCAAAATCTAAAATAATATAATATGAAATTGAATGTTTATATGACAAACGTTATAACCAACACATATTTTTGTAAACATAAATATTATATCAATAGTAAAATTATCATTATGTATTTATATTTTATTTTCTAGGATTGAAATATTTATATATATAAAAAAAAAAAAATCTAAACCAAATTTAAACTATTTACAATATCTGTCAGCTTTTGTTTTTGCTCTTCTGTCTAATAATGATTCATGCAATCTTCCATCTTTTTGAGCTTTTTTCAATTGACAATGATTGCCTTCAATCATGCGCATCTTTTTATCTTGAAATTTTTGAAACATTTTCCTAAAAAAATAATCATTATGGTTATAGGTTTTTATAACAATACCTAATTATAAATATAAAAAATAATTTATAAATTTAATTAGTAAATAAAATTATCATATTTTAAGTTTTTCAGTAGACCATTGCTTTACTACAAATTTTCTACATTAAGCATAATAAAAATATAACAAAAGATCAAATGATAAGAATAAATATTTATCTATTATAAAAATAATAGTTGAATATTTAATAAATCTTACAATATTATAAGTTTTTATAATGCCAATTTATGACATTTTTTTTTTTTTTAAATTTACACCTAAGTATTATATTAGTAGATAATTTAAGGGGTGGATTTTTTCTTTCTTAAAATACTTGTTTTAATAAAAAAAACCACTAAAGAACATATTGTAATACATAAATATCAAAGCGTGAACGCTACCTGGTTTTTAAGTAATATTTAGTCTAAATATTTATTAAAATATAAATGTTAAATTTATATTCATAATTCTAATAATCCTAATAATATAGACCTACTCCGTGGACTTAATAAAATCAATTAATCAACTGACATAAGTATAATTCAAATTGCTTACACATAATTTTTTTCAATATCTTTAATATTTCCTTTCTTTTCATCTAGTTTATCAATTTCTTCTTGTGTGCTTTCAATAGCATGAAGTCTAACTTTGACCAATTCATTAGGTCCAGCAATTCGATTTTTCGCAACCAAAGAATCATCTTCATCACGAATACATATAAAACACCCAGTGGAAGCTAATATTGCCAGTTTATCATCCTGTAATTCATTAATAAAATAAAATAATTAAACAAAATTGTAGATACTTCTTAATTATATAAACTAAATATTTACATATGTATTATATTGATCAATTAAAATACAATTTTTTTTTTTTAAATAGTTAACTGTGCTGGTTTAATTACTTGGAAAACCGGCTCAAACTGTTCTAGAGGGCCGATAGCGTCAGACCTTCCAACTATAGTTCCATCTTTATCAACACTTAAATATTTTCCATATCCAGATTTTAAAGCAATTTTAGTTTCACCGACAATAATAGCTGTTAAAATTTCTTCAGGTAAAGGAGGTTCTCCTGTATAGTATCAATAATATATATATATATTAATTATTTATAAAGATGTTATTGTTTATACTATATTTAGATAATATAATAAAAACTGAGTTTTATTTACAATTCAGAATTGTTTATTTTTAATTTAGGGTGTCTATCACATAATATAAAAATCATAAAATTTGATATTTATCAAGTGTCATAAATAAATATGTTATAATACTATTTGTTGTTATTTACCATTACTACAGAATAGATGAAATTTAAATTTCAGATATCACTTATTATGTAATCTATTCAGTGAGGGTTATACAAGTATACATCCGTAGTTTATATTAATATTATCATATTTTATATCTTGTACTGTGTTAACAAAAATTAAAAAATTGGGATTGCATTATTGCAATAGGTTATTGTAACATATTGTGATAATTTATTTATGACAAAGTAATCCCAACACTAAATAAATTCTAGACAATATTATCATTAAAATAACATGTTTTTTTTTTTTTTTATAATAGAAGGAACAAAAATTTGCATTAGTGTTCTCCATAAATATGAACTCTTTACCATTCCTCAGTCTTATATTTTAAAATATGAAAAAAACGTGTCATTTGTTTATTATAACCAGAGCTAGGATTTATATGCAACAGCATGTTTTTTTTGTGACATCTGATTATTGATTTTGTCCGTAATTTCCACGAATCACCTCATGATGAGATAAGTGGCGATGTTTTTATTTTGCATGTTTTTGCATAATTTGGATAAAATGCATATTATTGCATATATTGAATAAAATGAATATTATTGCATATTTTGATTATAAGAATGCGAAAAATGCATGTTTCACAGTATATTTTGTAATTAATATTTCGTATTTAATTCTAGCCCTGCTAATTAAAGTAAAAAACTTGATTTTTAGTCAAACATAAATTTTATTTTTATAAATACGATTCTATGGTACAATAGGTATGCGATAAAAGATTGAATAGTTTGACGAAGAAAGACTTTATGAAAGTCTATAGATTATTAAAAATTCTAGGAATCAAATTTTTGAGTGTAACGGAAGAGTCGCAGATAAAGTTAAAAACAAAATATCTCTGGTTTTACAAAAAAATAAAGGATTTAAAACTCTAAAATCAATAAATATAATATTAAATGGCGAATCGGACAAGGACAATTTCAGTTGTAATTTAACACCAGGAAAAATTTCTTTATTTCAATATATGCTAACTACNTCCATTATTGAATGTGAATTATAAATTTTATTTCCAAATTAATTTATTTTATTTTATTTCTCAATAATATTATATTAAGACAAACAGCCAATCACTAATGTATTTCAATAAATAAATACATTTTGTAGCTATATTTTTGTATTTATCTTATAAAAATTTAAATGCATATTTTGGTAAACAAAAAAGCATATTTTACAATGTTTTATTGCATACAAATCCTAGCCCTGATTATAACTCATAATGGATATTTAGTTTGTAATCTATGTAACAATTAAACTAACCTAACAATTCTCAAATTTTATTATTGTGTAGAATGTCAGAATACTAACCTTCATTATGGGGAGGACTGAGAGTGAACAATCCATTATCCATAGCAGTTACATACGTCTGAGAACCAAATTCTAGAGCTACTGGTCCTGAAATATCGCTTATCACTTTAGCTTCGGCCCAGTTTCCTAAAGAAAATTTTAATTTTATAAATCCAAATACTTTTTGAACAGAAATAATTAAGGAATGTACCATGGTTAATTTTATCTAGATTTTCTTCAACATTCGCTTTTTCATCTTTATTCTTGGATTTATCCTTTTTTTTTTTTTTTCTGAAAATAATTTAAATATTTAAAACATTATCTTTATTAAACATGGGTACCCACATTATACATAATATATATTTATTAATTATAAATTAATTTAAATAGCTGGAGGATGATTGATTCTAAAATAAGGATGACAGATGTCCCATATAATATGGAAATGTTCTTTTATTTGAACTAAGTATCCCGTTGTCATGACAATTTTCAACCTTCTATATTGCTATGCCCTATGTCTATTATTTATTTTTAATATTTAAATATTATTATAATGTAAATTAAAAGGATTGACTATAAGAAATTTATCAAGTACAATTTTATTTCAGAAATAATTTCTTGGAGGAAAAAAGGATAATATAATTACATGATTTATAACACAAATGTTAATATTTACTCACCTCTCATCAAAATAAAAATCAAGGTAAAAAATATTCTATACTTACTATAGATACAAAAATGATAATGTGAGAAGAAAAAAGAGAAAGAGGATTGAAAATGAAGATAGTCAATAAAGAATGTAGGTTTCAGTTTAAATGAAAGTTTAGGGCAAGGGTGGCGGCTAACCCAAATAATTGGGATGAAGGCAAATGAGAAAACCTATAGCTGAATAATTAATCAAATTATTTTAGATTATTACATTCAATTCTAATTTATGTATTTTTTTTTTACCTTACATTTTCAAGTTTGAAATATGTCATTCCTATACTAAAGTAATAACTAAATAAGTACATATATCACACCTATTAAAACAAATTATAAATATCTAAGTAAAGCAAGAGATCAGTTTTTTTTTTGTCAAACGTTAAAACCTAAAAAATGTATATGTTATTTATTAAATATCATTTCAGAAACTTACTTGATTTTTTCATTTTTCAAGACTAATTTGGAAATCCGAACTTTGTTGTATTCAGACATTATTAAAATTAATAATAAACCAAAATATAAATTTCAAAATAATAATTATAAAAAAAATTAGGTGAGTAAATAATATTTTTTTTTGGTAAATAGTGAGACAGTCATAGATAAGTACACGAATTAAGATATACAAGATACAAAACGAGAGGCTGTTATCAGCAAACTATTGATTTCGATGGTTCTTTTCCATTGAATAAACGTTGAGCGCCATTGAAGACATCATTAACGAGTGCTAAAGGGACTGGTGTCTATTCACGAAAGAAAGCTAAGCGGCTGACATCTGGTGGTGGTGGCATGAAACATTTTAACGAGGCCGACATGAAAACTGAATATTTGATGAAATATAAAATATTGCAAATTGGTTTACCCTATTTGTCATAAATCGTAATAGATCGTAAACCACACGTTGTGTTTTAATTTTATTACATTTTCGCATTTAGTAGCTACCAACCCATAATTATGGATCATGCTTATTGTGACACAACACCAAAAACCCCCAAAAAATATAAATATTGCTATGTTCCACAATGTAAAATAATGTAAGATATTAACTTATTTCTACTAAATTTATAAATTTTAGTCTCGGTGTAAACATATTCAAAATAATTATTTGATTTTCATTCAACAGTTAATTACCAAATGAATGTAACTTTTCACACTTTTCCTAAAAATTTTATCCTATAAAAGAAATAGGAGCATGCTTTAAAAATGAAAATTACTAATTCTCCTACAAATAATATTAATTTATGCGGCAAACATTTCATTAAAGATAATTTCTTACAATTTACAACAATTAATTATTATAATTAAGAACTAATTCTCAAATTCTCGAATACTAACAATGTGGTTACATTTTATTTTTGAGTACCCTCAATCAAGTACAAACATTTATTTTTTCTATTTGATTAACTATTTTAAAATCAAATAAAATAAATTAAATTATTAATAAAAAACAAATTAAATTAATTATTGGCATTGTGAAATTGATTATTATCAGTTATCAACATAGACTTTAGCCCCGTTAGTAACGACAGCGCCTCTATATTTGCTTTCTATTACGAACTGCGAATGCGTATCAGTACTCGTCGAATACTTATCGTATAATAATTACCACCAGACAGTGATTATAGCATAGATGATAGGCACAGTTAATATCTATTAACCGTGGATAACAGGTACATCATATGTGATTAAGTGAATTCGACCAATTGCGCGTGATATAAATTATGCACATTAGCATTTTTCGCAACTCTCCTTAGTTATGTTTGATTTAAATATTTAGTCAATAGCTTTATCCATAGTTTATGAACTAAGATTAGCACCATCGATAATTCTTTATTATCTATAATTATCGCAAATTACTATTTATCAGAAGAAATTTTTATATTTTGAGGTTAGAATAATGTATTTATTACTGTTACCACAATGATTCATGCGAAACATTTTATTGCATTCGATAAATGATACAATTTTATCCAAACCCGTTCAAGAATATCTACGGTCTTAGATTATTATTAAAAAAAATATAATAATGTATAATTTTTTTTATAGAATAGGTTTGGATACTCGCATTCCATCATTTTATCATTTTATCACATTCGATAAATTCAAAACTACAAATTTTATATATCTATGAAAAATACTAATCTGAATCTCACGAACATGGAATATAAAAATTCGCTGTATGATAATGTTCTATCGTTTGTTCCATGATTTCCAGGAATGAACTTCCAATTCTCATATTCCATTGTCTTTTTATCCTTAGATGAAAATAAATATTTACACCTAAATCTATCTTTAAAATTATTTATGCTTTTGCTTATCACTTTGCTGAAGTTTTGCTGTTGAACGAATAATTGTTTTGGGTTAGTGGATTCTGGATACTGACGTACAATTATTGTCTAAACGTAATAGTGATCTTTGTGCCAGCAATGTTATTGAAATGATTTTTCATATTTACTACTTAAAGCTGTGATGTACATTGATAAACGATAATTTTACGAAAACCAATAAATTAATTTGATTGTAAGTATACTATTAAAACATCAATAAAATCATAACTAACACAAGTTATTGACAAATAATCGATCTTTTGTTTTATAATTATTTAATATTTATTAATATATTATATAGACCATGATGGTAGATGAACAAAAAGAACTAGAAGATCAAGAAATCATTGTTAATGAGGTTGACGGATTACCAAGCTTACTAAATGATAAGAATGATTTATATAAAGCTATAACTTCAGAACAGTCATCTATAGATGATCTGAATGATGAAGATTTGCCTACATCATTAATTGTAACTAATATCGATCCTGCTATTTTTAAAGATGATAATCTAAAGGTTGGTTTATTACCATAAAAAAGTATAAATAAATTGTTTAGACAAAATACTATTATTGTTTTGCAGAAGGAAATAGAAATGTTGTTTAGTCGTTTCGGAGAGATAATTTCTGTTCAATATTTCCGTAGCTTCAAACGCCTTAGGGTCAACTATGGTACTTCAGCATCTGCTGCCAATGCCAGAATTCAAATGCATCAAATAAGGTTCTATGATACAATAATCAACTGTTACTTTGCACAGGTATATTATTGATCTTTATTGATAATATTTGTCAACTTTAAATATTTATATTCAATATTTGTATTAAGCCTGTTACACCGATTGATGCTGCAGATCAACATTTACAATTACCAGCGCCGGTAAAACAATTTTTGATTTCACCTCCTGCATCTCCGCCAGAAGGTTGGGTTCCCAGGGCTGAAGGCGAGCCTCTTATTAATTATGACTTACTCGCTGCTATAGCAAGTCTTACACCTGGTAAATAAATATTAATATTTTGTATTGCTAGGTAATATACTAATCTCTCTTATATATCTCTATATATATATCTTTTATTTTTGAAAGAATAAATAAAAATACAAATTTATTTGTATCTTTAGATAAGAGATTAACTAAATTTATTTTACAATGGTTGGTTTATTTTTAAAACTACATTTTTATACCATTTTAGTATTTGGATTAATATATGATTTATTATTATTTTATTATTTGAAAATAAATTACAACAATGTTGGTATTGTTAACTAAAAATTAATAATTTTTCTTTTTTAATTAAAAATTTTACATTTAGAGGAAATCAAATTTAATTGTTTATTTTCATTTCTCATGTGATAATAATACAATATATTCAAACATAATAAAGACTAAATAAATATTAGGTTATCATCATATAGGTAAGTATAATTACAACAAATGTCCATATTCTCAAAATTTGATTTCTTTATTTTTTATTACGATTTATTGTCTATCTATCATATCATAGAGCAATTTAGTTTTGTTATATTTATATTGGTTGGTTTTTATTAGGAATGCCATAAGGATCATAAACAGTTTCTTTATTATAGAGTGATCTTTATTTATGATAAATATTAAATAAATTTACCCACTTTTTATATTAACTTAAATACTTTTTTTTTTAAAAAAGAGTTTTGAAATTAAATTTAAACGAAAATTGCAAAAAATTACGATATTTCAAATTATATATTACCAAACTAAGCTATATTCGCGCATTGGAGTATCATTTGTGTGGCGACCCCGGTCTGCGGTGTTTCATTAGTGCATCACTACTTTTTCCCTCGACCTAAACTTAAAAGTAGAATATTTTGTTAATGGGTTGACAGAAATTAAAAATATTGACACCAAAATATATTTAAAGTAATACTCTGTCTATTTATGGAATTTTTAATATAGGTTCTCATTTGAAAAACCAAAGTTGATATCGCCACAAGATACTCCTTATGTTATAAAAAATCTAACTATTCCAAAATATTGGCTTTAGTTACATTTAAAAATTCCAAAAATCAGAATTTGAGTATATGTAAAATTGAACCAAATAAATGGGGTAAGCACGGGTGAATCACCCTGTATATACTAGTAAAGATCTCCCCCCAATTTTGAAAAGATTGAAAATTACTTGTGGGCCTCATGCCTTGAATTATTTTGAGTTTGTGCATTATTGACCTAAACAACAAGTGTCTACTTTTTATTGGATATAATGAAAGAATACTGATGTTTTTCAAATGTATTTTAAAATTCCATTGTATTATTTTTAACCATAAAAAATTATCTTTAAATGTTATAATATTGTGCTGTAAGTCAATAAATTCACTTTTCAACAAACCAATATTGCAATTACAAATATTTATATTAAATATATATTTTATTACCCATTGATTTGAAATAAATTGGAATACATTACAAGTTTATTTTATTGAAAAGACTGTTCATTTAATTTTTAATGCACCTAATAGTTAAGATATTGTGGTTTTAAAGTTTCTATATCAGTATCACTAGAGAAAACATTATTTTCTCCTATTTAAATTGATTTTAGTAATACTTGAAAAATCTGTTAAATTGGATTTACTATTTAAAAGTTTAGAATGTACAAATTTTATAACTCAGTTTTAGAACAAGCTGCACAAATTTATTTTAAGGGAAACACTGGGTACAGTTAACTGTACTACGTACAAAATTTAGAATACTGCTTTTTTGGAACCTTACTCCATGATCAAATTGAATCCTGTAATATAATTAGACTTGGAATTAGAGGAGGATCAAAAAGGCTCAGATAAACATACACATTGCGTGTTCACAATAAAACTTGACATACTACTGTGGGCTCACATATCTATATCTGTTCTCAGAACCTTAAATTTTAGTACCAGAATGATAGATTTGATTTAGATGTAAAATATAACTAAAATATTGATATGTTGTATATATGGTCACTTTTATTCGTCTTAATAATATTTTATTCAAAATTATCAATATATGGATGAGTCCAAGATAGAAAACCATTAGTCGTGTAATTAAAAATATTATAATATAGTAATAGTATATTTTATTACTATTATAGTTAGAAATAAAGGATAATTGTATGCCTATTTTTTCAGGTCAACCTCATGAAATTCATGCTGCAACTGATACTTTACCAGGCATTGTTCTACATGTGGCTGAGGGGCATGAAAATAATAAAACAACGGTTAAAATTCCTCATACTAGGTTACCAGATAAATGAAATGCTATTTTATTATCTAAGTTATTTTCTTATTAGATAACTAATGTCTCTATGTATGTTTAATGCTGTTTTGTGTAATTTCTTTGATATTTTTAACTATGTATCATCTTTATGAACATACCTTTTACAATTTGTATTTTTGAATTATTTTATGTAGTATTATTATTTAAATTAGAACATTATTTTCAAATGGTTGTATATTTAAGATAATCTATAATCATTTTAGTATTTATTTCCTTTAAGACTGTCAATAAAATTACTTAACATAAATTTTAATTTTTAATACATGAGTGTGTAAAATATAAATTCTAATAAAATTATGTAAACAAGTTGAGCGTGCAATTTATAAAAAAAATAAATAATCTTTAAGATTATGTATTTACATTGATACAAAACTAATTATGTTATTCCTGCTAAAAAAATTTTAAAGAAAAAAATAAAAATAGATTAAATCCAGTTTTTGATCCCATCTGAACTCTGGCATGCATGTCAAAACACTTAAAATATTAATATTATAAAGTAGACAGTGGAAGGAATGACAGAACTGTAACACTTACAGTTGATTTAGTTTGTAATAATCAAATAATTAATAAAGAATGCATAGGTAGTATAAACTATTTAAAAAACAAATTTGAGTAATGTTGGAACTACTAATATATATATATTATATTAAAATGAGACATAAAATAAATGTTTTAAATGATAAATCTCTACTTCAAATTTTCGTAGTCTGAAATATAAATAATACATAATATATATATTTCAGGAAAGTATTAACTAGGATACTGATATACTTTATATCACTGACTGACTGTTTACAAAATTATTTACATTAAAAGAAAAAAAAAAATACTAATAATAATATTAACTTGATCATTTAAAATTTATTATACTATTTACAGATAATTAATTTTAAATTTGTCACTCTAATACACATTGTATTTAAAAATATATTGTGCATATATTTACATTCACAATATTTGGGGAAAATTATTAAATTAATAAACATTGAAAACAAACATCAATAATTATGAAGAATTACACAAATGCTAGTATCACAGAAATCATGGTACTATATATAAAATTATATTAACATTTATGCAATAAATACAAACATATTGATGTCATCTTCATCTCGTTTCATGTATTTATGTTCAATTAGCCACTCAACTTGTTCTTTGATCATTTTTTTACTTGGCAAAAACATATTTTTCAAAATATCAATTAATTCTGTCTGGAGATTCCAATTTGATATCTGTTTTCTCATTTTTAAAATTTTGATGATGGCTTCCTATACATTAAAAACATTTATTAGCCAACAAGTTGTATTTAATTTTGTTTAATCAGCACTTACTTGTACTCTTAATATTCTTAATTGGACAATACATTCATTATCTTCTTCTTTACTTCGTTCAGTAGATAATTGTAACCTTCCAATTAAATTGACTTTTCCTCTTTTTTGAAGCTTACCGTTTTTACTAAAATAATGTCAATTAAATTAAAGTAATAATTTTAATACAGAATATAGTTTGTTTATTACATTTAATATTCTAATTATTAATCTTAAATAAATTAAATATTCTAATAATTTAATCTTACATTATAGAAAACTGTTCATTAATCCAAAATGTTGTGTTTTCATTGAATTCTTTTGGGGATGGAGCTTCTGGTGATACTTGCACAACTTGTTTTTTCAATTTTGGGAAAGAAGTGAGAGACTGGCCAAAAATAATTACAAAAATAAAATAATTTAATAAAACACAAAATCCATAAAAATAAGAATAAAAAAGAGCTGATACTACTGATGGGTGAGCCACTTTTATAGGTAGGAAGTTGTAAAGTTAGGATATACAAATTAATTTAATTTAAGTAAGTTATAAAATAATAAAGTAAAAACAAAATTATTAAAATGGTTAATACTCAAGCAAAATAAATTAATATAGAAATAAAAAATAAATAAATGAATGAATAAATGTGTCGCCTGCAGTGTTATTATTATACTCATTATATATACATTTTTTATTCATGTATTTATTTACTATATTTAAATTATTATCAATCCAATAAAATCAAAATAAAACAATATAAATTTAATAGCTAAATAAAACTAAAAATTCCTTAAGTATTTTGAAAATTTGACCACGCTTAGAAAGTGATAATATAAGAATTTTGTGTACATTTTAGCAGGAAATTAAAACTGGGGACAAATATTTCATACAATTTTTAATATTATTGGGAAATATATATCACTGGAAAGTAATTATACAAATTAAAAACAGGAACATAACTTATAGGAATGAAAAATAATGATAAAATATTTTAATTTAATTTTACAATATCCTGGGAAATTTATTTTTTCAAGGGTAACTTTTCTATTATTTTTTTTATTTACACAGATTTTTATTTTTCCCTGGAAACTGCTTTTTTGAGTATAATATTCTTAACAATGTATTCCTGATTTTTACATTCCTGTGTTTTTCATGCCCCCATTTTCATTATAAATAAGTTTTAGATGTGCTCATGATTGGGTAATTATAAAAACCTATTAATTGTATTAACTAGTTTAATAACAAGTGTTTAGGTTGGTCAGAAACAGATTAGTAAGTTGAAAAATGCTGACAAGGCCTTCACTTATATATTTGTATATAAATTAATTCATATACTAACCCATAATGTTCGTCGTAATTCAGGATCAGGCAATTCTGTAGCCAATCTAAGATTTTCATAAGATATTTTATCTTTTGGTCTTTGATTCCAAGCAAATAATACTGCCATTTGAAATGTTGTGACATCTATGTCAAACCGCCCAATCTCATTTGAAAATGTTATCTGTAATCAAAAGCAATATTTAAAAGGCATAAAATACATATATTATTACATTACACTAGTCCTATCATATGCATGTATATTAAAGGTTTTGAAGAGACTTGAAAGATAAAATTGAAAAAGTAAAATTCTTAATGAATAATACATATTTAGTAGATATTAAGATAATTTTTAGGTAGTATCAGAGAGCTTTTGAAGGTGACTCTAGAAAATGGACTAGACTGGAATATCACATATAATAAAGATGTATGGGATGAAATAATTTTGGTGAAAAGAACGTAATGGATCAAATCCCAGGAGGAAAACAATAAATATAATTAATTTCACTTAATGAAGTTAATAAATGTGGATATTGATTTCCTAATAAATAATAATAATATTTACACTTACTGTGCCATTAGACATGTGATGATACCATTGTAATTTACGACCACTGTGTTTTTTTCGATAAAAATCTTCTACTTCCGGTATATAGTCTTCTAATTCCATTGGCAATGATACTGTTACACGTTCACTACCCCTTGACCATGCCCCAGCGTTTAATATTTTAATGTTTATTGAATCTACAAATATATAATGATAATATATGAATTAAAAGAAGTACAATTAGAGTATAGAAAATAGTTAATGAGTTTTGTAAATTATAAACTATGCTTAACATTAAAGAAAAACCTGTAAGAAGCATACAAATGATAATTTTGTGTATAAATAAATAAATAAATAAATTGAGTATTATGATATAAATTGTTATATTATAATATAGTATATTATATCTAATTCAACAAAAATAATAATATTAGAATACTACATTTATTTATATATTTATTTAAGAGTCTTAATCATTTAATAATTTCGTTTTTACTTTATTATTTTATTATTTGATAATTTTGTATTGTACATAATATATTCAAAACTTGGGTTTAAAAAGATAAAACCAGAGTGATTTGTTAAAGAAAACTTCAGATATATATTTATAATTGACTCTAATTTGTATATTAATAATGTAGTTAAAGATAATGATCCAGCTAATTAAGCCATTTTTGATTTATTAAACTTTAAATAGTTTGATTTAAATTATTTGAATATTAGATGTATTAATATACATTATTGTGTGAATACAGTAGTCACACAACACAATATTGTGCAAAGTAAAAAGTTTGTTTTAATACAAAGTTTTTCAATATTCAGGATAAGTTGTTTATTTTAGGTATACATGTATATACATAAAATATTAATTACCAGCGATACTTCCTTTCAGATTTCTATATGTTTCTTTAAATTGTTGATTTAGATCTTCACTGACTTTTATATCTTGAAACATTCTAGCTAGTTTATTAACATAGTCTGCTGGCATACCCACTTCTCTTAACCTATAAAAATGAATTCATACAATGGTATATTTTAAATAAACAATTCTAAGAGTTATTGAACTTCTACCATTCAACCATGTTCTCTTCTTTTTCTGAATCTGCTGAAGTGTCTAATATGAGTCGACGAGTCAAATGTGCTTTATGGAACCTCATAAACACATCTTTATTTTGCACGTATTTTAACACAAGTAGCTAAAAAATTAAAAATTGTGAGACATAACCATGTTTTTAAATACATTTAGAGTATGACGATTTTCATTACTTACCACATCTTTTAATTTATATTCAATTTCATCAGTAGTTAACTTTTTACTTAAAGGTGTTTTTCTTAATAACATATCACAATAGTTGGCTAATAATTCTGGGCACTTTGATTCAGGCTGAAATTTTACAGCAGAACTCTAAACAATACATTTTAATTTAAATCAATGAAAAACTAAAAATGTTTAATATTATTTAACTAATTTTTTTTTATTATTAATAGAAAAAAAAACCTGTGGCAACATAGACCATCGGGAAAACAAGTTATTTAGCATAATAGACTTAATTCTAATGATTGAAAAACATAAATATGGCTAGATTACAATTACTAAGAACAATAAGTGTGTTACAAATGTGTGTGCATTTTTATAAATCACAGTTTCGTTTTGAAGATTCGCTTTTTTTGATGAAATCAATAGTGGCTGCGAATGAAGATATGTTGTGGCAGAGATTTTAAAAGATGTTTTAGAAGTTTTGCGTTTATTCTGAATTTGGTATATGTACGCCATCCATTATTATGTGTTTCATCGACAGAAGAGTGCCGCAAAATGGGCAAGGAGAATAATTTTTAATTCTTAAGTGACTATGAGAAATGTGCGTGTGCCTAATTGGGAGTCTTGTTAGAATGACTTCAAACTTTCTAGGTCTATGGGGAGTGGCCATATGGATATATCTTTTTTAATTTTTGAAGTTTCATGAAAAAGAATTTCCAGTTTACCTGCCACATATTGAGATAATGAAGTTTGATTAGGGGAATTACTTCTTGTTTTGTTGAGAGTTGAACTACTGTTGCTAATGAGTTAGATATTGCATATTTTGCAGCCTTTTAAGCCATCTCATTTTCTTTGATAATAGAATGACCTGGAATCCAGAATAAGTGAATAATATTTCCCTGTTCTCTTTCGTATTGTAACAAATTTTGTACTTGCATATTTATCTTCTAAGTGATGTACTCATTTTTTTAACATCTATTATAATACTAGTAATATGGATAAATAAAATATACGCCATCTGCATATTAAGTACAGTTACAGACATAATTATAAAAAGTAATATATTATAATATAATTGTTGATTTATAATGAATTTATTAAACTAACTGGGTGTCAAGTTCCACTGCAAAATTATTTTTCTTCGTGGTTTCGACCTATAAAACTATACCATTCAATACATATATTTGTAATAACCTATCCTTTTCTAGTGATAATTTCTTTCAATCTTATCCTGGCTTCCTTTTTTTTTTTTATGTCTTCCCACAAAGGTCTTTTTCCTCTAGGGGCATTTTCTATGACCTACCATATTAAGCCATGTGTGCCCAACCCAGATTAATAGTTTTTTGGTAATGCCTTCCACAATACTTGAGCTTGATATATCTCTTTAATTTTCTTATTTTTCAATTATTTTCATTTTCCAGTATTTACATCTTCACATGGACGATATATTTTTTAGAGTACTTTTTTTCTGAATATAGCTAGTGAGAAGTTTTGCCCTGTAGCATCAATGTACCGGCCTATTAGTTATTACTGGTTTAATAGGAGTCTTATAAATTTAATTTTTTTTAATTTATCAACAATTTTTTTAATTGCAGTAACCCCATCAGTCTGAGATTGTAGTTATTACTAACTTGAATTCTCTTTTTTATTTCACTACTTATTTTGTTCTTTTGAGTAAACAATGACCTTAGGTATTTAAACTGCTGTACTCTTTTAAATTAAAAGCCCTTTACTTATAACCATCTATTTTGGTTATCTGGAGTCACATTTTTTTGGACTACCATATACTCATTTTTTTTTTCCGGTATTTATCGACAAAACAATGTTTTTGTTGCTGCTATCAATTTTTTGATTGGTTTTTATTTGCTCTCATTAGTATTATGTCATTTGCATAAGCTAAGAGATCAATGTTTGTCTCTTCTAGGCACTTCTCTAATCTATTTCTGTTTAGGGAAATAGGAATAAAAAAAGTAATTAAGAAATTAATTTTTCTAGTGCTATATTGAACAAAATGGGAGATAATAAACATCGCTTTGCCTTATTCTGTTACCACATGGATTTGAAGTCGAGTATTCTATTTTTACCTTAATGTTTGTGTTCAATGCTTATTTTAATGAGCTTTAATATCATTTGTGGCATTTTAAACATCTTCAGTACACTGATCAAGGATTCTCTATGAATTGAATTGTATATTATTTTGAGATAAATAAATATCATATGGACACTTTAGTCATATTCCAACATTTTTTGCAATACTTATCATAGGATAAAAATTTGATTTATGGTGAATCAATTATGTCTGAACCCCGACTGGTAAGACAAAATTCTTTAAGCTACATTAAGAAAACTATTGCAAAATTAACTAAATAAATTATTAAAATAATGTATAATATTATAAAGGTACTTAAAATTTGATCTTAATTTCAAAATAACATCAATACAAACTGTCTTGATATAAATATTCTCAGATGAAACCAAGCTTAGCAAATTAAGAGATTTAAAAATGAATTTTAATTTTATTACTATACATTTAATGAATTATAACAATTTTAACGATGAAATGAATTAAATAAAATTATTATTATCAATATAAATAAGAAGTTACCTATTTACTTTTAATTGTTTAACTTAACTTGTATTATTAAGAAACTAACTTGTTTTGTAGGTAGTTCTAATCGGAAAACCGTTGTATCATTAACTACTTGTTTATATGCTTTATCTCGTGCTGTTAAAAATCTTGGATCATCGTTAAATGCATCTCGTACTAAATTGCTAAATTTATGAAACAACAAAAGAAGCTGTTCTACATATTTTTCGGAGTCCTATAATCAAATAATGAATTAAATATAAAATATAAATTACGAAACAGACATAAAGTACATATATAATATTTAAAAAAATTCTCAAACATTTTTTAAATATTTATGAAAAATGTCATATCAGTTAAATTACATTAACTTAGAGTGATATTAATATAATTACACTCAATAATTTAATAAAACAATTTGCATAATACAAAAATTAAAAATATAAATATTACTTGTGTAATAATATCTGCTGAGGCTATCATATCTGCTAATCCTGCACTTATAATATATTCTTCCAAATTTTTTAACATTATTAATATTCCATCAGGTACACGATCCATTAATTTAAATAACAGTTGTAATTCTAAATGAATAAAAAAAAAAAAAAATAAATAAATGTTAATTAAATTACTATTTTTTTTAAAAAATTGTATACTTTCAGTATCGGAGCTTTTAATCATATCTGTACATTCAGCTAAAATAGTATGACGAAAATTTGCAACTAATACCACAACACAACAATCTGTCAACTAAAAATTAATATTTATTAGTAAATTTAATTAAGATTCAAACAAAAATAAACCCAATAGTTTCCTCGCTACGTTTTGATGAATTTAAAATATTATACCATACCATTTGAACAGAAGTACTTGTTTCTAAATATTTTAGAGCACGAATTTCTTCTTCCCGAAGTTTAATATCAGCATATTTCATATAATCTTGAACACCAAATTCTTCTAAATATTCAGAAGCTTTGGCTTTATAAAACGATTCAGTTGTATCAATATAAGCTCGTTCAAAATATTCTTTATATATTTGAAGTTTGTCATCATAATTTGAACAAAGGTTAACTATAATAGATTGTTTCAATTCAAATTGTTAAATACAATTTATAATAATAAATAAATTATAAAAGTATAACAAAAATATAAACAAACCATATGATTCCCTTACTCCTATAACTAATTGAGAATCAAATGCTTCTCCATTTCTTTCTAAGTAAACAAGTTTCATAGCTGAATCTTGAAGTCTTTGTTTTATATCATTAAAAATACTCTGATTCCAACTATCCAACATCAACTAAAAAAATTCAATGGTTCATAAGTCGGGAATACTGTTAATAATACAAAGCTGAATAGGCCAGAAAACAGGCAGCAGAATCTTGCACATATTAATTATTAATACTATGTCCTAACTGAATTTGATCTATGTAGTGCTTATTGTCTGTATCAAAAACCCCTGAGTATAATTTTAAACGTGGTAAAATCAAATCCAATTTTTAATACATGTGATATGTAGAGAAATCATAGAAATATCTTTATTTGTACTTAGTAGAAAATATAACACTGACTGATAAGCATTAAAAGCATAACCCCCTCCCTAATAATATTTAGCAGTTTTCAAAAGTAGAATGACTAAAAACTTAACAAATAACTATTAAAAACTAATAGTATTAATTTTTATTTGTTTAAATAGATTTTGACTATTACTACACAGCCTAGATAATTTTCTTGATTTTATGTTTAATAATAGGTTAATTCAATCTAATATTAAAACTAACAGTACTACGTTTTCCCTGTTGAATGTAAATTTGATGCTATAAGACCAGGCAACACATGCATGTATCACAAAATTTTAAATGATAAATAATACTACAGTGATTTTTTTATTATAAACCAGCAATTATCTCTGATGATTTTAAGTGAATTTGATTGTTTTTTTTTTTTTAAATCGTGGAATAATTTAAGCTTTTTTTAAAAACATTTTTAGAAATCGTCAAAGGCTAATATCAAATTTATTGTTTATGAGTTATAACCATTTAAAATTACAACTGGAGGAGTAGGGAAGTTATCAATTTATTATTTAAAAATAGATATGTAATTTATTATCCTCTCTACTCACCCAGTCTAATCTGATATAAGTAACATGCAAATCACAATATCTAAAAAAATATTTTCTATTCAAATCTGTGTACAAAAAAGGGGTTCCTATTTTAAAAACAAAAGTATACACTTATTTAAAGTATATGAAGTAGGGGCAAAAAAGACAATTCCATAATGATTAGAAAAAATAGATATCAAATTCAAGAAAAATCCTCTGAGATAATTCCTGATTAATGATAAAATAATTATCCTGTATATGTCATATTATGGTAAAATAATTACTCATGCATTAAACAAACATTTTTTTTAATAATATTTGTTTGATATTGTACCTATGTACATATAATGCACCTATATAACACATCCCATGTCTTTTCCATTTATTTAGAAAACTCTTGGGAAAATAAAAAAAATGACCTCTTTAAAGTACCACCCTAGTCAAATTTCTATTCAGAAAAATTGCTACATGTAAAATTCAGAGCAAATCCTCTGGTAGAAAGTTGTCTTCAGTATTGTCTTTGCAATATTATATAGATTTAATTTTTTTGGAATTGTTTTCTTAAATTATGAGACAATTTTATCAATAATAAGGTTATCTGAAAAACTATTTAAAGCCATATTAGTTACCCATAAATTTAAATTGAAGAATCAAGTTTATTTGTTTTTAGAAATTCTGATGGAAATCTAGATTTAATGGAATGGAAAATAAACAATGGAGTTTAGAATTAAATAATGTATTAGATCAAAGAATGTATTTCCTGTAGAAATTAAGTCTGTTATCCGTACACCAATAAGTCTTAATCCAACTAAATTATTATAAGTAGTGATCAACAAAATGTGTGAGTAATTTCAAAATGAATAACTATTAGAGTAATAAAACACTTGTAAAAAAATATTATATATTATATATTCACAACTTATTATAAAATACTTTACCTTACGGACAACAGAATCTTTATCAGGATTTTTAGTACTTTTACCAACACCTTTTCCACATAGAGTATATTCCAACTGTCTAAAAGGGGTTGGAAGGTAGTCACACTGAGTAAAAAACTTTCTCCATTCTGTTATATAAGCTTTGAGTAGAGCATGATCTTCTTGATGTGTCATAACTCTCTAAATAAAATATATATATGTTTAATTAGTACATATAATAACATTCATTTAAATAACAGATACTACTGGTCCAATATACTATCAAGTGACTTTTTGCATACGATAAAGATAAACTATTCTTACAGAGACAATGAATGATACTATATTTGTGGACAAAACCAGATAGTTATTTTAAATTCTTTATTCATTCGGTGTTTGTATGTACAAAATAGAATTTTTTATATTTTATTAATACCACAAAAATAATAAATTAGCACATATCAAAGGTTAAAAGCATAGTTGGGCAAAAACAAATAAAAATTATTAATTAAAAAAGTGCTCACACTGGGAATAGGTGTGCCACTCTTGTAGGTGAAGGTTAAGTTCAGAGGATAGGATATAAAATTTTATTTCATAAAAGATATTACATTTGAAAATCAGAGCAAGATATTGGTAATTATGGTAAAAAATTGTTTAGAGCTAATAAAAAAAAAAAAAACATCATTGTAAAACACAATAGTCAACTGTAATACAGTGATCAATAACACTCATTATCTTGGAAAGTATTAATCTTTTTCGACATTTGTTTTACAGAAAATTTTAGAGACAAACAGTTCTGCAATTTTACAATTATGTTATTTTTTATCACCCTAATTTATGGGGGTGAAATGTCTACCTACTTTTGATTTTCAAATGGCAACCTATACTAAAAATGCAATAAATAGATGGAGTAGTAGTTAAAATAAATATTGGTGTTTAAATTTTTAATTTCCATCAACCCGTTAACGAGATAGTCCACTTTTAAGTTTGAATCGGGGAAGAGCAATGGTAAATTATTATAACACTATGCGCTGTGCTACCACACAAATGATGTTCCAATACTCTCTCCTGACCCAAACTTAAAAGTGGATTATATCTCGTCAAGGGATCAACGGAAATTAAAAATTAAAAAATCAAAATTTATTTTAACAACTACTCCATCTATTTATATAATTTTCAGTATAGGCTACCATTTGAAAATCAAAAGTAGTCATTTAAACTCTAAAAATTAGGGTGATAAAAATTAATGTGAATGTTTAATTTTAGAATAGCTTGTTTCTTAAATTTTTTTAAAACAAATTTCGAAAAAAAGTTAATACTCTCCGAGATAATGAGTGTCTTACAATAGATTGATCACCCGTATAGTCCTATTTAAGTGTCACTATACTGGGTGACTTTTAAAATAATATTTGTGTTTACATTCTTTCTTTTTTGTCTAGCCTAACTACTCTTTGCAAGTTTTGGCTGTCATCACTATATCACGCCACCTATCCCTGTTTTGACCAGGTCCTTTACGTACACAACACTCAGGCGCTCCAATTTCTCCCTACTCAATCTAACTATCATTTCCTGAGCCTATCCTGTGGCATTTTTCCTTGTGGTACTCATTCAAGGGCTGCTCTTAATGTGTCATATTCTTCCAGATGTATAAAAGCAGAAGATTAATGAGTATATTAAAAAATAAATTTACTATTTATTCTTACTTGTTGAGCTTTTTTGATGAAATCCATAATATCAGATTTAAGAGCTTGCTTCATTTTAATTGGTGCATTATCATCCCACAAACAAACAAGATGAACTGTATAAAACAAATCTTGCCACTCATTTTGTGTTACTGTTTCTTGTTGTAAAAGCTTGAGCACAACTGGTCTCATATTTGGCCATTTTTCTTCAAACCGTATCAAAGTCTTATTTTCGATCATCTAAAAAAATTCACATAATGTAATAAGCTACAATATAACCTTAATCAGTTCTATTTATGGTGTTCAAATAACGGTTTAGACCTAAATACAGATAAATGTATTCAAATCACATGCACTAAAAATAGGCAGAATTTTATATTCAATTATCTTATAAATAACAAAAAAACTCAGTATGGCATCTAAGGTTTAAGACTTAGGTATTATTTTTTTTAGTGTTCTTAAATCTACTGAAAATATTAATGAAATCTATAATAAAGCTATTCATGTTTGAGTTTTTAAAACACAACTGCTAGGAGTTTCATGATTCAAATTGCTTGCGTGTTTTATATTGCTCCCTCATATGATCAGTTCTGGAATATAGTTTGATAATCTGGTGCCCCCATCAAGAATATCTTTAAAAAAAAATTGGAACGAATCCAAAATTAAATTTTGTATGAGCTAATTTGTAAAACAATGTTGAGCTAACTTTGAAATTTCTTGCTTTAAAATTTAATAATGAAAATCTGGTATTTAGAAGGCAATTTAATGACACTTACGCTGGTTTTATAACTTAGATAATTTTAAAATTGATTGTTCTGAAATACTTCCATAAATTAATATAAATATTCCAAATATAACGTTAAGATTTACGACCCCATTCTATATACCTACTTGCAAATGTAATTATTGTCTATTTGGACCGGTTAATCGAATATTAACTCTAAGTAATAAATTTAATAATTTTGATTTTTTCTTTAATTCTCTCTTGGAGAGGAAACATTGTTTGAAAAACAGTTGTATTTTATAGTTCTAAGTTGTATTATTGTTTTACTTGACTTATGTTTTATTACTTCTTATTATGTCTCTATAATATTTACTAAAATAATTTTAACCATTGTACATATGTATTATATATATAATTTGAGTGTTTATGAATAAATATAAATATAAATAACCAGAAGGAAATGATAAAACAATTTTAAACTGAATTGAATTTTGAAAACTGTATTAGAAAAGAACTTTGGTTATGAATAATTTATTTAAATAGAAAACAGTTTCAATATAAGATTCCCCTATCTATTAGTTAAATGCAATTTTCCAACAATTCTACAAAAAGGAATTAATACTCAAATCAATCAATTAAAAAAAAAAAAATACAAAGGAATCTAATCAAAGCGTCATTAAACAAAAAATGAGTAACCAATTCCAAAAATTAATCTCTAATTAAAATAACAATGTCAATTTTAATAATATAGTTTTTTTTTTTTATCTTAAAAGTATCTACAAATTATACAAATTTTGATAATTAGTGAATAAGGGTATATAGCTGTACTAATAATTTAATCAAGAATATATACTTGTTATTAAACTTTTAAGATTGATAAAAGTTTCATGTGGGAAAATAAATCAGTAATTTAAAAATAAATCTAAAATGTATAAATATTATTTTCTATAAGTCTTAAAATGCATAACCATCATTTAATTAAATGGAATACTCGTTTAAAATAAAATCTTAAATTTTGAGTAAAGGAAATCTTTTTTAAAAACTAAAATTTATTATTTTAAAATACTGAAATGAACAAAACGAGATAAGTAACTCAACAATGCATTACGTAATATTATATTAATCAAATAAAACTTCGCTTACTTTTTTAAAGTCTGATATCAAATTGTTACTTTTTTAATCCTAAATAATAACTAAATGGTGCGAATAATAAACATATTATCGTATTAGCTTACCGTACTTACTTGAGACATGTTTTTCAAATAATTTAGGAAATAGGACATTAATAATATTTAGGACATTTTAGGTATTGTATAAACTATCGAATACACTATTTCACCAAAACAATAATATATATATATATTATAATTATTAAAAAAAAAACTAATGAAAAGCAATAATCAAATTATACTCCAATAGTACTCATTGGGAACGATTTTCGTTTATCAACCGAAAATTGATTTTACAGCATACGCCTGGCGGCTAATAAAGGTTTATTATTTATATTATAATAGAAACTGTAAACTGTAATAGAAAGTAGAAAGATTTTCCATTTCAGGTACAACAGCGCATTCTAGCATTTCAATACCGTGATATACCCAATCCTGATAACCATTGGTATGGACCATATAACTACGTACACAGTGAGTATGTGGTGGTATAGAGAACTGTCACTAGTTATATCGGATACTCGTCTTAAAATGTATTGCATTTCGACAATTATGTGAATGTGACTACCTATTCGACGTATATATCGTACTACTTATAGTAGTATCCAAAACCTGGTAGAAGTGTGATAACTAATAATTATTAATAAAAAATATCAATAGTATACTAGTCAGTCAATCGTATTTTTTTTAAATTGTTAGTTCTTAAATTCATTCGTCTTTTGTAATAAATAAATAATTACGAGTTCCTGTAATAGTAATTCAGTTTATATTTATCAATTCAGTATTGAAAAAATACTACTTAAGTATAACACAACTTCATAAGTCATATACATAGAGAACAGTAAATTTTGTACCTTGTAAGTATACACAATTTGTATTATTTAACAATTACAAATGTTTTCCGATGTACATTTATTTTTGAAAAATGGCACCCTAGTTATTTGATTAGGTAACATTTGATAAATTCAAGTTTCTTAAGTAACAATGTAAAAATATTTTTTTTTATAGTTTTCTTGTTAATTATGATATAATAATTTGTATGTACATTGTATTATATTATGTGAAGGTATTGTATTTCATTACCACATACTTACCTGTATCAATACTGATTAACAAAGATTTTTAATAAATAATGATATTAATTATTCATAATATACAAGATATTATTATTACTTGATTATTGATAATTAGTAAATATAAAATTTAAAAGAATGATAATTATTATTTAATCAATACTTTGTTCGTTCTAGATAAATTTAAATTGGAGACTAGATTATGGCAAGGAAACGTCGTAGCACAACAGAAATAAATACAGTTGAAAATGCTTCGGTTCCAAAACGCCGTTACACTGGGTCAGTAAAACTTAATCCCTTTAAATACCATGATTTATTTGTCATTAATATTAAACATTTATTTATATTTATCAGTTCTCAAAGAACACCTTTTGAAGAAATGGTAGTTTTCAACTCTAAAAAATGTTTAACTTGGTTTAATAAATATACAAATAATCATTCAAGTGATACTCTAGGTAATTACAAAATAAAATTTTCATTAATTTCTTCAATGTGTCATTGCTTAATGTAATGATATTAATATTTTTATATAGGGCCTGAAGGTATGGAATTATTTTGTTTTGATATTGAGGTTGATCCAGAAGATGTAGTTATGCTTTATTTAGCTTGGAAAATGAATGCCAAATCAATGGGTTACTTTACAAGTGCTGAATGGTTAAAGGGTTTCACGGAATTGCAGTAAATATTTTAATATATAAACATAATAAGTTGCAAATTATTATTATGAATTAGTTGAAGGTATATATTAATATATTTTATTTCAGGTGTGATTCAGTTAAAAAACTACAAAGTAAATTGGATTCTTTAAGATTGTGTTTTAATGACCCGTTAACATTCAAAAGTATATATAGATATGCATATGATTTTGCCAGAGTAAGTTTTATTTATATTATTTCATTGAATACCTACATTGATACAAATATATAATTTGTTTTTAAAACAAATTTTCTCATAAATAAATCTGGTTAAAATTTGAAATATGTAAGTTTTTTATTTTTTTAACCAAGTATTATAATTAATCTTGCGGTTTCTTAATTATACTTTACTATATACTACTAAATATAGAGATGTTAGAATATGAGAAATATTGATAATCAAGTTCTATAATAATGTAGCAAATTGTATTATCTATCTTTAATGTTCAGTGATAATTAAACACAAAGTTTTCTATTCAAACTAAATATATAAAACTTACACATATTATGTGTTACATAAATCAGAAATGGCCACATATTTCTGATAACAATTAATTAAATGATTTTTTCTTAAAACTAAAGGCCAGAATTTACCAACAATTTAATTTTGATTAGCTGATATTAACCTCTTTTAAAATTAGTTACACCAAGTTATAAATTTCACCACACTATTAAGGCTTAATAATGTTTAAACACTAACCTGAAAATTTCTAAACTGTTTATTAATTTTAAATGTGTTTAAATATGATAGTAAATTATTTTAATGGCAGTTCAATTTGTAATTTATTAATTGATATGATTTACTATTTTATGTATAAAACCATCTATAAATGCCATGTTGATCTCTGCTTTAATAAAAGGAAGTCATGTTTCTGTGACATATTTGTTGGCCATATAAAATCTAAATTAGATTAGGTCCTAAAATTAACCTATATTTAGTCACAACTAATAATTTTAATCAAGTGTTAATATACAAATAACTTTTACCTAACTTAAGACAATCATAATTTACATGGTGTATCACTGTCCACAACAATTTATAAGTAGATTAATTTATGTAAATAACATCCATTACTCCCAAACCCACAAAACTGCATATTTAAAAACCACATAATAACATTTCATTAATGTGGCCTTTAATGCTCATAAACATTTAAACTTTACAATTTGCCACTAATTCATCAATTTTTTAGGGATCCTTCCCCTATTAAAATTAATAAGTCAATGTTTTATTTTTCTCAGAAATATACTTTTCATGCAATACTTAAAAGCTATAGAATTTGTACCCAAAAATACTCTTACAATATACAAAAACTATAACCATGAAGACTAAAATAATTTTATTTTTGATGACTATAACCTTGTCAGTTTGCTTAGCCCGTCCAGAATTGTATTTTAATTGCATTTAAACTTGTAATTATAGTTGAAATTAAATATTTATTGAATTTAAGGAATTTAATTGATTTTCCAGTTACATTTATTTATTTATACATGTTACAAAAGCATAATACATATTTAGATATAAATATCCTGTAAGTTTGAGCTTGTGTTAGAATAGAGTTAATTGATTATATCCATTATTTATCCTGTAGCGACACAAAGTCATTTCATGCCACATTTCAAGTCAAAACTATAATAAATAAATAACTTAATTTTTTTGAGATTTGTTATTTAATAACTTTGGTTTAGCAAAACTTGTATAATTGTACATAATAAAATTAATCAAATTAATGAACTAATGAAACAATTGTTTTGTTTTGTATTACATAAGTATGGAAAAACTAATGGGATTTATAAATGAGGATTAAGTATTATTTTATTTCCAAGAGGTTAATAGTTGATTCTAAAATATTTTATTATATAAAAATGTAAGTATGGAAAATTATGATTTTTTTTCTGAAATAGAGGAAATTGTCAAACTAAAAAGAGTGGCAACATTGATTGCAATATTTTATTGGTAATTTCAGTATACAAACTAAATTACTTTATATTCTATACCTTTCCAACTTTTCATCTACAATTGTGGCCTACCCATTAACATTATCTTATACGAGGAATATACGTACGGATATGTACATTGATGGCATGCAAACTTCTTTTTATATTTTTTCAATATGTGTATTTATTTATAACACACTCATATTATTATTTATATTATAATATTTCTATTTTTAGGATAAAGATCAACGAAGTATGGATGTAGAAACTGCAAAATTAATGCTAAATTTATTACTTGGAAAACAATGGACACTTTACCCTTTATTTGCTAAGTTTATTGATCAATCCAAATACAGAGTTATTAATAAAGACCAATGGTGCAATATATTGGAATTTTCACGTTCTATAAATACAGATTTGACAAACTATGACATTGATGGCGCATGTAAGTTATATTAAATGAATCTAGAACAAAATTCCCCCAAAAAAAAAAAAAAACCAACTCAAAACATTTCTTCTAGAAATTTTGACGAATCAACTTTCTATTTTCATTAAATTTGTGATTTTTAAAAATATTTAAAAGTTTAGGGGAAGAAAGTGTACAATCAATTTAGCCATAATAATAAAAAATTAATAAATTTGTTTACTGCTTACTGTATAAATATGGGAACTTTTCTCTGAACTTTAAAAAATGAGTAAAATCACAAATTTAATGAAAATAAAAAGTTAGTGTCAACATTTTCAGAAGAATAAACTATAAAATGGCTATAATCATATTTTTCAAAAATAATAAATTATGATTTACCTATACAAAAAAAAAAAAAATTGACTATCTTTTCTTATTTTAGGAGATATTGCAATGGATATAGTTTTGAGGGGTATTCTGTATAATTATAACAACGTAGATAAATTTGTAGTTTGATATGTCCACTTTATTTGTTTTTAAATTTATTTTTTTTTTTTTTTTTATTGCGGGATTAATTAAGTCAATAATTCTAAACTGCATTTTTATTTTTAGGGCCGGTTATGTTGGACGAGTTTGTGGACTGGTTAAAAAATGGAAACAGCTGAAATTATGGAGATATATTTTATTTGCCAGGATTAGTAACTGGAACAATATAAAATTATTTTAAAAAAACTGAGTCGATCTCGTCGATGCTTTTCCATTTCTTGAATGAAAGTATTTGTTTCTGTTCAGTTTTCAAAAATACAATAACTACCTACTTTATATTTTAAAAACTTATTTACAAGTCTTCTATTAATAATTTTTTTGTTGTAAATTTATTTATATATTAAAAGTAGATGATTATATGCTGGAATAAAACCTATCACACAAATGTATTTTGTATTTATTTTTATAATATATTTAGTAACAGTTATAAATAATTATTATTAGAGATGTGATGACCTGTTTAATTTTTGAACCAAACCTAATAGTTCGATTCGAAAATCATTTGATACCGATTCTTCGCGGTCATCAATATGATGATCTGTGGTAGGACTGAGCGGCCTTGTTATCAAGAAGAAAAATTCAATTTTTTTTACACGAGTTGTTTCTCAAACCTTGCTACTTCTTTAATATCAGAGTTCGAAAAAAAAATTTTGTTAAAAGTTTGTTTCGGTTCAGGTTTTATTAAAAATGTGTAGGTTCATTTTGGTTTGTTAATTTTAAAGAAAGTTTAGCCTTAAAAATCAGGGTTTGTAACATCTCTCATTATTATTATTTTTAGCATATTTAAAATGCATAATAAATTGATTAATTTATTGAATTTACATCTAGTGTTAAACTTTTTATTTCAATAATATACATTATTAATTAATTATTTACAATGACTTATATATTATCTACTATTTATATTTTTACATATTAATTAAATTGATTAGGTATGTTTTATCTGATGTACTATTTTTAAAATGTTTGAAGTTCAATATGTTGAATTATGTTTATAGTTACTATACTTACTTGATAACCTATGAAATATTAATATATAATATTCTATATATTTTATTCAGATTCAGATTATTGCAGTAGTGAAATGTTCTAGTCTCAAGTAGGACAATCTTTAAACACTGGTTTTTTTTTACCAAAAAAGTCTATACTTGTGACAGCTATTTAATAGGCTGTGTTAATTTGCATACAATATATTAATTTTAGTTAATGAGTAATAAAGTCTAACTCTCAATTTAATTTTCTTATTGCACATATTCATTTACAACAAGGGTCTCAACCTTTTGGGATATAGGCTCCCTTTTGAACAATTGCATAAGGTTACACCCCCCCCCCGTCACCATTTACACATATTAATTTGTAAACTCTAAGGTTTTTAAAAATGTTAGCACCTCTTAGGTTGAAACCCTTGATTTACAAATAAAAATTTAACTAAAAACTACTATTACTTTTACTGGTATATTTTATTCATCATTGGTTATTTAATATGCGACTTCAACTGAGCAATTCTCTTTTGTATATTATGCAACTGCAAACAAAAATATATTAAAATTTAAAATTATTATTTTTAGATAATAAAAAAATTATTTAACCTTTTGTATTTCCAAATCGATAATTGATGGTTTAGACAAATTTATTTCATCTTTGTTATTATTTTCCATATTGCTTATTGTTATGTCTGTTAGTACTTTGTAAATATCTGACATTTCCAAATCGAAATCAAACCTTACAAATCAAAATCAAATATTGTATACTGTGTAAAATTATTATATATATATATATTACGGTTAATGTTGTTATATATTTATACTTTTTGGATATAAAAACCGATTTTGTGCTGTTAGTTTTAATACTAAAATGTATGAGCTTATTGTCAAACATAAAAGTAAGAACATTGTCGGTTTTTTTTTTTTTTTTGGTGTTTTAATTTTCATGTGAGTTACAAACATGTGAAATATTACAATTTAAAAATCATTGAATTTGGATTAAAATTAAAAAAACCAAGAAAAACTTATGTACAAACACAAATAACATGCTTACCCTTAAGTTAGTTAATAGGCACAATACACACTAATATTAAAACAACTGTACAAAATAAGTGTAATTAGAACTACATTAACTGTAACATTATATATTATTTTCTTCTATTACATAGCTATTTATATATCTAGGTTTTATACTTAAGTTTATTATTCTACAATACTGTATATGAGTAAATCTCTAAGCATTTATTATTTCTATATAAAATCTATGTTTTTTTAGTTAAATAATTACTTGAATTCTAAAATGACTAATAAGAATATTTTACACAAATAATATGATAGATGCCTATACAAATTATTATGCTCCCAAGTATATTAATAGGTATCTAACATAACAACTATAAGATACATACGGTTTAACAGCTGTAGATTTAAAGGTTTTCTTGTAATCAATATTTCCAATGCTTTCCTATGAACACATTTATTATTTAATACCATTTATGAATTACCAAAATAATTACCTTTCTATATGTTTCTCTAGACATCATTTTAGAAAACTCTTTGCTGACTCCAAATGGAATATCAAGTCCTCTATCTACATTTGAAAATAATTTTAACAATATGTTTTAATATAAAATTAAATATTATCATTGTAATATGATTCTTACAGTTTTTTAACTTGTATGAATTTTCAAAAAGTTGTAATTGTTTTGCTTTATCTCTCCATACTTTCAATGTTTCATCATTTCTAAACATTAAACAAAATGTATAATAAAAAGTATTTAATTTTATCCTTATTGTTTCCATGTTATAATATTGTTCTTATTTCCCTATTGTAATTATTTTGAAAACCTGTCTTATTGAATATAATAATTATGGTGATAAAATAGTGCTACTATTATCGTTGGTATAAACTAGTTTACGACACAAGCTCGTTTTTCAATTTTTTTTTTTTTTCCAAATTGTATGTTTTTAAATGTTTAATCTATTGGTATAATCAAAACTTAACTGTCATACTTACTTTTATTTATATAGATTCTGAGTGTAGCGAAGAACGTATTGGTTTTACAAAGATACATTTTTTTTCTATACTGTACGAAAATTGTACCAGAAATCTTGTTCTGATGTATACAATGTAGACCCTTTCCTGAAATGAAATTTTTAGAGAGATTTATTTTCGATTTTCTCTGGACTTTTCTCAGCAAATAAAATACCGGGTAAAACGTATGAAAATTGGATCAATATTAAACAAAATATATAGGTAATGCCTAGGTATTTAATTATTTTACCATAACATTACATATATATTGTTGACAAAACATTACTATCAACTGAACTTCGCTCAGAATTGTTTTTTCCGTTATCAATGGTTTATCTTTGCTTATAGATAGGTGTACATTAAATTCCTTTCTGTATCCTACCTTCCCAACTTCTCACCTACAATAGTGGCTGCACCCGTCCCCATTATCCCAGGACAGCTTTTTTTACATAAACCTTGAAAAATAGCATTTTAGAATTAATCCAAAATCTAGGCAAAAATAGATATTTTTATTTATTATTATTATTTTCAGTTATTTATAATTTGATAACAACAAAGTTGTATGATTGAATTTAGAATAAAACTAGCAAGCTTAGTTTTAGAGTTGCAAATTTCCGATTAAAATGGTCTGAGTGAGCGCAGCAAGGGAGTTACCACCTTGGGTCTCTAGTTCCACCTATAATGCTTTTTTACTATATCCTGTTACCAGAGACGTGGTTTTGCACAACAATACGAGGGTTATTTTTTATTAAATGAAACCCGCGTTTGAACGTTTGTTACTCTAAAACTAGGCTAGATAGACTTTTTCTGATTTCAATAAAAAAACTTAGTTATCAAATTATCAATAACAATAAATAATAATAATAAACAAAAATTTCTATTTTGGATTAATTCCAAAAATGCTATTTTTCAAAATGTAAGTACAAAAACTACAAAAGTAAGTAGGTATAATAATTAAATTTTGATTATACTGATACATGGAGCTTTAAAAACGCACATTTTGAAAAAAACAAATTTTTAATTTTTAATTTTGACTAAGAAATACACAAAACGGAAAACCTGAACCTCATATAATTTTCCCCCATAACTTCCAAACGGAATTTGTCCGACTTTTTCTTAGATCCTTAATGAACAGATACACATTTTGAAAAAAAAAAATTGAAAAACGAGCTTGGGCCATAAATTAGATTTGTTCCTTATTTTTATAATTTCATTTTAAATTGAAAATTGTATATTATCAATGAATAATCAAATTTTTCATATAGGTACTTAAATTATACTAGACAATAGTATATAATACTATACCAAACTAATGTAACTACTATAGTACTAATTACAATCAATTGATAACTTACTTATACGATTGTAAAAGTTTTTCTTGTTTTTCCAATATTATTTTTTGTTTTTCCAAAAAAAGTCTTTCCAATTCTTTTATTCTTATATCTCGATCGGTAACTAAATGATCACTGTTCCTAAATTATTTACGTATTTTAATGACGCATTTATTACATTTACACGAATAAGTAGATTATCCATTATTTGAATATAATATGTTTGTACATTTATATAGTCACTTATTACACTATTAAAAAGCGGCCCAAGAACACAACATTTAAAAACCTAACAAAGTACATAATATGATCTGGTAAAGAGTAGGTATCACCTATTATTATTTACCATTATTTTTAAACTATAAAATGTAATATATTTATACTCAGGAGTTTTTCAGAAAAATATTCTAAGATTACTTACCTAGATACTTATAATTAGGGCCCGGAAATATATACACTAAAATTGTACGAAATATGCATGCATTTTTATACACTTATTTTCATTAATAGATCAAACAAATATATTAGGTATCACGTTACCAGTGATCCTCACGAACTGGTAATGTTTGTCTAAAACCTCCCTCAAATATTGATGTGATCCCTTCCATAGTTTTATCTGATGACCGAATATACCGTAGTGTTCGATTTATTTAAAGTCTCTACGTTCGATTTATGTGCCATTGTGCACACATCCCATACAATTAGAACACAATCGGTTAATACTACAACTTTGTGAAAAAAAAATCATTGAATTATTTAAATGACACGCTAAAAAACGAAACTGTAACCTTTAAATACATCCCCCTCCTCTTTCTTCTTTTAGACAAAAAGAAATTAAAAATCGGGCGACATGGTAACACTCAAGAGAGTATTTGGAACAACTCTGTGAAAAAGAATTGAAAAGTTAAATAGTGTCAAAACAAAATTGGAACATAAAAAAGGCCTGTTTTTTTATATATATATAAGGATATATTATAGTAAAATAATTGAATAAGCATTATATATTTTCTTGTACAATATTTGTTTAATATTGTACCGATTTTCCCATGTTTTTTTCCGATTGTTCACATTTGCTGGGAAAATCGAAAAATGACCTCTCTAAAGTACCTTCCTGGTCAGCTATCATTTTAGAAAAATTTTTATCATTTTAAATCTGAGCAAAATTGCTTATAGAAAAGTTGTTCACCTAAAGTCATGTTCATTAGGACAAATATAAGAAGAGATAATTAAAGATAACTTTTTTGTTATTATAGAACATTTTAGAGATAATTAACAATTTAGTGATTGGTCTATAGTTATTCACATTATGATTTATATTTGTTACCGGGTTTATGTATTGGCGTCACAAATTACTTTTTCCATGCGTTAGGAGAGTAGCCTATATATAAAGATTTGTTGAACATTAGATGTAACGAATATACTAGAAACTGACCCATAAACTTTAATCATAGATGAGAGTATACCATCTGGATCAGTGGACGAATGAATTTAAATACTCATACATTCCACTTTTATCAATAGACCAGGAACTTAAGTTAAGATTATTATTAAAAAAAATGTTTAAAAGTTGGTTAGGTTCTAGTGAATTAGTGAAATCAAATTCAAAAACACTTGAACAAATCTGCAAAAAGCTGAGCTTTTTCATGAATGTTATTTGATGTAATATTGTCATATTTTATAATATTAGGCATATTACAATTAATTTTTTTTTAAAGATTTAACATAATTATTTTTAATATAGGATAAATGCCGTGAATTGCCCTTAGATATTCAAATTTTAAATTCTTTACGGAGGCAAGAAAATTTCAAAAATTATCAAGCAAAAAGCACAACTTAAATTTTGTATGGGATTTTTTTTATCTATTTATCTTATTGCTCTATTAGTGGCATTTATAAACTATAAATGCTGATTTAAATTACGGCATAACGTTAAATTTGTTTTCGCTATTAAACACCAATTATGATGAACATAAATCAAATTGTTGAGCATATTAATCGATCTGAACATTTTTATCTACATAAAACCAAAAAAAAAGAACTAGAAATTAGACAATTAGGGTAATCTTCGTTGGACACCTATAGTGTATTACTTACATAATAAGAACATAGATGGAGTTATATTTTAGTTTTAGGGTATGCTGCTATCAGTCCTAACTATAAACTAATATAAGATTTATTTTAAATTTTACCTGGTATAAGTTCAATATTTTTATGAAATGTCGTCAATACACTTAATAACTGTATACAATGCGTATTTTCTTTTTAATTTGGCTAAACATAATTTGAATACATATGATAAATAAAATAAAAAAGTTTTCCTCAATTTGAAAAAAAAACATTAGATAGCCTATAATGTTAACTGGCATACTTGGTAAAAACAATGATAAATTAGTGAATATGAAAATTAGAAAAATCATTCAATTTTTTAAATATTTTTTTTAAAACTGCAGGTTACATACATGAAAAATTTAACCTAAATATATAGATATCGGCATTGATTTTATAATACTATTAATACCTATACATATTATAAAATTAATGATACAGGTAAAGTAAACAAGTATTTTAATCTTAGTGTGATAGGTAGGTACCAAAAGCGTGATACCACGAGTTACCTATCTATTGATACAATAACCAAGAACAAATATCAATATTTTCCTTAGGTAACAATGTAGGTATAGTTATATTGATAGTCAGTTTTCAAGACTAGAACAATGTTGCACTCTTATAATAATTGATGGTGCACTACTTACTAAGTATATAGATAACTACCTCCCCAGACTAGATCCCTGTATCGCCGTACCGGTTTAATATTAAATTCAACCCTACCCGAAGCAAAAACTTTAATAACTCGACCGATAAATTAAGTTGAATATCATCCTGAATCATTTTACTTAAATATTTTTCGTATTTTTATTATGTTTGATTACAGGTTTTATTCACTGCAAGCAAATAAAAAAGTCAGTATTATTAAAATTTTATCTTGGTACAGCTCGAATTAGAAATTAAGTTTAAATGAGAATTTATCCATTCAAAATAAAATAAATTATTTTTTAGTTCATTCAGATCCACATTATTATACCACTGCCTGTGTCATATATTAAATAGGTACTTATTAATACTTATTAATACTTAACCTATTTTGTGGCTAGGACTCTAGTATAGGTACTTGTCTATAATTTAATAACCATAGTTAATAAATTTATGATATTACCAGTTAGTAAGGAAAATCATTGGCCAACTATATCTTTCCATAAGCAGCGATTTTGATGTTATCATCTACACAAAATCATAATTTATGATGTTATAATATATTTATACTTAATTAATTAAAATATAGGTATTACAATTTTTTTATTTTTCATGTTGTCTTTTTGATGTATTTTTTTATCAACTTTCTTAACTGTATTTATTTCATTATCAAATTGAATTATTTTACTATTACTTTGACTATTTTTCCATTTTTCTTGTAAAAAACGTATTAAATATTTAGAACCTTTCTTCACTGTATTTCCATCAGGGTAATCAAGTGGATTTCCAGTTACTTGCAATTCTCGGAGTTTTGGTAAAGATCCTAAACACACAATTTCATGAAAATAAATGATACTTACCAACCAAACTATATTTGTAAATACAAAGTATAAATGTACAATATTTATTATTTAAGTATCTAACTATATTAATGTATAGATATAGGTATTGAAGAAATTCAAATTCCAGTTATAATATGGCTTCAAAGATGTTAAAACAAATTCTTAAAAATATTTAATTAAAGTACCTATTTATTGGTAGTATTTGTAGGTATAACACATAGGTAGGTACTAGATTTTAAATATTAATTGTATATATTTTATGAAATTTATGTATTTTTGGATGCAATGAATAATCATTGCTAGTGAAAAAATATTCAGAGTAGAGTTCAGTTATATATGTTTTAAAAAGACGTAATATTTTCGATTTTTGTCGAAATTTGATTTTAACTCAAAAATATAAAAAAAAAAAATAATAATAATAAATACTCCCTATATTAATAAGGCGGCCATTATTGTAGTTGGAAAGTTGGGAAAATAGGATACAGACGGAAATTTAATTTACATCTGTAAGCAACGATAAACCATTGCTTACGGAAAAACGATTCTGAGCGGAGTTCAGTTGATAGTAATGCTTTGTCAACAATAAATATATGCCATATTATAGTAAAATAATTAAATAAGCTCTTTATATTTTCTTTAATAATATTTATTTTATGTTGTATCAATGTCCCCGGTTTTTCCATGTTTTTTACATTCGCTGAGAAAACTCCGGAGAAAATTGAAAAATGACCTCTCTAATGTACCTCCTCACACCGATTTTCTTTTAGAAAAGTTGCTACACGTACAAACCAGAGCAAGTCTTTTGGTAGAAAAGCTGTCCATAGAAAAAAAAAATAAACATCTTTGTAAAACTATAAGCTTTTCGCTCTACTCAAAATCTAAAAGGTAAATGTGCACAAATTAGTTGTAGCCCGTGGAACAGTCTATATAGCACACTACCTACTAAATTATTAGTTAGACTCTTAAGAAAATTCCTATTGATTTCAGTCGAAATGATGAAAATCGGAAGCTTACGCTATCTCCGGACTAAGTACTATTAAGTAGGTAGGTACTTCTATACTATAGTATAGTTCAATTCGTGGTCTATGGTGTAGAGTGTGGACAGATTAAAAACAAGTTTTGTATCAGTTTTTTTCTTTGTTGTACAATCATCAATAATAAAGAATTAGGTATTATCTATATATAATGCACTATGTTATCGGATAAAATAGATTATTCAAGGTGGATTATAATTATTACTATTTACGTACATTGGAGAATATGCCGATTTCTCTACAAACATATTATAAGTACTGCGAGTTTAACAAGAACCACTAATAACTGTGCATTTTTTTACGCCCACTTTAACGAACAATTTTATAAATCACACTCTAATATTTTTACATTTTTAGGCATTTTAATTAAATTTCTTTTACACCCCCAATAGGGTGTCCCTTAACTATATACAATAAAAAAAAAAAAATCCTAATATTATGTTTGGTCTCATCCTCTATATGGTTATGTATATGTATAAAAATACATAACTACAAAACAATTTTAACAATTATTTCCTAATAATTTTTTCATTATTTACGAAAATTTTCAAAATTTCAGGACATATTTCCTTTACTGTTAGAAATATTGACATTTTTTATCTCAAATATTGTAAAGTAAATTTTATTTTCTTTATTTTTTTTAAAAATATATTTTTTCAACTCATACCGTTCATGAATAATATTTACTTGATTTTATGAAAATATAATTTTCGTATTTTTTTATAGGTAGGAAAGTAATAATAATAATATTGGTTAAAATGATTTTATAAAATTCCCATAGGACTTTTTCTATCAATGATAATAATTATAATACAAATATAATGTTTATAATAATATATTTATCTAATCTCGTGTAATTATTTCTTTATATTTCCATACCTACCTGATAAAAAAAAACCTAACTTAATAATGTGGTATGTAGGTAACTTTAGGATTTTTAAGATCAAATTTTGATTTAAATCGTAAAAATGATGCCATTTCAAAACATATATAGCCAAACTTCACTCAGAATCGTTTTTCGTTGCTTATAAATATAAATTAAATAACTTTATGCGATAATTAAAAATTAGAAAAAAAAAACTTTATGTATCCTACCTTCACATCATTAACAGTGACACACCTGTTCCCAGTATCATCTATTTTATTATTTAAACATTCTATATTCTAAATAAAAACAACCACATAAAAATGGCAATAAAAATAAATCACTAAAAAACTATAAGTACTTTCAAAAAAATATTTTTTATAATAATAAGAAATAAACAATTTGTAGACAAAAAAGAAGATGCTCAGCGTTGATACTTTTAAGGCTTGATATTAATTATAATATTAATGCTGGTCTCTAATGAGGGAGTTCGGAATGGTTGGTTAAGTGAGATTGGAAACGTTTAAAAAAGATGGATGCAGTTTTGAATTTGGTGTTTATAGTCTAGTTTTCAAGTCTGGTTGAATATTAACCATTTTACTTTAATATAGTAAGCCCAGTTAAATTGCTTCTCTAGAAACATCAAACACCTGTATGTTTCTACAGATTCATAAATTACAAATAAAAGAACACACATTAATTTGTATAAATAAGATTTCCAGAAAAATAATTTGTTGAATATATCTAACTGTGGTATCTTCTCAATGGAAACACGCATAACTGTAATTTTAGTTTAGGACTAACTGAATGTTCTATTTTATATTTGTATATTATTATTTTTGCGAGTATAGTTTCTTTAGAAATTCATTTTTTTTTGATTATCTACAAAAGCTATATAATATTGTAATATTTATTATATATGTTTATAAATTTATAAATTATTAGGTAAATATTTATATTAATATACATACCTAATGTTATAGGTAGTTGCATTATATCATTTTTACCCAGAAGTAATACCTGTAAATTCTGATGTTCCTTAATACCATCTGGCAACTGTCGCACTCTGTTACATCTTAAATCTAACCACAAAAGTTGTTTACAATTTATAAACAGTTCGTTGGGTAATGTTCGTATATTGTTATTGTCCAAATACAAATACTGTGGAAAATATATTTTAGGTAATACACTATTGATTAATTTAAATACTTTCAACTCAAACATATTCACTAATCAGGACTCAGTTATAGTCTTACAAACAAATAAATACATTTGAATACCTACTTAACAAATTTTTTATCTATACTTACTCTTACAAAATAACCAATCTCTTGAATAAGAGAATGTGATATAACCATTATGTTTCTATTTTTCAGATTAACGATTTCCATTTATTTTTCCTTAAAAATTTATTTGGTTAAATACATATATAATTAGGTCAATTAGTATAATAAATAAATACAATATACTAAGTAATACTATTGTGATATATCAATAATAAATTTACAGTTCTGTGTTGTCATGACTACATAAGAGCATTCTGTTAACTGTCATAAATTACTTCAGAATATACATTATAAATAGTATTTTTATATTAAAATTAGGGTTTCAAACCGAAATTATTTTTTGTGGTTAATTGTTTTAGTTTTTCTGCTATTTTTTTCAATTTAAAATGCTGATTAATATTGATCCTACATTTTATAGTTTTTAAAACCGTGTTTCAAATTAATAAATACGGTTAATTTTGTTTTTTATTAACTTATTTTTCTTAAAACAATATTGTATAGAGTCTAGGTGTCTAGGTCTATTCGACATTTTTACAGCCTGTATTATAATATTAGGTACAACTATGTATGTATTATGTATAGTACATTAAGTACATAACACTTACCTAATAATATAAGAAAAAAACAAAACTAAATATTAATTTACTTTATTTTATTGTAAATTTTAAACTTAAAAAAATTTATAATTCGTAGTACACATTTATATAATTTATACAAATTTGGTATATAATGAAAAAAATAACATAGCACTAAAATTTACTTTAATTTTAAAATACATTTATTTATTTTAAACTTTTTAAACTAATAAAAAAAAGTATTCTCCATACCTACGGATATCTATATCTGTTAGTATTCAATTTATTTTATTTTTAATTGGATTTTCTTTCAACATGGGGAGGGGGAAGGGATATATACCTATAGGTATTTAAAGAAAAATTGAATTGTTATTATCACATTGAATCACAAAAAGAAAAAAGGTATTTTTTTTGAATAAAGTATACCCATAGGTAAATACATGTTGTATATATTTATGAGTATCTATACAGTAGACTGCATGTTTTTATCAAGGTGGATATTCACTTGGGTTTCTATACGTCCAAATAGAGTCATGGTACTACTAGATATATATTTTAACATCACAATAAAATGTTTTAATCATTTAATATGTAGTTAAAATATGAATAAAGACATAAATGTAAAAATTATGACATATATTTCTCCTCATTCATACACGACTCAATGACTTTTTTGCGCTCTGCCACCAAGTTGATATTATTACCAATATTTGAAAAGTATTTGACTATAGTCTTTTCATTTATGGACAAGAATCCATAAGCATAGCTATTAACCTGGTCAAAGGAATTTATTAATTTTGCTGGAACTTCCTTCGAATTCAAAATGTTGCATACAGTGTTCTTCTACAAAATCTATAATTCTTATTTGTTTGTTATTCCAATTTACTCTACTTCCTATGGTCATAACCACCCTCTCAAACGCATGATTTGCTCATTTCTTTCTTAATAAATATTCTCCCTTTTCTATCTTAACAATCACACTAAATTATGTGCACCATGTTTAGTTGTCAAGTAATACATGTTCTTATGGAATCTTCTATGTAAGTATCCCAATTTTTTTTTTAAATAAAGGAGAGAAAACAATAAAATGTTTAATTTCTATCAACTCGTTGATGAGGTACCTCCATTATTAAGTTTAGTATATTTGTAAGAAGGGAGGGAACAGAGAGAACTATTCTAAATACATCCAAAAATTAAACAAAGTTGAATTATTATTTTAAAATTAGAGAACAATAAACTTTTAGTATAAAAAAGTATAAGACATAGTTTTAAAATCTATTTTTATTTTTATATTTAGTATTGTAAAAAAATTCCATAAAAATTGATACATAACCATAATATTTATATTTAACTTTAATTAGTATCACTACATCCAAATTTTGCATTCCATGTCACATAATGTTTTAAATCTTCAGAAGATACACTGGGCATGACAATTTTTAATGCAGAAGTAAAATCATTTATATTAATTGGACGTACCTATAATCAAACATTACATAGAACATATTTTGAAATTTGAATTTAAACTAATTTACTTGATCAGCTTCAATGTTTTTAATCATATCAAAACTCATTGACCTTATTGGTCCAAGTGACGCTTCCTGGCATAAACTTTTCATATCTGCTCCAGAATAACCATCGCTTAAGGAAGCTATTTTTTCAAGATCATCATCAGATAAAACATGATTTTCTGATTCTGTTAACTTTTTAATCATATCTTTTCTAGCCTTTATAAAATTAAATTTAGAATAAAACATTACTTTTAATTTATATATATTAATAATAATATTACTTGTTGATCAGGCAACCGAATGTATAATTTTTTTACAAGTCTCCTTCTAGCAGCTTCATCCAACTCTTGTGGTCTGTTTGTAGCACCAATTATTAATATTCTATCATCATCATTTGTACCGGCTCCATCCTATATTCATTTTAAATTTATATTATACAGTATAACTTACAACTAATTTTTTTTTTGTTGCTATCAAGTCATAAATGGTAGACTATAAAAATATACTACATAGGCCATATTGCCACATTCTATTTGCTTCACATCTACTTACGGACTTAAATACACATAAGTAATAGCAAGTGTAGGTCAATCAAAGTTAAATTGAACAGTGTACATACTAATTGAATAAGAAATTCTGTTTTAATTTTTCTAGAACTTTCATGCTCTTGTTCAGTTCTTTGACACAATAATGAATCAATTTCATCAACAAAAATCACAGCAGGCTGATGACATCTATTAAAAACAAATTTGCATTTTTTCTAATTTATATAATAATATGTTATACAGTGGATTCCGCTTAATGTGAGCACTTTGGGACCAGTTAAATTTGCCTATATAATTGTTAAACATTAGATTTGGGACCAGACCATTACGTCCATATTAGGTGGCTGCTCGTATTAACCGGTGGCCACAGTAAATGAAATCTTCTATATTTGTTACCTGGCTACTGCAAATAAAGCTCTAACTGATTTTTCTCCTTCTCCAATCCATTTAGAAGTTATAGTTGAAGCACTAATACTAAAAAATGTTGAGTTAGACTGAGAAGCAATGCATTTACCTAAATCATTATTTTAAAAATAGTTTTTAAACAACATAAAAAATTTGAAATAAAAGCTGTACCAATCAATGTTTTTCCAGTGCCAGGTGGACCAAAAAGCAATATACCTTTGGGGGGTCTTCGTATACCTTTAAATATATCTGGCCTTAGAAGAGGCCAAATAACAGATTCCTAAAAATACAAAAGAAATAAATAAAAGTAAAAAAACCCAATATTACATTAGCCATACTTGTATTGTATTTTTGGCAAATTGTAGTCCAGATATATCATCCCATGTTATTGGATGTTTACATTCAATTATTTCATTTCTAATCATTTCAACCATCTTTGGATCAATATTTTTTAAATGGAAATTTTCATCTGCGTATGAATTAATATTCGTTTCAACTTTTACAGGCTGACTGAAAATAAAATTGTATTAGTTTTTTATAATATTATATACATTTTTTAATTTAAAAATTATATTAATGATATATACATGTTATCTCAAAAAAAAAATAAATAAATAAATTACTTTCGATTATCAGTAGATGGATTGATAAATTTACTAGTAACGCTACGGAATTTATTCACACCCAAATATTTTTTAACTGATGTTTCAGAAGTAACAGAAGTTTCATTATTTTGTTTTTTTGCTTGATTATGCTAGAAATAAATATTGATCAACATATAACAGTAATATACATTTTTATACTTTTAATTTGACTTGCCAATTCTGTTTTTGCAGTATGAAAGCCATTAATTTGAGTTTGGAAAGGTTCTTCATGTTTATTCTTAAGATTAGATGATGTGTGGAAATATAAATCATCATCATCAAATTTACTAAAAAGGTTAAGCTTTAGATAGTAAATTTGTAATATATAGAGTATCCCATGAGGATTCGACAAATACAATAACATTTAATCTATTCAATATTTTTTTCAAATAATTTCCTCAACGCTACAGTTTATATATGAACATTTTTTTTTTCAAGAGAAGGGGACTTAAAATAAAACATTTTAAATTTTACTATAATTTTTTTAAAAAAATTCAAAATAGATTTTTAGAAAACTTTTGGTGGTTGAAACTTTTTATTAAAGTATGGTCTTTTATTTTTCACAATATTTTGAAGTTTTTGCAAATGTGAATATTAAAATATTTAATCAATTAGTCAGAGCACATGACAAGGATTTTCTTTTTTTTTTGAGTTAATAAATTAATATGCAATAATATTATCATATTATAGGTATTAGGTAGTATCAATCAATCAATAATGGTAATTTATGTTGATAAATAATATTGTTATGCTCGAAAAGAAAATTACACGAATTTAAAAAAAAATCGTAGAAAATAAAAGATCGAAAGATTGAAATTTTTTATTTTAAGTCCTCTTCCTTCTAAAAAAAAAATAAGTTCTCATTTATAAACTGTAGTGCAAAGGCATACTATTTATTTAAAAAATGTATGTATCAAAAATATTGAATAGAACAAAAGTTATTTATTGCATTTGTCAAATTCTCGTGGGACACCCTGTATAATATTTTATGACATAATAAAGATACCTTCTTTTTCTATTATTCACTGACTGGTTAGTAAAAAGGGAATTTCTGAAGGTTTTTTGGTTGATTTGTTTCCTATCAATTTGAAAGGCCTGAGTAGCTAAAATATAATATATCTATATAAAAAAAACTAATAAGTACTTAAATGATTTATAAAATATATAATATCCTATTTTAATTTTTTAAATATTACCTTTTGGTTTAATTGTTTCATTTACACTAGAATTTTTAGGAAAATCAAGATAAAATTCTTTTTCTGGTTCAATTTTACAGCTTTGGGGATCTGGACACATGATAAATTTCTTGAAATCTACAACGGCTTCTTTAACATCAAAATTTGTATTTATCTTCCAATTTTTTGCATCTATTTTAAAAATTATAATTAGACATTAATAAATACAAAATTATGTTTTATTAAACTTAGATGATTATAATAATTAAAAATTAAAATTGATGTTCATATTAACTTAATTCAATAATTTACTTTATTTTAAGACTAAATATAATTTAACATTAAATAGAATTTGTAAACATTAATGTATTGATATTGATTATGTGGATGACACACTATGAAAATGATTGAGCTAATTTTCAAATGTAAATTGTATACATACTATTAATCCCTGAAGTTAAATTATGAATATCTGACATAAAATTATTGACACATTTTGGGTTATCAATAAGGTTTGAGTAAGATTTTAGTTCAGATTTCATATGACTCCAAATCCAATCAGTTTCATTTCTGTAAAATAATATAGTGGTGTTTAATCTTATAATATACATTATTGTAAATTATGTGAATAATACATAAATATGAATTTACAAAGAGTTTGCCAAAGAATAAGCTTGGTACAGGCATTTTCTTTTCGAATTTGCGGTTTTCAAATCATCATTTAAATCTTCTTCAAATTTGCTGTATAAATAAAAATCTCTAAATTTATCTTTGATCTCGTTTATGTCATTAGCCATGGTATATAATGTAAATTACAGAGAAAACTACTTAAAATTATTAGTTTAGGTAAATAGCTTTATATTACATAGCCTAGATAACATTAATAATAAAATATATCGCCATACTTGCAGTTTTTAAATTACAGTAAATAATAGCGTATCTATACTCATAAAATAAAGTTTTTACTACTCACTAATTACAATATTTTAAGATAGTAAGGTTTTAAATTCGGATACTAAATTGAGACCTATATGAGTACGTTCTACGAATTTGGATTTAATCTTTATTGGTGAGACGCGAAAACCCGGGAAACTATATTATTGTCTATATAACTTGTATCGCTGATAATATTTAGAACCAATAGTATCTTACTGATAATCGATATGCTCAGTGTGGCCTCTAAAACTGATAGGTTGGTGTTCCCGATTAACTACCACAGAGGTGCCAACTAACCGGCGACTTGCGTGGGGGTACATTTGTCCATTTTCATTGTTCTGACGACGATACCAAACGTTATTGTTGTGGTACTCGATTTGACGTTTTGTTTGCTTTTTCATCGAACTTTACTAATGTAGTATGCACTATTCACGATTATTGACTTTTGCGTTAAAAGAAAATTGATGTGTGTCATCTTTCTGTGTGACTAATTTTTGAGCTCAATAGTTAAATAAAAAACTTTCAGAAAAATAAATAAATACACAGTTGTGCGTTACGTACGGATGCTTCTATTGAACACACTAACTGGAGGAATATTGTCTTCTATCTAGTGGACTACGACTTTAAGGACACAACGGAGGCGACAACAACAACTCTACGCTACAACCATCACATCAGGCAGCTTCTGTCGGAGAAGATCTAGACTTGAAGATTCTGTGTGTATCATATCTCCGTCAAGATGGCTGACAACTGCTGCGTTTCGCAAAATGATAATTTTATTTGTGGTGTTGTTGAAGGTATGCTGTAATATTAATTCATTGTTTATACATTTATTGTTAATATTTATTATAACTATTTATATCTTCTACTATTAGTATTGACAGACTGTCAGATATTGTGATCGTATAATATTATATCTAATATTTAATTTCCATGCGCATTACGACACGTATGTGGTGTGTGGGTGTGACTATAGTGCCGTATTGGTTGACGGCATTAACGTGTTTTATACGAGTACGGTCTATAGAAATAAAGATTTCGATACAGACGTTGATTTCATTTAATTCCGAAGTTTTTCTTACGTTAAACATTTAAATTAACATCTTTAATACCTACTTATGTAATCCTTAATCCGTATGGCGTATATTTATATAATTGATAGACACGTAATAATTATAAATTAAAATACATTGGTATTCAACGGGTATTTTTTTTATTTATATAGAAAATGTATTGATTCATTATTTTTTCTTTTAAAAGAATGTATCTTTCACTCTAAATCTTATAACAGTTAAAAGAACCTAACCTTTAAAAATTGTAAAAAAATACAAGTTTGTAATTTATTCAACTGAATAAATAGAAACGTGATGATTGCAGGTAGGTACCTACTGTACCTACTATAATTTGAGTGACTACTTGTCTAACAAAAAAAAATGTGCAGACACTCAATATGTCTGGTTATATTAAGTGTATGTTAATGTAGATACCAGCTATATAGGGTGATTTTATTTTTGTGACCTATGACCTATTAATTCTATCAAGATTTTTAGAAAATTGTATATATTTTTTTTTCATTTTTATGAACAATTCTTTCAAAATTCTAACCTTGTTGTGTGCACTTTAGACATCAAAATTTTACTTTAAGTAGTAACCCCTCTCCATTTTCAAATAAATATTGTTAATAAATTATAAATTTTTAAAATTTAAACTAGAGGAGGTTATTAAAATTTGGATATACAAATGTTACTCTTCACTAAATTGGTCTAAATTTTAAAATTTTATAGATTTTAGTGTTAAAAATTGTTTTGTTAAACCTAAATTATTGTTTGAAAATCCTAAGATCATAATTTATTGTATTTATGGCGCATAGAATCCAGATATAGTATATATCTTTGTAGACAATCTCTAGATCACGGCAATATAGATAGACAAGATCACATTGATACGTGTTTCTTGACAGATCTAGTGCACTAGATTACTATTGTTTTTGTCATTTCATTAATTGTGATAATTTTTATCACACAAATAAAAAATCATAGGTACATAGTTAACATTTAATTTAATTTATCTATCTAGGTTAAAATTTAATAAGACAACAGTTAAGAATACTAATATTTTTAATTACTATAATAACATATAATGCTTAACATTTTGTGGCAACAAATCTTTACAATTTACACAGAATTTAAAAATAGTGGTAATTTAAACAACCAATGAGATGCCAAAAACAAAAGTAATAAACAAGATTTTGTGAAGTAATTGTATATCAGTAAGAATATGGTCATATCTATTTATGTTGTCTTGCTCAGGTTCATCTAATTTATTGATATCAAAATATTGTACGATTATATCTATCATTATTTTAAATTCTGAGCAAAGTAAAGATATTTATTAGCTTTACAATGGTGTTAATTTTTTTCACTGTGAATACATTTTCTACCAGAAATCGCTTTGATTTTCAAGTGTAAGACCTCTTCTGAAAAGAAATTTTATTTGTGTTGGCACAGTGAGGTAATTTATTGATTTTCGAATGAGTTTTTATAATAAATGGGAAAAACAAAATCTATAGGTAAAATATATTATTTTAAATTCTGTTTATTTGTTGTGATTTAGTTAAAAATATTTGTAGACTTGAAATTTGGACAAAACACTTATATTTACTTTTTCTAGACCTGGTCAAATTTTCAAAGCATTTTAGCCATTTTTTAGTCTTATGTATATTTTAATTTTGTGAGTTCTTTTACTTAATTTTTATTTGGTATCTACTGTGTAAATAAAATTGTTAGACCAAACAGAAATGCTTAAAAATTTAACAAGGTCATTACCTCAATTTTCATATTTGCTCTTGTATAATACATTATATAATATAATGTAATATACATTATAAATTGTACATCGTGTTTAAAAAAAAAAAAAAAAACATTTAGTGTAATGTACAATTTTTTTATAAGAATTTGAATATCAAATTTTGACAAAAATTGTAAATATTACAGTCTTTTAAAACATTTTTAACCAAATTCCCATCAGAATTGTTTTTTGCTAGTAATGTTTAATCCTTGTGCACAGAAATACTTTAAATTCCTCTCTAAATTTTACTTTTCCAACTACAGCAGTGATCCACCCAATCGTGTGAAGTATGTTCCTTCTTTTTTGATATATTTTCCATAACTTGGTGTAAATGTACAACTAGTTTACAATATGTACTAAATAATTTTCTTTGGACCTTTTCCCTTTTATAAATACTGATAATTTAAAACGTCACATATTTACTCATCTAAGTGATAAAAGATTTATTCAGTTATATTAAACTAAGTTTCTAATTAAAATCTTAGTATCAATGATAGAATTGTTGTCAAAAATAATTTAAAATTAAAAATTACCTAGGACTTAGAAGCTTATTTATTACTTTGGTTTATTATTATTATTTAATACTACTTATAGTTTTTACGATTAGATATAATTCATAGTATTATGTTTAACCAGTTATATATTAAATAATAACAATAATTTTATCTTGAAACATTTACTTAATACGTGTGTTTTAAGTAGATTTATTTGCTTAAAAAAATTATTGTGTATTAAGGATAAACATGTATTTAATGCATACAAAAAGTTTATTTTTTATATTACCTATTGGGTAATTCATTAATCATAATCCAGCATATTTCTTGAATGATTTAAATCAATTTCTGTTTTTCCAATCATACAGTTATATAAGCTTTATTTTAATAATATTTCTAAATTTTACTTAAATTCTTATACTATTTTGTTATCTCGACTTCTGATAACTATTTTCAAGATTACCTAAGTATATAAATGTAAAGTTCTGGGTGAATACAATTAATACAATTTGATGTACAATTCAGAAAAATTCACAAATTCCCAAGGTGTAATCTGTATCAATGTAATGTACAATTTATTATTAAGTAGGTATTAATTACATCAGTTGCTGTTTAGGTATTGCCCTGTGTCCATAATTGTTAATAAACATCAAAGAATTGTGATTTATTTAACATGAATTTCCTTCAACGAAAAAAATAGTTAAGATTACAGGATTGTGCACATAGGGCATAGACGTACCTAAGATCATTTTTTTTTTTCATAAGATAGGTAATTAAGATAACAAGATAGTATTCTAATCCCTTTGCCTACTTTAAATTAGTATCTACATTTAGTATATACTTTTGACCTTAGTCAAGTTATTAATATGAAATTTTTATTTTAGGATTTTATGGAAGACCATGGACAACTGAACAACGTAAAGACTTGTTTCAAAAGTGAGTAGTTTTCCAAGCTGTTTTGTTATAATTCGCTTTGCAAGCTAATTGTGTTTACCTTTATCTTATCTAGTATAAGTAAATCTACCATAACTCCTTTTTCTTTAGAAATATATACATACATTAAATTAAGTGATAATTTAGATAACATCTCTTCAAAACGCTTTTGAGAAACTTAAAATTTAAATCCTCATGGACAATCAAATCACTAAACTAGTGTCCTTTTGAATTGTTCCTTGGATTTATTGTGAATTTAATATATTTGTTGTGTTTAAGTTATTGTAATTGGTATTTTTAAGACAATATTTTTATATAACAGACAATCCTTTGTAAATTAAGACTTGTAAGTTAGTTAAGAAATGGCTGTTGTTAACATGAATAGTTTAATGAATGGGAAAGATTCTCGGTGGCTGCAACTTGAAGTTTGTCGTGAATTCCAAAGAAACAAGTGCTCACGCAGTGACACAGAATGTAAATTTGCTCATCCTGCTACTAATGTAGATGTACAGAATGGCAAAGTAACTGCCTGTTATGATAGTATCAAAGGGAGATGTAACAGAACAAAACCCCCTTGTAAGTATTTTCATCCTCCACAACATTTAAAAGATCAACTTTTAATAAATGGTCGAAACCATTTAGCTCTCAAAAATGCTTTAGTGCAGCAAATGGGTCTAGTGGCTAATCAGCCAATAGTTCCTGGACAAGTACCTGCACCTATGCCAAATCCTGCTTACTTAGCACAGCTACCCAGTACTCAAATAGGAAATACATTTAATCCCTATTTTAGTCATTCTAATCCACTTATGAATCCTTTATCCCAATTTTTTGCCCCTAATCCCAATAATTTGGCCGCCATCGCAATACAACAATCGGTCGTAACACAAAATTTGCAACCACCTGAACGTTTGGATATGGACTTGAGTAAAATCTCACCTTTCTATTATGAAAACTTATCATTGCCTGGATTAATGCCTTTTAAAAGACATTCAGGAGATAAAGCAGGGTTACCAATGTTTCAACCTAGTGCTAATGCAGCTTATCAGCAATTATTTCAGTTTGTTCCACAACAAGCAGAGTACCCTCCTACTTCAACTGCAGCAGCTTTATCTGCAATGCCAAAACCACAACCTCAAGCAGTAACACAACAACAGCAGCAAACTCAACAACAACAGCAACAAACACAACAGTCTATAATAGCCCCGCAAAAACCGCAGACTCCTGAATTACCATCAACTCAAACTCAATTACAATCCCAACAACTCGCTGCATTTCATCATTTGCTTGCCATGTCTCCTCAACAACAACAGCTTCTTCAACAACAACAACAACAACAATCTTTACAACAGCAACACCAACAACAACAAGTTCAATTGACTCAAGCCCAAAACCAAGCTCAAGCTCATTTAGTTCAGTCACAAGCCCAAGTTCAGAATCAATTACAGGATCCTATGCAACAAGTTCAAATGCAACAACATCAAGCATTTGCAGCGGTATTCAATCAGTTAATAGCCATGAGACCACCACCTCCGCCATTGGCTGCTTTCCAAGCTCCACAATTGGCCCCTAATCCAAATTTGATGACATCACCATCTATGAAACAGTTTATTGCAGCACAAATACAACATCACATACATAATAGCAATTTGAATGGTAATTTAAACCCAGCTGCTTTAAATGGCAGCATTAATAACATTAAAAGTGAGGAAGAAGTTCAACAGCCCTTTAAAAAAATGAAAACTACTTGACAATTTCGGACGACTTCACTATTTGATTATTATTAATTAATTATACACAGCTATTAAAACATGCTTTTGTGTCTATTTAATATTACATTATTTTTACCCTGGAAAAATCATTTTTATGAAACATAGTTTTTTGCTTTTAAAACCACCTGTTAATACAGTTAAAATCAGTTAATTTTAAGTATAATAATCATTATTTTGAGTTATTTTAATATTAAGTTGTCTTACTTATGCCATTATTTAGATTTTTTGTGTTTTAACATTTAATTATTACATTACCTATTTTAATTGTAATGCGCTTGAACTTTAATCTACTCGCTTATAACCAGATATTGCAATATTTAACCTTACCTATATTATTGTTTAATCATTACTATATTATTGTAATTCATAATTATTTTAAACTATTGTATCGTATAGTTCCTCGTGTAAGTGCTTTCAAGCAACATTATTTTTTAAATTAATAATTGCATTTTAATCCATAAACCTATAGTTTAGTGATTTGAGTCCATTATTGTTTTTTTCGTGCATATGAATTTGAGCAAATTAATAAATGTTTGTATAATTAAGTGATTATGTTAAAATCAATTTTGTAAACTGTTAATCAAATATTATTTTTTGAATATGTAGAACATAAATGTTCTAATTAATTTTTTTACAAATGTTATAATCAATAGATATTAACAAATCTATTTTTAATTACAAAATACTAAAAGAATGTTTTTATGTCTTTTATAATCGTTATAGAGTTTGAACTAAAATACTGTGTAATTTAAGAATTTTTGAATTGTGATAAAATAGGTATTGCCTTAATCAATGTTATACTTAGATTTAATCATCTACCTCTTTTTTTTTATTAGTAAAATTGTCATTCCAAATTCCAATCCTAATGTATTCTATAGCAAAAATAATGTTTCTAATAAACTTTTCATACTTATTGTGCATGTGCAATAAAAAACACAGCTCTGCCAATATAATGCCCACCAAGCTTCCTTTTTTCATGGAAACCTCGTGTTTTTTACATATATATATATATATATATATATTTATATTAATTACATTTATTATTTAAAAATACTAACTAAATTTTAATATGAACACTGAAAATTTGGGATTGGAGTTCAGCTTGTGTGAAAATATATTAGTTAAATAGTATACTGTTAAATACATTAAAAAAATAAAAAAAAATAAAAAAAAAAAAAAAAAAAAAAGGCTATAAAGCTTTCATTAGCCATTATTTATCTTGGTTATTGGCTATTTTCAAATAAATAAAACATTTTTTTTAGGCCTATATGTATGTTGCAAATACTTATGGTAGAATTAAGGCTATTTTTCTATAGTAAAATGCTTTAAAATACATTGTGAATAAAGTAGCTTGTACTTAATAAAGGTGGCATACCTAAGCTAGACTTATTTTTATTTTTTTATCATCGTGTGTACCTACCCTTGCACTGGCTTCAACTATCTGTTTTTTAGCAAAACTCATACATGAACAAATTTATAGCTTCTTTTATTGGTTGTCTCCATAACAAGGGTTGAAGTGTCAATGTTTCGCTACAAGCAGCCTACAACTACCATTATCATTTGCAATGCCTGTCATCTTCGTTTGTTTTAAGCGGACAACCTCTTGTTTGGAGTGCTAGGTAGAAATACCCTCATTAATAAAATAATAATGATAAGAGGTCATTTACTACTACTACCCAGCACTTAAGCTATGTTTTGTAAATTGTTTTAAAAAATATTAGGCTTTTGAGTTCAAATGACTTGTTTTTATTTGTCTAGTGGTAAGTTGAAATATTTGAATAGTTACATATATTTATTCTAATTCTATTACCTAGGCAATACTTAACGCAATTATTTTTTTATTTTTTTTTTTTTTGTAGACAGCACTATAAAAAGTATCAAAAGCCCCTTGGTAGCCTAATTTATTTTAGGCTAATTTTAAAGCCTAATATATTATTTCCATTTGCTTTGTCATTAGACTTACTATCTTAATATGTTTTTATAAAACATTCTTTTACTTTTAAATAATACATTTTTCAAACTAATTATTTTATTCAAAAATAAATAGGGATATATTTTATTAAATGACATTTTATTTATGATTCAGAATGGTAAATAATAATAATAAAAAAAGAAAGTAAGTTATTAGATTGATAAAATAACAAACATAAAGACATATTTCATTATTTGTATAGATAATAATTTATGAGAAAAAAACCATTTATATATATCAGTAACAATTCTTTATTGTTTTAAATATTTATTATTATTATTGAAATGTCTTAAATGTTATTTAATTATTAAAACAAGTCTTTAATAAAACAAGAAGAAAACTAAAATTTTAAATAGTTCAATTAAAAATTAATGTTTATTTAATTTTCATGGTTTACTTTTATGATAAGTAAGAAAAAAGTATTTTTACTTTTGAGGACATGCATATTTTGTTTTAACCAAAGCAATCAAAACACTTAACCTGCTTATTCTCAATTTTTTTTTTTTTTTAACCGAGTATGCATGTACCTGATAATTCATCCATTTGCTATTCATAATCAGATATCCTCAATTCAAACCTATTTGATGGTGGTGACCCGGAAAATTGCTTTTTCTACTCATGTAGACAATGTATAATGTTTATCTTTCTATACTTATGGTCATACAACAATTTGTTAAGTTGAATGTATGTTTATCTTATTATTTTGCATGAATACCTAAGAATTAATTAAAGGTGAAATGGAAACCTATAATCATTATGATATTATTCATAATACATTATTATGACTTGAATATGTACAACTGAAAGACAACACATTTTAAAGTAGGTTTGTTTCAAATTTTACATTGGTAGCCAATAGGGCTCTACACATGCTTGAATGGAGTATTCTTCTCACTGCAGTCATATTATAATACCTATTGTGTATTATAAAAATTATATTATTGTAAACAAATAACTGAATAATTTATATCTATTAGCTATACTAAAAATTATACATTTTTTTTAATTTACCATTTTATTTACTTTTAATCCAATTTACTAAACTAATTTATACTAAAAATAAATTTGTGTTATAAAACTTTTAGGGATCACTATTTTGTATTATTTATAAATTGCTGGACGATATTTGTATATATCTGTTGTATGTATGCATATATATCTATATACATATATTTAACAAACACATTTATATTTTATTTATTATTAAAGCGAATTGTGTACAATTTAATGGTGTATGGGAAAATACTAAAACAATAATCAAAAAACACATGGTTGTTTACCATTACTTAAGTTTAAACCATCATCTTATTTAATTATTAATATAATACAGTTTTGATATCGGTATAATATTGTACGTAATGTATGATTCAACACATAAATAATTTAGAACTAATAACTATTTGGTTATCGATTTTAAATTGATTTAATGTATATGAAAACGACTAAATATAAACTTTTATAAATAATACTTATTTAAACTTTTCATATACATGTGTGTGTTGTGTGTATTGTAACAGCTTGGTTTAACCAAGTTCTGAACTGAATACTATTTTTGAACGCATGGAAATAATGTTGATTAGTACAGGTAGTTAATATTTTGTACTAAGTATATTGAAACTTTACCCTTAATAAATTGTTGGCCATCTGCTGCTCTAACTCTTTAGTAGAGTATATATGTTAACTCAATATTTATTACTGTATTTTTAGATTGCAAAGTACAATCAATGTATGGAAAAAAAAAACAGATTGTATGCACAGAATATTTCACAAACTTGTGTTGTGGTAATACATATATACATTATACATGTATTCTGTTACTAAAGATAAAATACAAAATAACTGTTTTAGTACTAATCGTAGCAAGACTGTGTGAAAATTTATGCATACAGTCTTAATTTGAGCGATTTAAATTATTTTGTGTCTTATTAGTTGAGCATGTTATTCTGGAGTAAACAAGAAAGATATTCACATGAGTAATATTTATTGCTTTGGCCCATTTGTGCTAAAAAAAAAAAAAAAACAAACAAAAAAAATGTATATTTTTAAACCCAGGCTGCTGTTTGTTACAAAACTTGTGAATGGATTCAATTCTAACCTGTCACCTCTCACTCGCATCTGCCTCTGTTTCACCCCAGTCAACCCTATGCACCAATTTCAACCTGAAACCCTGCGATGTTTTCAATATTATGTATCCATAATACATGCTAATGGTGATTGTTGTTTACCGGTTACTATGCTGTTTTTTGGTTGCTAACGGTGGATTAAAAATAAATTAAAATTAAATATAATTTAATGCCTCGCATTTACGAACGCTATAATATTCGTGCATTTTTTTTTTTTTTGCCGTAATTTTGTGACAATTGCAATTAAAAAGTGTTTCATAGTGAAAAATGTATAAGTGTCGCAGACGAACAGTCAACAGACAGCTATGTTATGATTTCACATCATTTTGATAGTAGACTCATGCTGTGCTTAGTTTTTAATTTCTGTTTTCTTTTTTATAATTTTATTTTATTTTTTTATTATTCACCACCTAAATTAACTGTAGCAGAAAAATAATTGGTGCAGATTCAAAAATTACCAAATTTTGGGTTGTATTCATTTTATTTAATATGCTTATTTTATATTGCTGTGTTATAAGCTTATATTCGTTTAAAAATTAATTAATACAATTCAAAGCTTAAAGTTTAAATTTATATTAACATTTTATCATTATATATGTAATTATTTTCTATTTAAATCATTTTTAGGTTAAAAAAATGGGGAGTAGGTTGTTATGTGTATGCTCCTAAAGACGATTACAAACACCGGGCATATTGGAGAGATTTGTACACAGTTGAAGAAGCAGAGCAATTGGGTGGTTTAATTAGTGCTGCTAGAGACTGTGGAGTTACCCTCTATTATGCTTTATCTCCAGGACTTGACATGACCTATAGTAGTCAGAAAGAAATATCTACCCTCAAACGAAAGTTGGATCAAGTTGTTCAATGTGGTTGTAAAGCATTTGCTTTATTATTTGATGATATTGAACCAGATATGTCACCAGCTGATAAGGAAGTGTTTCAATCATTTGCACATGCTCAGGTAGTTTGACAATTATATTAAAATAATATTAAAGCTTGTTATAAGGTTTTAAATGTCAAATGTTTCAAATTTGTAGGTATCAATTACAAATGAAATATTTCAACATCTTGGTCAACCCAAATTTTTAGTTTGTCCTACTCAATATTGTTCAGCACGGGCAGTACCAAATGTTCAAAATTCTGATTACTTAAATACCTTAGGTTCAAAGTTGGCACCCCAAATTGATATAATGTGGACCGGTTAGCTGCTGTAAATTGAATAAAAAATTCAAAGTTGGATGAATAATGTAAGCCTCTTGACTATGATCTGCTTACAATTTGTTTCAGGACAAAAAGTTATATCACGTTCATTGACTACTGAATCTATTAGAGAAATTACCGAAGTATTAAGACGACCTCCTGTTATATGGGACAATCTACATGCTAATGATTATGATCAAAAGCGTGTATTTTTGGGACCTTATCAGGGACGTTCTCCTGATTTAATTTCACAGTTAAGAGGAGTATTGACCAATCCAAACTGTGAATATGGTGCTAATTTTGTAGCTATTCATACATTGGCTCAATGGAGTAAATGTAGTTCTGATCCTTCATCTATCACACATGACAGTATGTACAAATATTCAAGTCACTTTTTATTTGTTGATCTTATATTGATTTTGTGCAATATATATTATACAATAAGTATAATTCATTTAACTAAAAAGGTATTCAACCAAAGAATTGAGTATTACATAATTTGTATAATATTGTAATAATTATCTTTGGTATAGAAATATTTTTAAGATATTAACATCATATACCTGCTATTATGGTTGTTGAGAATAATTATCATAAAATACAATGTATTACCCTAATGTCAAAATAAAAAAATACATTTTTTTTGGTTTTTCAAAAAATGTCAAACTAATTTTTTATCTTTACTTATCATTCTTCTCACTTAAATTAGTAGTAAAATGTCTTCACTTATAAATTTGTTAAAACGAGAAAAAAAAGTCATATTATTTTAAAATAAACTTAGGATGAAAAAAAAGTATTAGTTGGCCCCATAACACTAGCTTCTTTTATTAGATTATATATTATATTGATTATGTTCGAACATATTAAATTTATTTTGATCAAAATTTTTCTATGAAATTGGCAATGTATTTGGCAAATTTTTAGGTTTTGGCCTGGAACCTACAGAAATTTTCTGGAATTATATTTGTATTATAAATGCAAGATGAATTTGACACAATATTTAGATGTTTCCAAATTTTGGTATCCGTTATATTATTATTATTTTAATATGATCAACATATGTAATTTTATATGAGAGGGTGATGACGAACATGAGTGGCAAAGGAATACATTTTTACAGCGCTTTAGTGGGGTGCTAACAAATTTCTGTTAGTCAAAGTAGATTAAATAAAAAATTGGAACTTTTCGAATCTGATGCTAAAAATAAGTGTTTTTATTTATAAAAATGTAAATTGTATTGCACACAGTGGAAGAATTTTAATTTTGAGAATTGTCTCAAAACATGTACTTTAGTGTACCTTTGTTCTTCCTAAAAAAACTATTTCAATCTGGGTGAAATATTTGTTTAACCATTTTTGTGAAGTACAGTTTATTTTGACATTTATTATTTTAATTTTATAAAAATACTTTTCTCAAAGTTTCTAATTTGTTATTAATTAATTTAAACATCATAATGAAAAGCTAAAGGAAATGAGATTAAGAAAATAATGTAAAATATAATTTGTGTTCTAAATAATGTTTTTGGCAACTATGTAGGAGTTCTAATAAATTTTGTATTAATTCCAAATAGTTAAACCATTAAAAGCTATCATTACATTTATACATATTGAACAGTTTACAATTCTTAAGAATTTCATTAAAAACAAAATTTCTGAGATAGTGTATCAAAGTATAAATGAAATAATAACGATTTAAATTGCTTATAAAAAAAAAGTGTTTATATTATTATTATTTTTTACATACACAATTTTATTATGAAAAAATCTGGACATTTCATAGAATGGAATTTGTATAGATTCCAAAAGAGTGCCTAAAAGTTTAGAAATTTATTTTATAATCAAATTTAAACAAAAAGCTATCTTCGAATAATGGGAATGTATGCAGCTACTGTTATAGGTGAGAAGTTGGGAAGGGAGTAGAGGGGAAATTTAATGTATATCTGTAAGCAACAATTATTTATTTTCATATGGCAATCGGATATGTAACATAATAATAATAATATAATATAATATAATAAATAATGAATAATGTTACCAATTATAATCAATAAGAAATAGTAAAAAGAAAAATAACATAACAATAATAATAAAATAATACGAAAAAAAAAATATAAAATAAAAAGGGGTTAAAAAAACAAAGTCAAACATTCTGTTACAATTTATAGAGGGTATAATTTTGGTTCATAGGCGTCAATCTAAATTTCTTAGCCATTCTCTAGCTTCTTCCTGGCTCCGTGGAGTCTGTGATTGCCTCTTCCAAATCGTGATAATGGCATTCTTGTGCAACGTGTTTAACTATCTACGCCTGATCACAAGCACAATATGGTGAGTCCACCATCCTCCACTTATACATGAGGTAATTATACTTACCCTGTTTCTACCCCGTCCTCACTCTGTTGAGTATCATCCATTCTACTTTTGGGAGATCAAAACTAGGGACTATGTGTAGGATCTTCTATTAAGTGTTGATTGCATACTTTATTATTTGTCAATTTCTTTTTCCATTTTTCCTCCATAGACTCCAAAAAATCTAAGTTTATCTCAATCGAGTGTTGGGATTTAAGTCAGGCCAGGTGTCTGAAACACATCACTATGAACTGATAGGTTAGATAAGTTTTTCTATTTTTTGCACTATTTTGGCAGCTGCGGCATAACAATACATATCAGGTGGAGCATAGGTTCAAGAGAACTGGCAGCAATTGTGTGCTAGTAAATTTTATAACCCTTATAATGATCCTCATTGTATGGTTAAGCTGCGTATCCACAGTTTTAACGTGCGTGCTTCTTGCCCACACTGGTACACAGTACTCCATGACGTTTTAGACTAATGTCACAGCCGATGTACGCAGTACGATGGCCTTACATCCCCAGCTTATTCCCGATGGTTTTGTTAGGATGTTATTTCTGGATTTTATTTTATTTTTACTCCTTCCAGGTGATGTTTGTAATTTAAAGACCTGTCCAGTTTAATGCTGAGATATTTTAGGCAAGTTTGTTGGGTATAGATACTCCATTAGTTGACAGGTTGAGCTTTCTTTTGGCTTCTTTGTTATTGAGATGGAAGGCTATAGCTGTGGTCTTATTGGGATTGAGAGTGAGGTGCCATGTCTTAAAGTAAGTTTGAACTTTACTCAACTCTTTATTTGGTATTTCCTCTAGCTTTTCGAATGTTTTTGCCTGTGCCACAAGACCCACATCATCAGTGTACATAAATTTCCTAGCTGTTGTTTCTATTACGTCTGTTTTGTATACATTAAATTATATTGGGGAAAGGACAGATTCCTGCGGGAGGCCATGTTGGAGGTACTTTACTTTAAATGCCATTTAGGCCAACTCTAAAATTTCTATCCGAAAGCATATTATTAATGAGTTGTATTGTTGTCTTACGTTTTAGGATTTTTGTCAACTTGAGGAGTAGTCTTTGCTTCCAAACTGTATCGTAGGCGGAAGTTAGATCTAAAAACACCACATCAGATTTGAATGATAAAAGCCATTTTCGTGACTCGGTTTTCCTGGTTTTAGGATTGCAATCATTTTGGCTTGGTGCCATAGCTTGGGTAGAGTGTTGCTATTATTTATGTGTGATAAAAGTTTTGAGAGTTGTCCTCTTCCTCTTGGTTCCAGATTTCGGTTGATAGTGCTACTTTGTCAACAATATGTATGTTATACTATGGTAAAATAATTAAATATGCATTATATATTTTTTTTTATAATATTTGTTTCATATTGTACCTATGTTAATTGTTCTTATGTTTTTCCCATTTATTTGGAAAACTCTTGGGAAAATCAAAAAATGATTTCCCCAGTGAGATTTCTTTTTAGAAAAAGTGCTTTCATTGTAAATCTGAGCAAAATTGCCGGTAGAAAGTTGTCCACAGAAAAAAAACATATCATTGTAAAACCAATATATTCCTTGTTCCACTCAGAATTTAATAGTTAAAGTTTAATTTAACTTAATAAATAATAACAATAATTTATTTTTAAGTGTATTGTAATTCTGTGTACACTAACTTAATAAAATAACTGGTATGGGGCCAATATTATTTCTGTAAAGAATTAATACTAATGCAACATATAGAACTACATCAAATCAATGATACTGTTATTATTCTTCAAAGGCTTAATTTTATTCTAGATGAAAGTATGAAATTAGAAACTGAGAGTGATGAAGAAGGTATTATTGATCTTCCAGAGAATATTTACCATTCAAGAAGAGCATTACGTATTGCAATAAAAGAGTGGATACCAGAATTTCGTAGACAGAAACAAGCTCATGGACCAATCATCAAACCTCAACCTGCTATAGCAATTATGTCTCCTGTAGCCATTCCTGTTCCATCATTTAATACTTGTATGGCAACCTCAACCACTACCATTACAACTTCTACTTCCACTACCCCATTGTCTTTATGTACAACAAATAACGTAGAATCAATTTCATCATCAACTGTAAATGGCAACAGTAATATCTTACAACCTGCTGTTGCTGCTGGCATAAATCATCCCTTGGTGATAATGAATTCATTAGTATCTGAAAGCAAAGTGATCAGTGAGCCCATGGACTGCAATATGTCACCAGTATTATCACCACAAAATTCAGATTCAGCCATGAATACTGATAATGGTTCTGTACGTATATTTTATGGTAAAAATCTAAAATCAGATCAAGCATAGTTTATTTTATGATGAGATATAGTATAAACCTGAATTATATTATTTACATCAAATTTGTACCTACAACCTAGCTTTTACTAAAAATTAGTTGTACTTAGTAAATATTAATTTTTATGAGCATATTTTGGTAAACCAAGTTAAAATTAGCAAATTTCATTATTATCTGATTTTGGGCTTTAACAGTAATATATATAATATATATTAGGGTGGCTGTTATTTTGGAATTTGACACAAAATTTTTTTTTATTTTACATAATTTTTAAATTCTATATACCAGTGGTGAGCAACCTGGAGGTCACTATCCCTAAGTGGGTCACAATATTGTAACACCAAATTAAAATTATAAATACAAATTATTTTATATAAAGTAATTTGTATTGTACCGTTTTTATTGTGGCCGTATCAATCGTAATATGTCATTATTATCTTAATATTGTGATAATAAGTTTTATTGAATCACATGTATATGGGCTATTTTTAAATTTAATTAGAAATTCTTATTTCCTTTTACTTCAACTTATTTATGTAAAACAGCATTTTCACCACTAGCGATGTTAAAAAAAACAAACATCGCTCCAGATTAAATGTAGAAACAGATTTAAGAGTGGAAATCTTAAATATCAAACCCAATTTAAATTCAATTATGTTTAAAATTCAAGCACAAGGGTCTCATGAAAATATTTTTTTTTTTTATGTTTTGGAATCAAAAATTTGGATAAATTAAATTAAACAAATATTAAAATTGCATAAAATTAACAATTTAATTTATATGACTATAATTATTGTTATACTTCAAGTAAATATATGTATTATACTCTTATGTAATATTATTAAGTCGCCTCATCGAAATAAATTAATTTGGAGGCCGTGGATCAAAAAAGATTGTGCATCACTGTTATAGAAAGAACAAACTAAATCTAAAAATTGTTTTCTAGCCCTATTTTAATATTGACTAATTGGTATTAATTTACTCAATTGTATATATTTAAATAAAATAGGAATTTCAATAAGCTGTAGTTATTATCGTTTTTAGGTTCATACGCAATTAAAAAGTTTGGTGTGGATCTCATACTTAAAAAACCAAATCTTATTAACAATTATTTTTTTTAATATTTTGCCATATGCAGTGATTGAAAATTATTTATTTGTTGTATTTATGTGTTAAATGTCCTTATTTTTACTGAAAATACTTAAATATTATATTTTAATCATTCATTGATATACCAGCTCTCATTTATAATACTTATGAAAATAAATTACTGAAAAATATATGTGTATAGTTTTTTTGTTGCAATACTGAAATTAAAAAAATTAACTATTTGTAAGAATTATTTTATGGCTATTAACCTTATATATAGATACCAATTTTGTCATATGATAACTTATAAAAAAAAATAATAACATTATTTAAATACAATTGGATTAAAATTGCACATGCACACTTATTTCATGTTTAAAATCAATGCAAAAAAGAAAATTTGAGCTTGTATGTCATAAATAATAAAATATCACTTTTATCAAAAAATAAGGATATTTAGTTAATAAATACAAATGAATGTTATTAAATCATTGAGCATGTGCAAAATGTAAAGAAAATAATTGTAAAACATTCAGTTTTAAAAGTCTGAGACCTAATTGGGTTGATGGTTTTATTTCAGTATATAGAATAGAAAATTTATATGAAATAAAAAATTGTGCCAGAGTCCAATATAACAACCATTCTAATTTATAATAATACATATTATGTAACTACGTATAATATATTATAATTTAAATATATTTTTCAATATTTTAGAGTATTTCAATGCAAGTGGAAATCCCTAGTCCTAGTGCAGATATGGTTGTTGATGTTACACAAGATCAAAAGCATTCTTATGAAAAGTAAAATTTTATTTGCTGTCAACTAATTGGTTTATAATTATTTTGTTTTATTTTTATTATTGATATTAGAGATCTAACAGAAGAAGATTTGTTGTTACTGTGTGATTTATTTTATTTGCCATTTGAACATGGCCCTCAAAGTGTTCAATTTTTAACAGAATTTAATTGGTTAAAAAGTAATGCCCATTTGGTGTCTTATGAAAATTTGAAAAAATTAAAGAAAAATGATTCGACTTCATCTAAACCAGAAGTATGTGTGTTATTTATGGCATTCAACCAAAATGTTCAAAGTAAAAATTACCCAAAAATGTTGGAAAATTTAAATATGTTATTTATATAAATAATTTTAATATATTAAACATAGAAATAATAATCGTAAAAAATTGATATAAATATTAATTAAGATTAAAAACAAAATTTCACAAAAAGTAAACATCTTAAAAATAATAAATTAAAAATTAATAAAAATGCAATACCATATTATAATAAACTTTTATTTTTTGGACATTTTCCCTACATTATTTATTTATTATCAATGAGTCAAATAAAATATTTAAATATTAATTAACAGCTATTAAATATTAGTAAATATAATAATAATATTAAAGTAATTTATATTTAATTATTATTATGTCTTCTGGAATTTTATGAACATTTATTTATGTTGTTTTATCTACTCATCAATTTACTTAAAATACAGTTTATGAAGTTATTATACATTAAGTACTTTAATGAACACCTTAGTTAGACAAAGTATTAATGTGGTACAGACCAAAATCAAAATAAATAATAATAATTATAAGATATTGTAAGCTATGAAATGTAAAAAATGTATTAAAATTTAAAAGTTGTGCGAGTATAGTAATTCAAGTATTATAAATTATATTATTTTCCAACACAAATTATTGTTTTTTGGAAAAAAAAAAATACTATTTCCAGTTTTATTGTTTTAAATTTAGACATTTAACCAATCCAATGTAATTTTTCTATATTACTACTAATTGAGTGTAAAAATAAATAATATTGAAATGTTAAACATTTTTCATGTTTTTTTTAGATTGAAGAATGGTATGATAGAGCAAATAAAATGGATGAAATGGCAGAACAGGTGAATGAACTGTTTCAAAGACTTGCATTTAGTGCAAACAGGGAGCTAGTCCATGATTTGTACCCTTATGTGTGGGATGCTCGGTGTATTGTCTCATTGTTAAATTTCTATGTCAAGTGGCTTTGTTAGTATTTTAATATTAAGTGGTTCATAATAATTTCATGCATTTATGTATACATTTTTTTTTATTTAGCTCTTGGCCATTTTCCACAGTCAATCATTAATTATACACTTGGATCTTATACATGTAAGTAAATATTATTTTTAATTATTGTTAAAAGTAGATTTTTTTTTTTCATTTTTTTAATTTGTTTTATCTTTAATAGAACTCAATCTTGGTCAAATAAAACCAACAACTAGTGTTTTCACTGTAAGTCGTAATATTTTAGCCTTTCTATTATTGATCATTTTCTTATCTAGATCGCCTAAAAATATTTGACTGAATATTGCTTTTAACATGTTATTTCAATTTTATTGTCAAAATATATACCTTTGCTTTATTAAGTTTTCAAATGATTTTCAACCGTATATTTTTATGGTTGTTGGCTTGTATTGATCCAGATTGGGCTTTCTAATTATTTTTAATCTTTTAGGCGATCTATTTTTGAACAGATAAACTTATTTTATTCTTAATTATTAATAAATCAATTTTTAATATGTGTATTCATTATATTGTTGTTCTAGTGATAATAGTTGTCATAAATATTAATATAATACATTTTTAAATTTTAGGGTTTTCAAAAGGATGGAAAGAAAGTTTTATGAGTGGTGACCAAGAACCTTGGGTGTTCAGAGGTGGTTTAGTTGCTGATTTACAAGTAAGTCAAACTATATTTTGTAACTTAATAAAAATTATTTTTAGGTATATTGTTGTATCTACTGATAAGTAGTATATACAACTGAAAATATGACAAAGTTCTTGTGATAAAAAAAATACATATAATAATTATAATATAATTAAAATTAAAATATATAATCATTTTTTTCATTTTTTTTTTACTAGAGGTTAATGCCCGTTGATGCAGGATCTGATCTATTTGTATACAAACCTCCAGATATACCTACAAATAAAATGTATAATGTACGGCCATACACTTATGAAGACGAATCTGCAGTATACAATATTTGTAGGTGTACTTGTTATACAGGTGTTGATGATAGTGTGAAAAAATCTGATCTCCCTGACTTAATACCTGATAGGTAAAATTCTATTAAATATAAATTTAAATATTATTTTAAATAAATTATTACTTTTTCAGACTGGTTGGCTCATATTTGACATTTAGTCCAGAACTCTGTTTTGTCATAGAAGACAATGGTACTGTTATTGGCTATGCATTAGCTGCGTTAAATGCAAAAGAATTTTATCAAAAATTACAAGTTTCTTGGCTCCCTGAGATGTGTTCTAAATATCCATTGCCAGATAATACTAGTGGTGAAATGCAGTCAGTTTCACAAGTAAGTTTAGATTCATATTGTATAAGATTAAAAATGAAATACAGATCTATGTTTAATATTATTGGGTAGCTGTACCATGTAAATAAACATAGCAAACAATAAACAAGCTGTCTTAATTACTGGATTTTTTAGATAATTTTCACATTAACATTGAAGTTCAATAATATATCATGGTTGTAGTTTTTAGTGATCTTGAATTTATGACTTTATTTATAATAATTTGTTACCTGTTGATTTAGCTACTAAAAAATTATAGATAGTCTTAACTAATTAACTTCAAATAGAATATTTTTTGTATAATTGGTAATTTGCTACATTGTATCCATGTTAATCAGATAGCTCTTAAGTTCTGATACAAAATCTGTTCCAACAGACATACTTGGCTGTATTAAAAATATTGGTTACCAATTATAATAATAATATTAACATATATTATTGAAAGTAGTAGTGGAAGTGAAAGAAGTCTAATTTTGGACAATTTATATTTTTTATTATTTTATTTTATTAATTATATTTAAATTTTGGTGTCATTAAAATATTTATTCATTATAAAGTCGTGTTCATATATCTACTTAAATAATTGTTTTTGATATGTGAAATATTTATTAAACTATGGTGCAACATTTTGTAAAAGAATATCCTAGCCTATTATTGTATTGTATCTTTGGTAAAATTGCCATAATTGCATCTATATTAATAGATTCCATGTCTTGTGCAAACTGTAAAAACATTTTTTTCTTTCAAATGGGATAAAATATTTATTTATATTTCAATTTACAAAAAATGAAATGATTAAAAAATCAAATTTTTAATGTCTATATTTATATTTTTGCTCAAACAAAAATTAAAAGAGTAGTTTTCAATTATTATTATTATTATTATTATTATTATTATTTTTTTTTTTTTTTTTAAAAATCGTTAAGTGTTTGAAATTAGACCAGTTTGTGTACTTATTTATTTAATCCTTTCATTACTCATTTAATTGTAGTAGACAAACATTATTTTGAACAATTTTAAATTTAAGTGTTTTGTTTGTTCCATTTACATTCCTCATCTTTCTATTAACTTTCTCAGAATGCCCCTATGTTTTGTTTCAATCGTTATGCTACCCTCAAACCCTTGTTCACTTTTTAGTTAAATTTATTTTAATTTTATTGTGTTAATTATAATCATAATTTTATGAATTTATTTCTTAGGAAATTATCAGTTGGTTTCATTTGTTTGATATGAATGGAGAACTGCCAGATTCTAATGCTCTTTCTCAACATCAATCTGTTATGACATGTGCTACATTGCCTGTAAATAATGATGCATCAATTTGTAAACGGCTTATTATTTGCCTTCTAGCTGCATTGAGAGCTAATGGTATGCATATTAATATCTCGTTTTATTATTTATATTTACTTATTTGATTTTAATTTAATTTTCAGTATAAATATTAGATTAATTAGATTAATTTGTCCATAGGTTCATTTGGCGTTCATGTACCTTTAAGAACAAAAGATCGTCAAACAGTGGAGTTTTATACAAAAATGGGTTTTATGGAACTTTCTCAAGGATTAAACCCAAGTCCTGATTTTACATATTTAGGCCGTGTGTTTTAATGTATCAGATCTTATTGCCAAGTTAGTGGATACAAATTCACATTGGTGGTATTTACCTTTAAAGTTACAATTGAAATTCATCATCGTTGAGTTCATTTAATTTGTTATTGCAGTATAAAAAAATATCAGTCCAATCTAAGATATCAAAATTTGAATGACATTTAATGTTTCACAGTGAACTTAAAAATTAATATATTTTTATTTGTTTTGTAAGTGTTAACATTACAGAAATGGTAATTTAAACCTCAGCTGTCATTTTTATTAAAATTATTTTAGGTCTTATTATATTTTATATGTTTGTTATATATAAAACAAAAAGAAAACCTTTTTCATTGTCAGAAAAGTGATTTTTAATATTATTTTATATTTTTTTTTTATTTTTACTATCTTGTCAGATTAATAAAAATTCTATGAATTGCTAAAAATAAAATTAATGTTTTGTACCTTTTAATATTTTAACTGTTAGATTCTGAGTGGAGCGAAGCTTATGGTTTTACTAAGATGTTATTTTTTTTTTTTTACCTGCCAACTATCACAACTTTCTACCAGAAATCTTGCTACAATTTAAAAAAGTTTTTGTATTAAATGTGAAAAATCGAAAAAAAAAAAAAGGAAAAAAATGTAAAAAGAAATTTAACTAAAATAATAAGATTTTTTTTCTGAGCACAACTTTTTTATCAGCAATTTTGCACCAATTTACATTGATAGCACTTTTTCTGTAAGTAAATTTGACCTGGTACCTTTACAGTCAGATTTACTGACTAGAAAGTACCTCCTTTAGAGAAATCAGTTTTTGATTTTTTCAAGAATTTACTCAACAAATGTGAATACCTCCCAAAAAACCTGAGGTTAAAACGAAAAATATAAGAAATATAGATAGGTTAGGTATTGTTAAGTATTGATTAAAATATATTACAGCCTTTTTTCCTGTGAATAACTTTTCTATAAGCAATGTGACTCCGATTTATTATAATACCAATTTTTTTGACTGGGAAGGTACTTAAGATAGGTCATTTTTCGATTTTCACACAAGTTTTTCCAGTAAATGTGAAAAACCAGGCATAATATGGGAAAACTCGGAAAAACTTAGAAAAATTTGTATATTAAACAAATATTATTAAAGAAAATATACAAAGCCTATTCAATTATTTTAATAAAATATGACATATATATTATAATATATCAACATCAACTGACCTCCGCACAGCATTGTTTTTTTGTAGTAATGTTTTATCATTGCTCATACAGGTATAAATTAAATTCCCATCCCTATTATCCTAGGACGTCTTATTTATTATTATATTCTGTGTGAAACGAGGAATATTTTGGTTTTACTATAATGTATAAATTGATAGCTTATTTGTGTCTATATTATTTTAAATCAGTTTTTAAAAATTTATAATTTTAGATTCCGAGTGTGGTGAGGGAGATATTGGTTTTTACTAAGATGTTTATTTTTTTTTTTTTCTAGTCTGAACAAGTTTTTTCCTAGTAAACTTGCGCCGATTTTTACGTGTAAAAACTTTTCTGAAAGCTCAAGTTTTCTAGATGGTACTTTAAAGGTCATTTTTTGATTTTCGGCGCCATTTTTTTAAATAAAAGTACAAGTGGGAAAAAACTCAGGAAAACGTACAATTTCACGATTTCATTATTTTATTTTTATATAACACTGACGACGTTTTCTACCAGAAGAAATGATTAAATCGAAAAATCCTAAGATATCTTTTTTATTGTCTTTTTGATTTACTTTCTTATGGTAACATTGCGAAAACTTTTGAGTTTAAAGGAAATTTAAATTTTGGGAGTTTTTTTGCTGTAATTCGGATACAAATACACGTAGAGACTTGAAACTTGTTAATAATACTTATACTAGACTTTCCTAGACGTGGTAAAATTTTCAAAATCATCGGGTGACTTTTTTTTTTAATAAGCGGTTTTAAAAACAAATTTAAATGAAAATCGCAAAAAAATACGACATTTCAAATTACATAATTTATTTAATTAATTACTGAACTGCGTTCGGAATCGTCTTTCGTCAACTAGCGGTTTATCGTTCCTTACAGATATCAATGAAATAACCTTATGCATCTACCTTCCCAACTTTTCACCTATAATAGTGGCCGTTCCCATTTCCAATATCCACCCTTTTTTTTTTGTATTAGTATTATGACTGACTTCCAACTTTCTGAGATATTTTCTAACTGTCAAATTTGTGTCATTAGAACATCGATATATTTAGCCAATTTTTTTTTTGTTTGAGTATTTTAGCAGTTTTCCGGATATATTTTTAATTTTGTTATTAGGTTCTATACTTCTTCCGTTATGTTTTCAAAAAATCCAGTATTCTAGTATAGATATTTTGGAGGTGGGCTCCTAAACCGCATGGTCCCTGGACAAATATTCCTAATGTCCTTGCGCAAATAGGGTATTTCCCATATTGGTTCAATATCCTTATGATTTTCCCTAGTTTTTAATTTCTGTATTTCTCTAACTGAATGTGTGTTGAAGGATTTCTATACTCACCAAGTATATGTACGTCAATACACTCAATTATATTTTCTTGTGAATTATTACTCTTTAAAGAAACTTAATTTGCCGATTACCAAAAAGTGGTCTGATCCGCAGTCTGTACCCTGCCATGTTCTACCATTTATGAAACTATTTATAAATTTCTTGTATATGTATATGGTTTGTCTGATTAACACATGATGATAAATCTGGCGAAACCCGTGTGCTTTTATGGGCGTTTTTGCGTGGGAACATGAAATTCTTGATTCTCATGTTTTTTCCCACAACAAAATTGTTTAGTCTGCTGCCATTATCATTAGACCGTTGGTGTAAGTTATGGCCGCCTATAGTGGAATTAAAAGATTCTTCCCTTCTACAAAGAACAGTATAGTATCCTTCGTCTCCTGAGGACTATTGTCACGACATCTCACCAATTTAATTTGTATTTTTCCATTTCCACTTTGTTCACTAGTTCAATTGTAGCACCAGGAGTATTATTGAAATTCGAACGTTCCATATACCAAAAGAATCAAAGCGTCGAATTCCAGTTTTCCGTCTTAAAACCATTATATCTTAGCAATTTGTTTTGTAAAATATGTTTTTATGATACCAGATGACGGATTGTAAGCTCGACGATCAACTTCCAACCTGGAAGACCAGCCACATTAACCAAATAAGCCAGTGTGGGACTATTGCATTACATGTCGCGATAGGGAAGCCACTTTTCCAACGTTGAAAAGTTTCAAATACGTATTTTATATTACAATTTTTTATATTGTTTGATAAACCATTTTTAATGTTTAATAAGATTGAAAAAGTTAGTTTTTCGTCTTTATGTAGCACACTCGTAACATGTTCTTATTCCAATGTACCGATTAATCTGGCGTAAAGCAATACGAATTCTGGAAACAAATTTAAATTTGTTGTAAAGTCTACTTGTTATCATATAAGTAGTATACCAAACGTATACCTAAAAGTATAAATATATTATACTATAGAAGTCTTTAGTGCTTCTGACCTCTGTGGGAGTTAAGTGATTAGTAAATACCCAAATCTCCCACACATTGCTGTTCTACTGGTTTAGATGTTTTTCCAAATGGTTACTGCGACCGACCCCATAACTCATAAGAGTGGTTAATGCGGACCTGAGAGTATTAATTTAAATACATTTTTTTGAAATTTGTTTATTTCCGTCAATCCATTGACGAGGTAGATAATTTGATGGACACTTTTAGGATATTTTAACCTAAAATCATTTAATATATTATATTACGCTTTTATTTTCAGTTGAACTTCCTTCAATTATATAGGTAATGGGTTGTTCTAATTCCGTGTAATTTCGTCGTCTTTATAATATTTTTCCTCGTGTCATCGGTCCTGATTTGAAATTTGATTCATAGGTACCTACCTATACTTACCCACCTATTCACTTAGCTATACTTACTATTTATTGTCAGCTTATTGGCGTGTACACATTATTATTATTTCTTTACTCGTTAAAATATAACAACTATAACACATTACAATATATATTTAGGTAAATCGAATAAATTCAATAATTCACACATTCCTTTAAGAAGTTTTACTTTGACGACGAGTGTTGTACGACGAAATAATATCTGTAATACGACTGCAAAGAAAACCATTTCTACCATGTCTTCGAGTGTTTACGAATCGTTTCGTCTGATCAACATAGTGTCCCGAATATTTGGCGTCATGCCGCTGAAAATATTACCGGGTGATCGGAACAGCGGTCCTATTTGTCTGGTGTCTACTGCTGACTACGTGTACTCGTTCGTGTTGCTTGTCGTGTCCGTCGTGCATAGCGCGTTGGCGCCATTTTACGTGTTGCACTCAATCATGCCGTACGAGTACAAGGACTCCATTTTCGCGGCCGTTTCGGACTCGGACCTGCCGCGTCGGCCGCCGTTGCCGGCCAATAACGCGACCGGCGGTGGCGAAGGAGACGACCCTGACGAAATCAGCGTGATGGCCACCGTTATGAAGATTCTCAACCCGATCATGATATCTGTGTCGAGCATTTGTAGCCGGCTGGTCGCGCTCACGTTCCTCCATCGCAAATTCAGCGAGTTCATCACTGTATTACACAACACCGACAGGCTAATGGAGGCGACCATCCGATCGTATGTGTGCAACAAGACCCGCAAAACGGCGTTTACGCAGGCGTTCGACAAGTACCTGTTATGATATTTCGTGCTGGTCGGCATGCCGGTGAACGTTTTCTATCTATTCACCGCGTCGGCCGCAAACAGCAAGGTCGGCATTGCCTGGTGCCTGGTGCTGGCCTTCAACAATCTGGCCTGTTTCAGCACCGACATGCAGTTCATCCGGTGCGCGGGCATGCTGCGCTACCGGTTTAACATCATCAACAACGAGCTGGAAACCATCGCGACCGTGTGGCAATTCAAACGCGGGTCAGTACGTATAATATTTGTCCTGAGTGTGCGCTTACGACACAAAAATACAATAATATTTTATTCATTTAACATTAAAAATAACCGGAATGATGCCCAGTAAATGCATATTTACAAGTATATTACATACAAATTTACGCATACACAATTTATAGAGACAAAGGAATAATTAAATATAACAAGAAAAACAACTACAGTATATTCAACTATTTTCGATGATAAAATTATATGAATTCGCGCAGTTTCTGGAACGTATTCTAATAATGTCGAAAAACAAATTGCGTTTTTTTATTGAATACTCGTCAAAATGAATTATTTAAGTAAACGCTGGTCACCCGAATACAATTATTTTACAACAGCTACGAAAATTAATTTGCGACCTACACATCTAAGTGAAATCGTATTTTTAGATTTTGCGTGTAGCGAAGCAGCTATTAGTTTTACCAAGATGTGTGAACATTTTTCGAAAAATGATTTTTCTTTTTTTTTTTGTGCGTGTAATACTGTGTTAGTTATTAAAACGCTCCAATTTGTTCACGCGGTCTTTATAGTTTGAATACTTTTTTCTAAAAATTCCCGTAAGTTTTTCTAAACAATTTTTATAGGTACTAACAATAAATATGGCGCTTCGCCGATTTTACTTTTATAGTTTTCTGGGTTACTTATCTTTCTTGACTACAGGGGGAAAAACTTGACTTATAATACGAGTACTTACCTATAATAACTTTCTATCAGATTACTAATTACTCGTAGGTTTCTTTGATAATCGTTTTTTTTTAATTTCATATCAATTTGATAAACTGTGAATTATCTTATATCTTCTACTTTTCCGACTTCCCATTTACAACTGTGGTGACTTACTGTGACATGATGTGAAGTATCAAGTATGTGTTACTTTTTCTGAACATTTATTCGTATGCTCATTGAACATTATAAGTACAACAATTAGTGATAAAATTAGTAACATTTATAAAATAATATAATGTTTTTATATTTAGTGCTTTGGTTGAAAAAAAAACCTGCCGATCATTTTTGTCCGAATTGTCTTATGGTCATAAACTATGCGATTCTATCGAGATGTATAGGTAAGTGCATAATTAATAGGATACATTATACCTACTTATACTTAGGTACATAATAAATATATAGGTTAATTATATAGGTACAGTAGCATAGTCCACGAGTGGGAAGAGTGTTATTACCTCCCTCACCGAGATGTTTTCGACATTTTATGTTATAAGATTCTAATAAAGTGAATCATCTTTTTTTCGAATTTTCCTTGAAAATGAAGACTTGGAATGTGTTTGTTGTATATATATCTTTATTCTGCTACTTTTGGATAATTTTTTTATGACCATATGGCCAAATACGCTAAAACTTATTAGAGTTGTTTTATAAAAGTTTAGTTGGATTTCAATATAAATTTCACTATGTTGCAGGAGGAAAGTGTTTTTTTTTTAACTCTGAATAGTCCTACAGGACCTTCAAATGAAGCTACGGGGATGACATTTTGTATAATACATGTATCAATGATGTGCCTTTTGGCAGTTTTAACTTTCAATACCTATACTATTTTTTTACTACATTGTTTTGGAAGTAAAATAATTTATTGTAGTACCTAAGTATACTGCATTATTATAGTAATTATAGTTTGGCTATTTATTGTTTTACAACGAATATTTCTATAATAGACAATAAGTGGGGAAAAATTCGTAACGAAGCTAATTTCGAGAGTTTTTCTTTTTTTAATGTAATTTATTAATTATATAATATTGAAAAACGGAAAGCTATATAAATAATACGATTTTATCTCCTTGAAATATTTTGACGGTTACGCCACTGATATAGGTCTATGGTGAATTTAATACGATGTATCTATTCTTGAAATCGTATGTTACTATAATTCCCAAAGATAAATGTATAGGTTATTGAGCTAAACTAAAAATAACTGGTATTATATATTATATAGATACTGTTATGGGCAATTTTGCAACATGCTGTGTCAATTGAATTCAACGTATCAATTGCACCTGTTGGGATCAATTTCCGCGTGTTTTTTAAAAGTATTGTTCAATTTATACTTTTCTATGTTCGGATGCGTAGTTGGTACAAATGACCAAAAGGAACAAGACGAACTGACGCGAGCCATTTGCTGGTTTATATTTTATGGAATGAGATTTTTGACCATAATATACGTAGCTAATGCGACTAGCAAACAAGTAAGTTGATCGAGATGGCCCATACATATATTATATATTGTTATAACATCTTTATTTGAATCACACTGACTAAGATATTATATTTTAGTAGGTGATTTGAAAGTTGAACTCGGTTAAATAATATTTTAATAATTTAAGTATTAAATATATAGATTTACCTATCAATGTTTTATGTTCTAATCGGAAGAGGAGCTCTTATGCTGTATTTATTTTTTTTCCCAGCGTCTCCTTATATTAATTTTATTGGAGCGGAGAGACAATACTACAATACCCGGAATTTTGCAAATAATGATATTTCTAAATAACACGTGTCGTCATTTTAGATAAATTGTCGGTTATTTTAATATTTAATAGATTCATCGTTCGGTCATAAATTATCATCATTGTTACATTATCTGCTTATTTAAAGATAGAAATGTTAAGAATGAAAACCGATATTCTTAGAGTCTCAGAAGTAAGATGATCAAAATCAGGGGATATATGGAGTGGAGAGATTTATATATACTGATACATTGGAAGAAAATCTTGAATTGGGAGGAGTAGGTGTAATGTTAGGAAAAGACATTAGAAAGAAAGTGAAGGATTATGAGCAATAGAGCGAAAGAACTATTTGAGTAAATATCTAAACTAAAATACACAGTTATAGTACAAGTTTATATGTCAAGGCCAACATCAAACCGTGATGATAGACAAATATAAGAAGTATATGAATAAATAGAAAAAGCTCTTGAAAAAATTAAAGAAGAAGAAAACCGAATTATTATGGGAGATTGGAACGCAATTGTAGGAGAAGGAGAAAAATTTAAAAATATTATTAAAAAATTTAGATTAGGAAAAAGGAGGAATGATCGAGGAGATAGGTTGATGGAATTTTGTACGAAATATGATTTGGTGATAACGAACACACGTTTTTATCATCATACAAGAAGAAGGTATACTTCCAATCAGAATCTAAAATAGGAGATATTCAAAATGAGTCAAGAATAAAGAAAGGTGTTAGACATGGATGTATATATTATCACCTCTAATATTCAATGCATATATTCAAGGGGTCATAAATACTATTAAAGACAGGATAAAACTAGGGATAAAGATAAATGGATACATAATCGATATGCTGAGATTTGCTGACGATATAAAAATAATAGTTGAAAGCGAAAAAGATTTTAAAATTATTTTGGAAATAATGGAGGAAAGAAACGGTGGAAAGTGAATTAAATATGAAAACGAAAATCCTAGTAAGTGGTAGAGAGAAAAATATAAGAACAAGAATAAAGTTAAAAGGAGATAAAATTATAGAATAAGATGATTTCCTACATTTAGGAAGTACTTTAAGCTTAAATGGGTGATGCAAAAAAGAAATAGTAAAGAGAATATGCTTTAATAAGAAAAGAAGTCTATTTACATCAAAGAATATTGAAGTGAAACATAAACTATCGCAAAAGAAGAATCCGGAGAGTTAGATTAGATTAGGTTTTCGTGTAGTTTTCTTAATAATTGAGCAAAACCGCTTTAAAAAAAAAAAAAAAAAATGAACAGACAATTAATTATATTTGCTTTTTCTAGACATGGTAAAATGTTCAAACCATTATGGTGAGTTTGTGTTATTTATAGGCATTTGATGGTTGTGTGTTTTTTTACGTAGTATGTGGATCAGATGTTTCGACCAAATAGAAATGTTTGATAATTTAAAACGAGGTTCATTATAAGTTCTATTTACTAAGTGGTAAACAAATAGTTGCGCATAATGTAGACAGTACCTATAGTTTTAAGATCACGGCACATCACAAATATTCCGGCATTTCAAAACATGTTTAACTGAAATTCGCTCAGGATCATATTTCGTTAGTAATGGTTTATCGTTTCTTACAGATATAAATTAAATAAGTCCATGTCTCCTGCTTTTTTCAACTTCCCACTTACCATAGTGGCACAATCATTAGCCTGCAAAATCAGCTCTTTTTTTATTTTTCGTTTATGTTGATATACAAATTTTTCGTGATTGCATAATTTCGTTTTGGTTTCTGTTATATTTACCGTTTACACGATTTTTTTGGTTTCAAATTTCTACTTTAATTATTAAAAGTCCAATGATGTATTAAAAGTTAAGATGTGAACAATATTTATACATACGCATTTCGTGGGAAATAATAGCCTTATTGTCATTATCGCTAGATGATAAAAAAATAACGAAGGTATTGTGGATAATAGATCACGGAAAACAAATAAACTATAAAGCGTATGATAAGTATATAATTTATATCAATATATCTATGTTAGGTTTTTGAGAGTAACGGTAATATCCATAGTTTTATAGAATTGACATTGGTTTATATTTATTAATATTGATAATATCTGGTTTGGGGAATAATTTTACTTAATATTTTATACAAATTAAAAATTGTTTAAATAATATTTAACTTAGGAGGGGGACAAACTGATAAGTTAGCAGTTCCAAATTTTTTCTCGAGGGACTACTGCTCTTTCTTACCACCTATGGCATTGCCTGTAATTAACCATAGGTAAAATACCCACTGTACCCAGGCCCGGATTGAACCGGCGAGCTACTGAGCAAATCTCGGTGGGCCACGCAAAATTATACTCGTTTTTAATTAAATATATGTAAATTTGATCTATTGTGTATAATTTTGGGCCGGCGAAAATCCTAAAAATCTGCATTCTCTATCCGGCACTGACCATACCCAAGGTTATACGTAATATAACAGTCGATCGATTTAATCGTGACGTCTCATTTATAATACGTGCCTACATAATGCGTGTTGCACGACGCATAAAATATGTAAAAATAAGTCAAGTCAAGAGTACAGGCGGTTTTCGTCTATATAATGACGAGGGCGTTTTTCGTACAACTTACCTCGTTATAAAATATTATACTGCAAAGAGTATTTACATATATATTTTTGAAAAAAATTAATCTCGAGTGAATTATGTCGAACATAATTCAAAACAAATCGATTTTTTTTCTAATTTGAAATTAAGCTTATTTTTTTTATGACGTTTGTGTAAACAAATATTGAAAATATAATAAAATCGTTAAACAACACATTATGCGGTTTTCGTATTGAGCATCAATAAAGTATTATAACTGCAGTATTCTAATACATGGGTGTATTACTATAGTGATTAACTATTACGCAAATAATATTGCGTGTTGTGCATTTCCAGGGCACGTTATACCAAAATCAAATGTACCTAAGCGCCAACACCTAACCGAATTATCATTAAAATGATTTTAAATCTTTGTTACGTGGACATATTTAACAAAAGTAATAATTATTTCCGTCAGATCATATTGTCCGTTGTAATAATCGTCACTTGTGCGTTCAACTTGGTGTACGCGCACGCGGTCGCGTATAAAATCGACGATTGGTCCGACGCAATGTCGACGTCGTTGACGGTATTTCAATGCAGCGTGGTGGCCGTCCTGTCGCTGGTGTCCAGAAGCATTGTACTGTACAATATCGTGCAACGCGCGGACAAGTATCGAAAGTACAAAACGACGCTGAAAAGCTTCGACATTTACTCGCCGATGACCGCCGTCGTTTTGAACCAGTGCAGATCGTTTTCGCTCGCCGTGTTTGCGCTGAGCGCGTTAATCATACTACCGATCAACGCGATCAAATTGTACAATCTGTACAATAGACACCCAGACAAGATTTTCGTCACGACGTATTTTTTCTTCTTCTACGCGCAAAACTTGAGCATGTGCTTTATCGAAAACCATTTTGTCGACGAGTGTTTCGTGATATACAGACAATTTCGGGAGGTCAACGGCGGATTGAAAAATATCAAATGCGAGCTGTGCGTTGACTATAGCAGATTTTCGGTTGTCAAAGAAACTACAAGTTCCGTATCGAACGTTCCGTCGCCGCGCGCAATCGTCTACGATAAAGATTTCTACAATTCAAAAGATAAAGAACATCCGCTGGCCAATATTGTTGAACTTTTAAAAATCAGACACTGGTTAATCCGTGAAGCCGTTTTCGACTTGAACAATTTGTTCGGCATTCATTTGGGACTTTCGTTAATTTCGCTGGGAGTGCTCTCGTTGTTCGATATTTACACCGAAGTATTTCACTATTTCACCAATACGAAATTGGACAGCACCATGTTTCGATCAAAACTTTTATTTCTTGGTTGGATAGCGCAATACTCGTTTAGGTTATGTGTGATCACAATCACGTCGCACATAACGACGAAACAGGTAAAATATCCTAAAACAAGTACTGCATGTTAACGGGGATCTATACATTACCGTTTAGTGTGTATTGAAATAAGTTTTAAATAAATTAAATTAAAACGGTAATCTTTTAAAAATATCATTTTTTAGTGTCAGAAAAAGGTATGTCCCAATAAATATGTTATATTTATAAATCAATCGAATTCATCAATCAATTAATGGGATGTACTATCTGCTTAAGTGAATCAATGGAAATTAAAACTTAAAGTTTCATTAGAACAAAAAGTTAATTTATTAGTTTTTGATCATGGTCATATGTAGGGGAAGCGCAAAGGGTAGGCTATAGCAGGCCCACCCTGTATGATGTCATAGTACTTTTGTTTTTAATTACATCGTCTTTTAAAATATCTTGAAATTGTAAAAATGTAGAAAGCATAGTTATGTTTTAACCTAACCATATATACTTATATTGGTATATTATAATAATTATGGTCTCCAATCTGCCAACTGCATTCTTCTAGGAGTATTTTGAGAGAAAACATCTGTACAAGTTCATCTTCTTTGAACTCTTTAGTACTCTTTAAGTACTTACTTAATGATAGCTTGATTTGGATGGTTGGATTACCTCCCTCTCCCTTATTTAAGCCCATTATTACCTATATTCCATATGTAATTGTGTTCAACTAATACCCAATTAATGTTTTATTTTAGGCGGATTATGCAAAAACATTGATTACCGATATAAATAATCGATACTTGGATAGTAGTACAAAAGAAGAGGTGACGATTTAATTCAATAAATTAGAATATAATGTGTATAGTTTTTATTAATGGTCGGTGAAAAATTTTAGTTACAGCTATTTTATAGTCAAATATCTAGTCGATCCACCGAGTTTACCGCTTGTGATTTATTTACATTGAATACTCGCCTTATCACTTCGGTAAGTATGTATAATTTGTATACAGTGATCAAAATATTACAAGACGTTCTAATATAAGAAATCAATTTGTTTATTTTTTACTGAAAACAAAATTATTTTCATAATAATTATTCAACACTATGAATCTGAGGGGGGGAAATTAACCTATAGCTGGTACATTACAATTTTTTTTTTATTTATTTTTTTTTTTATAGGCAATTGCTGCTGGTGCAACATATCTAGTTATTTTAGTGCAATTTCATTCCAACAAAAATTGAATTTATCTGTCAATATTGTAGTAAAGTTATTAAGCGTTTGATTTATATAAAAGTGCACAATTTATGATCAAAATACCTCTATATTGAATTTAATTTATACCTAGTTAGATCTGAGATATTTAAAAATATTAATCCAATATAAAATGATTTAAATAAAATATTATCTAGAATTATTTACTGTTATTAAACGATTGTCAAACGAAATACATTAAAAGTACAGGAATTTAAATTGTGCTGTTATAAATTGTTGAACTGTGTTTGGTCTTAATAATGTAGAAAATGTCTTTCAATAACGTATACCGTAAAAATATTGTAAGATTTTTATAATTTTTTTCTGTATTATAACTCCTTAACTATATATGATTTAGACAACTAGGTACTATTGGTAAATACTATAGTTAGCTATGTATACACTACATTATGATTTATGTATCAGTACACTAATCGTTTATGATTTATAGAATGTACAATTAACGTGAAATTCATGGAAATTTGCATGGAAGTATTACAAAAACTTCAAAAAAAAAAATCAAAAAATCCCCTCTTACCACTTAATAATATTCATTTTACTATCAGAAACTACTACTGTAGAGTGTATTTGAAGATTTGTGCAGATCTTAAAGCTGTTCACAAACAGAAAAAATAAGCGTACATCATGTTATTAAAACCAATATAATCCACGCTCAATTCAAAATTTAAGTGTCCTACGACATCATATCCTACGGTGCCACATCAGTATATTACGCGCTTTATTCATCTATTGTACCTAGTAGGTCTATTATTAGGTTAATTAGAAAATTCATTCTATTTATTATTAACTGAATTATAAAAAAAAAATACATATACATACTATATAATATATAATCAAAAATTACAGGAATCATTATTGCGTAAATAAATTATGACTTTTCTAACAAGAATACATTTACTACTAGAAATCATCATTAACCCTTATAATTTATACATTTTGACTCTTGAACATTGGAGTTAAATTTTGTGGTAGAAAAAATTTACAGATACAAAAAATAAAAAAGTACGCATTAAAGTAAAACTCACTATATGTTCAGAATCTAAAAAAAAATTAATCTAATGAAATTGATAGCATAACATTAAATTTGGAAACCTTCGTAGTTATATGATTACATATTTATGGTGAATTTATACATTTACTTACCGCCTCTGATACAATGAACCCAGAAGACACTTTATATTTTGAATGTCTATATTCCAAGGTATGCATAAATATAAAACTATATAAAACTATTAATAGCAAAGAATCTGACATTATACTGCTCGCACTGTGAGTAAACCTTTGGGCGAATATGCCTTATTTTCTGATAAAACGGGCCGTGGCGATGTACTAACGGTCGTGATATGTACCTCAAAGATTAAATTTCTTCCGGGTTGGCCTCAATCTGCCAATCCGCCTCTGAATTTAGTGCACTGCGGTAGGTGAAAAGTTGGTAATAGTATATCATTTATTTTAGTGAAAAAGTATGACAAAGATAAGTCATTGCAAACGAAAAACGATTCGGAACAAAACTCGATTAAGCGTATACAGGGTGATTTTTTTTATCATGAACCAGCAATTATCTCGGAGAATTTTAAGTGAATTTGATTACTGTTTTTTTCTAATTATTATCGAATCATTTAAGCTATATTTTAAAACCATTTTTAAATTGTTACCCTTATTCCATATACCTTAAATAATTGCATAATTTTGAATTTAAAATAAGAACCCCCCCCCTTTTGAACACAGATCTGAATAGAAAATATTTTTCTAGAAATTTTGATAGGCATCACTCTAATATCAGATTCTCGTTTATGGGTTATAATAGTTTAAAATTAGACCGGAAGATTAGGAAAGGGTAATCAAATTCACTTAGAATCCTCAGAGATAATTGCTAGTTGATGATAAAAAATCACCCTGTATATTTATATTTTTAAAATTTAAATCGAAAATTATAAAAAAAATTGAACTACAGGTACAGAATGATTCGTAACAGTTCATGATTTTTTAGGGTGAAAAGGTCGTAATATTTACAATTTTGGTCAAAATTTTAATTTAAAACCTATAAAAAAAAAATTACATTTCTTTTTTTTAATCACTAAGTACGACTTATAATGAACCGCCAATTAAATTTTCAAGCATTTCTATTAAGCCTATGAACAGAGTACCTACCAAATTAAAATTACGTAAAACATTCGCAAAATTAAAGTGTTTCATAACTTAAAAATAACTCAAATGTTTTGAAAATTGTATCACGTCTACAAAAAGTAAGTATACATTTTCTATCTATGATTCTCCTATTAAATTTTTAAGCATTTCTTTTAAGTTTAACTATTTATCTACAATAGTGTTACTCAGTGTTACGTTAAGTTATGCTGCCACCCCGGGGAAAACTATATTATGCTGCTCTTAAAAAATTGTAATTTAAAATTATGTTTACCAGATTACTAATAAAGTAATAACAATCAGTAATGTATCAACAAAGACGATTCAAGTGTACTAGATCCTCTAAAGCCTAAAAAAATAAAATTTTACTTTTTAATCCGAAAAAATGGATATTTTTTTAAACATTGAACACGCCCATTGGAAAATTTGATAACATTTACGGTTAATAAGTCGGTCGTTTATACAAATTGTACACGGGATATTGATAGCCGACGAGGTTATCAAAAAATTATTATTGTATGAATATATGATTAGGCAGTTTATATTTAAAATTGATTTTTGGAAGTCCTATTTTCGTTTGCGAGTGAATAAGAGTTTGATATAATTAGGTTGCGGATTTAAATGCTCTAAAAAACAAGAAATTTGCACTTGTGTAAAAAAGAAGTTAAAAAATGTTTTTAAAAACTATTTTAAACATAGAAAAAAAACTTTTTTTATTATTTATATATACATTTACTAAACACAAAAGCGCAAATAGCGCAATATACGACTGCACTAAAACTGGATAAATAGCTTATCGTTTTCTATATTGCAGCCGATATCACATTTATCTAGTGAAATAGGTAAATCTATAATATTACATTTTTAAAATGGAGACATGAATATTTTTTTTTTTTTTGGGAGGAAATTAAAATATATTTTATCAAATTTTTCAATAATTCTATGAAGGTTGCAAAAAAAAGAAAAGTTTTCGCTTTAAAAACTTAAAAAGTTCTAAAAAATACAAAATAAAAGTTTAATATTTTAACTATTTGATGAATGAAACGAATTTTATGCTTGGAAAGCATTGCTTTAGGATATTCAGAAAAAAAAATTGAATTTGCATTATATTTCCCACCATAGATATAATATTATTATAATAAGACAGCGGTAATGCCACTGCTCCGTTGACGACAACCGTCTCTTATTAACAGTCGCGCTTCCATTAATCGAATTACATTAAATTTTCGTCCACTTGATGAATTGAGAACAGGAAATCCTAATACTGCAAACGCCCAACCGAGAAAATAAACCGTTTCGCCTTTCAACACGATAATAATATCGTGTATACAAAACATATTTCAAGTAAAGTATCACCGGGTGGAATTTCCTTATCTTTTAAGGTATGTACCGAGTGAAAAAATCAAACCATTTTTACTATACAAAAGAGAGTTTTTTTAAGAAGAGTAACATTTTTAATAAACTTTGCTATACACACTCGAAATTTTATACGTAAAATGAAAATTTAGTCTGTAGATCTGTACTTATGTTTGTCTTGTCTATTCGTCTGCCCGTTACAAAAATCTATTCCGATATTGATACAACTTTGCACAATTGACATTCAAAATAAGAAGAAGGTCGCTGTTTACTTTTTGTCTCGGAATTTACTTCCTTAAGGGTAGCTCAAACTTAACTCAAACTGTAACCAAAAAGTTAAATGCATTAAGATCTTGTAAATTGGTCCAACGATGGTTACCCCGTTTTAATGGCATAGCTTAATTTAAGAGTTCTATCTCACTTAACGCGTTCCTTTCCTACCTTTGTGGTAGCCTTTATGGCGTTGCCCTTCTTATTTATGTAGGTTATACACTATAGGTAATATATATATTAATGTTCATATTACAACTTTTTTTTTAAAATCACTATTTTTTAAGTTACTAATTGTATTATCCGGTATATCCTGTGTTTAATCTTTTCAAAAACAGAAATAAATTCAATAAATTAAATTTAACGTGTCTCTGCGTTTCCAACCTTATCCCTTCAAAGTAAAGTTAATTATTGTTGCCGATAATTTATTTTTTAGCAAGGGTATTTTCTTGCCTGTAATAACCAAACGAAATAATAAAAAAAGTTGAGATAATGGGGAAGGGTGCAGCTACTAGTGTAGGTATAAAGTTGGGAAGGTAGGATACAGACAAGAATTTAATGTATATCTGTTAGCAACGATAAATCATTACTAACGAAAAAACGATTACACGCGTTTAATGCTATAGGTCTAATTAAANCTATCAATCTTTCTCTTATTTCTTCCTGACTATTTGCGTTTTCATTCACCCAAGTTCCTAGGTATTTGAAATGTTCTACTCTTTCAAATGAGAAACCTTCTATTTCTAATTGTCTTGCCTTTGATGTTTTCTGGATAGTATTAGGTATTTTGTTTTATCTCCATTTATGTTACGACCTATTTCTTTCCCTGCCCTTATTAGCTCTTTTGTGGATTGTTTCAGACTCTCCTATATAGTAAAATATATAGTCAATATAGTAAATATTAAATTGGTACCAATTCTAAGAGTCTATTACACTTTAGTACTGACTAATGTCACGGGCACAGTCACGAAAGAACGGTAATAGGTGTCTATGAATAGTGAAAACATTTATTTTGGTAGGTAAGTAAATACATTTTTTCTAGAACTAATAAATAAAATTAACTATATTTTAAATAAATCTTGATGTATAAAGATGTTATTAGTTTAGGGTTAGGAGTGTGGGGGACTTTCCCCCCGTTGCTTATACTGACATTAAAAGTATTTTGCACCTAGTAAGATTCTTCTCCGTGGGCGTCCCTGTAGTTGAACCGTAATATATTACGATAGAAACTAAATGTTACTTCAATGGTCGAGCCTCGGTTTTAAATTAATTGTGGTCAAATTGATAATTTGATAAATCTAACTGTTCATTGATATTTATCAGTTTACTATTTTTATCTCCGCCAAATCCATCCATTCTAAAGCTATACTTTTTCAACTGAATGCATAATACGTTAGGCGTTTTTTCAATGGAGCATTTTTTTCGAGCAGCAACTGGCCGTCGACATCTCTCACATATATACGATTCGTCTAATATTTCTTTTTTGAAGTAATTGTCTAAAGCGGTATTATTAAAGCGGTAAGATCTCATAAGATCTTAAGATCTCTTAATATCTTAAGATATTGAGAAATGTAATCGATGTATGCCCACATTTAACACATTTTACCTCATTTCTGATATAACCGCCAATTTTAATATTTGGTTAATCGGTGTTATTTGTTTAGAATAGTTATCTGAAGATTTGGTAACGTGTCCGGATAAGTACCGGATAAGTAGCACCGTTTTATACTATTAGCGAAATAACGGGGGAACTCATGGCCATCCTCTTGACGGTTCATCGACAAATTTACATATTAAAGATAAGTTATCGGTGATAATTGACGTTTTAAAGCTCGATCCAGTACGTTTTTGAGATAATAAAAATATATTGCTTACAGATAATACAAATCTTTTGACCTTTATTTTTTTGTTTACAAGTTTCTCGGTGTTATTTATCGTTCACTAACCAATTGATAAATGCTGGAATATGAATTAACGCTTGCAACGTAGAATTTATGTAACATATTACTTCCGAATTATTTAAAATAGCTGTGATATTTTTGTCTTGCCATCCGAGATGTACACATTTCGGAAAAAACAATATAATTTTTGGTTTAGGTAAATAAGTTATTTTAATTAAATCACAATTAAGTCTTTCATTTTGTATAATCATATCTTTTTTTACTACAAACACTTTGCAGTCACAAAACAATTATCTTTCATTTCGGATAATATGGATAGTTTATGTTCTAATAATTCAAATTCCACATTTTTTCTTAAAATATTCCTCTTTGGTGTATATAAATAATTAGAATAGTAATCGACCATAGTTTTATAATGAGTTTCATACTCAGTAACATTACTAGAGAGTAAATCGAAAGAGTTAAAACCTACTTCATTACTGGCGGCAATCATTATAAGTCCAAGTCACAATTTGCTTAATTGAATTTTGTTGAATCTAGTACAGTAGCAATGTGTTGTATAATCGGTATGTCATGCAAACATATAAAACTATTAAAGCAAAAATAGTAAATAAACAACTATAAAATGTATTTATTCAGTTACTTATTATTTATTTAATAAGTTACAGAACTCACTCAGTAAACAAAATATTTTCATAATATGAACAAAATAATTTTAGGAAAATTACAGTTGTAAAAATATTTTCGATTATTGTTAAACAATGGTGCAAATGTTGTCGAAATATTTGTTGCTCAAATAGTTTATGTTTGGAGAATAACATTCATCAAACATTTTAATCTTATATTTCTAAAACGTTTAATTTTTATATTTTCTTGGAAACATTATACAAATATTTAGAAAACGTATAAAAATATAAACATGCATGTATGATATGTATAAACATATTTGTATGCATGCAAATATAAAATATATTTATAGTATTTATATTATATAATATTATAAGTTGAAAGTGATAAAAGACGATTGAAATAGAAACAGTTAAAATAAAATACAAAATAGCAAATGGAGAATCAAAGAACCAAATTATTAATTTACGTTTGAATGGTTAGTTAGACGTGGCATTCTATGAATGGGACGGTTGGGAAGGAGGAGATAATAGGAATTTTGAGTTGATTATGAATAAAAGGACATTCATGAGGAGGATACTGAATTTTCAGCATGAATGAGTCATAAGACAAAAGTTTATTCTGGGCACGTTTTAACCATACTTAACCCTTTGTCAGATATGAATACCAGACTACCCTACTGCACTATGAAAATTGTAATGAACTAAGGCTAAATAGAGTATACGGAGGCAGATAAGTATAAGTCCCGATATTACACTTGAAAACTAACCTTTAGGACTTTACCAACAGTAACATCGATGTGCTGTTCATAGTTATTAAGGGTAGCGGCGAAGCGGGGAAACGAAAATAAAGAAGGGCAACGCCGGGCGGAACAACTATAATATCATAATAATAATAGTGTTATAAGTTATGGTTTCCTGAAGCTTTTGTGTGTATGTGTGTAAATTTTCAAGGTGTCGTCGAGTGTTTATTTGACGTTGATAGATAAAAATAAAAAATATCGAACACCATATAATGGTGCTCTTACTATATTCTTACTAAACGCCTGTCAATAATTTAACTGTCGTATTTCAAATAGTCAAGTGTTTTAAATAATTAAAAAAAAAAAAAAAATACTAATGATGAAAAAGAAAAGGTGGGTAGTCATCGTTGAGCTTTTAATTGAATTTTTTTTTGTATTTTCGCTGTTTTCGAATTATATTCCATAGCATATATCGACCATTTCATTTTATGTACCTGTATGAATTATAAATTTCCCGGTATGCGGCAGATCCAGAATTTATGGAACGTGTGCGGCATATTCACCGTCGATCTGTCCTACAAAAAATTTCAATGCATATGGTCCGTACTATTGATGGCCACGTGTGTGTATAATTTTTCCGTCGCCACGCAAATCTTGTGCAAAATGGACCAATGGTGTACGATTTTCTCGACGCCTATGGTGGCTATGTACGACTGGGTATTAGCGTGCACGACTCTGCTGTCCAGAATCACCATTATGGTTCAGTCTAAACGTAATTTCGTCAAGTACAAAGCGACCGTCAAAGCTTTCGAGGTATATTCACCGACGTCGCCCGCACAACTGAAGAACTACGAACTGTTTTCGCTTTCGGTAGTCCTCCTATGCCTGACAGTAATTCTACCGGCAAACGTCACCAGGCTGTATTACTTGTATTACTACGAGACCCGCAAAGACCGTGCGTTGGTAATCTACTACATATTCTTGTACATGCAAAATCTGAGCATGTGTTGCGTAGAGACCCAATTCGTCTCTCAGTGTTTCGCGGTGTACACCAAGTTCCGGGAAATAAACGGTGATTTAAAAGAACTGAAGGACGAAAACAACGTGGGACGCGGTAAATACCCGTTCACCATGGCGGTCGTGTCAGAGACGCCACCGCGGGCAAAAGTCGTAGGCAAGGGGGTCGCCTGCACCTCCTTGCAGGGGCACGTCTGCGGATACGATATGGGTTTTTATAAGTCGTGGTTCAATGGTCATCCGATGGCCAATGCGGTGGAATTACTCAGAATCAGACACTGGCTGATACGCCACGCCGTCGAAACGCTAAACGGTTTTTTCGGGATCCACATGGGACTTTCTGTGTTCGTGCTCTGTGTAATGGCCCTATTAGATATTTATTACGAGATATTTCACGATTCTCCGTCCAAATTATTGGTGTTCGGTTGGTTACTGCAATACTCTTTGAGAATTTTCATGATTATCCTGGTAGCACATTGTACAACGAAACAGGTAAGGCGATAATCCGTAGAGTTTAAATAATACATAATTCTATGTTTATTTATTTTATTTGTAAAATCTATAAGCCGGTGGTGTATTTACAACTTTTTAGGGTTGAGGCGAGTCCATAATTTATAAATAGTTAACGGATTTTAATTTAATAAAAAGTAAAAATATTTAAATATACTGTTATAATTTAAAACAACGCTTTTAATTTTTTTTAAAGCTATTCGAACAATATAAAACAACTGATAGTCATGTACCCCACCGAGTGATAATAGGCTCAGGAAGTAGAATTAAATTTGAGTACATATCTTTAAAAATGTCTAGTTGACTTAGTCATTTAAAAAAAATATTTAAAAATATTTTTGCAAAAAATATTTAAAAATATTTTTGCAAAAAATCTTTAAATGCAGAATTTTTCAATTTAAAAAGTGGGATGTCTAGACGTATTAAAGCACGGTAAGAATCACCATTAAAAAAAAATTAGTGGATTTAGACACAGTAGAAATAAAATTTTGTTAAAATTTAAATTTTCTGCTTCTATTGTCTTTATGTGTACCGGTAATGATATGCTAAATAACTAGACCACGATGGTCAATAGATATTGATTTTTCACAAGATCCACAGTAAAAAACTTGTCTATCACTTCCACAAGTTCCATTCGGAAATTTTTGCAAATGAAGACTTTTGATTTTTTAGATGCATGTGATTTTGGGTGTATCTAAATTATCAAAATTATCAAACATGTAATAATATAAAATTTCACTAACGGATAAAAAATACACAAACGGACACGACATGAAAATAACGTGATCGGAGGGTGAACGCGTTTGTACAACTGAGCACTAAAATTTTTATCAGGATAATTATGGAATCGTCGTTTGATGTCAAAAAATATACAGACCTCATCTTATCATGCTATACAACGTAAAATACCTACTAAAATAAACATGAAAATTCTGCAATAATATAAAACATATTATAAATTTATTTGTAAAATATTTAAAAACACTTAAAAAAATTTTAGCGCTGACTTATTCAAAATATAATGAAACGTACGATAAAGACTTTATCGTAAAAATACCTCGACTATATTCGCATATTCGCACTTAATATTTAGCCACAGCTTGGAAACCCAATAGCATCAACAATACGACCATAACATATAATTTTCTATACTTATTACTTAATTATGCTGTAGGAATATTTATCTGTTTTAATTTTTTTTCTTTTTGGTTCTGTGGGAGGGAATCAGGGATACTGGACCACCCGTCCGCTGTAAATATACCACTGCTACCATCTAATATCTAAATTTCAGGCAATGAAAACAAAATCGTTAATTGCACTCACGGATAACCAAACGTTGGATAACAATACAAAAGAAGAGGTGAGACCACGACTATTTTCAAGTATCAATAATAATTTGATAATAAATGATAATTCGTATTGTGTATATATATGTATACAGAGTGATCAATCCTCTTACAGAGGAAACTTGTTATTTTGGAAACTATTACCTTTTTCGGATTTTAATTTTTTTTTTGACAATTACAGAAACCAATACCTAGTTCTAAAATGTTATACATCACTGTTATTTTTGTCACCCTTTCATCTGGGGATGAAACCATTACCCAGTTTTGATTTCCAAATAGCAACCTGTAAAATTAATAAAATTTCATAAAAAGACAAAGTTTTAGGTTAATTACATTTGACGATATATAAAACTTTTAATTGAAGAGAGGTCGAACACTGTTCAAACGCCATGGATCGTACCGCAAAATGATGCTCCATTACTTTTCATCTATACAAACTTAAAATTGAAATATCCCATCAACTAGTTGACGGAAGTTAAAAATGAATCGAAACTTAAACTTCGTTTATTGGTGGAATTTTTATTAAAGGTTTCCATTTTAAAATCAAAATTGGGTAATGGTTTCACCCTCGAAAAATAACGGAAATGCAACATTTTAGAGCAAATTGCTTCTTAGGTTGTTAAAAAAAATGGAAAAGAATCACGAAGAAGGTGAATACTTTTTGAGATAATGAGTGTCTTATTGAAAATTGGTCACTCTGTATACTGAATATTTTGTATTATATGATTTTAGTTGCGGTTGTTTTTAAATCAGATTGACAGTTCCTCGATTGAATTTACTGTATACGATTTTTTTACACTGAATACACAAGTTATAAAATCGGTAGGTTATACACTATAGGTAATATATATATTAATGTTCATATTACAACTTTTTTTTAAAATCACTATTTTTTAAGCTACTAATTGTATTATCCGGTATATCCTGTGTTTAATCTTTTCAAAAACAGAAATAAATTCAATAAATTAAATTTAACGTGTCTCTGCGTTTCCAACCTTATCCCTTCAAAGTAAAGTTAATTATTGTTACCGATAATTTATCTTTTAGCAAGGGTATTTTCTTGTCTGTAATAACCAAACGAAATAATAAAAAAAGTTGAGATAATGGGGAAGGGTGCAGCTACTAGTGTAGGTATAAAGTTGGGAAGGTAGGATACAGACGAGAATTTAATGTATATCTATTAGCAACGATAAACCATTACTAACAAAATAACGATTCTGAGCGGAGTTCAATGGTAGTGATGCTTTATCAACAATATATATGCCATATTATAGTAAAAAAATTAAATAGGCTCTATATATTTTCTTTAATAATATTTGTTTAATGTTGTACCTATTTTCCTAGTTTTCCTACGTTTTTCCGGGTTTTCCCATGTTTTCCTTTCTGAAAAGGTGCTACAATCCGAGCAAGTCTTCTGATAGAAAAGTTGTTTACAAATTAAAAAAAAATCTTTGTAAATCCATAAACTTCTTCGCTCCACTCAGAATCTAAAACTGGTTTTATTTTCATTTAGGTAACTTATAAATAAATAAAAGAAATAGATTTTAACGGTTTTACGATTGGAAATTGAAATTTCGTACCAGAAAATCAGAAGCCGTTAAAATAATATAACCGTACGATTTGGTTTTGTCAACCTTATCACCCGACTATTTTCTATAACACGCTACCTATATATACATTCATATAATACGAATATATATTCCTGTATATACATTCAAGTTTCACTACAGAGCGTATTTATGAATCTAGAATACAAATTTACGAGTTACCGCTACATAATATTATAGTATGTTTATAATAATTTACATATATTAAAACTAAAAATTGATCTACTTGGTGTGTCATTTACATATAATATTTTATTGTTATGCAGGCTATTGCTGCTGGTACAACATATTTAGTTATTTTAATGGAACTTCACACTTATAATAAACAATGAAACTATATTTTACAACCTGCGACATCAGGTACGTCAGTTTTAAATGTACCTATATATAAAACAAATTTATAATTTTTAATCTACAATCAAAATAGTATATACTTGTAATTATTAATATATAATCATAATGTATTATATTTAATTCGATGTAAGTATTTAAATTATTTATTTTAATACATTATGATATTAGATGCTATATTATAAACTTAATAATCAAAATCAAAAGAATATCAGAAAGATATAAATGTATATATGTAAATACACCTATATATTCGAGCTGTGTGTTTTTTTTTCTGATCAACCTTGTATATATTTGTATGATTATTTTTAAAAATGCGTGTTCAATAATAATAATACTATTAATAAGGATGAACTATGTTTTCTATAATGTCTACGTTAGTCTTGAACATTTATTACTCAAATTCTCTGTTAGATAACTATATTATTTTTTATTTAAAAACGGCGATAAAAGCCGTAAATCACACGATTTCAGGGTTATATCAGTGGTTGTTGCACAAAAAGGACGGTGCGGCGAAATTAATTATAGACTTTAGTATAGAAATAAATATAGATCACAGTTATTGGAAGTAAGTTAAAATATTAAACAGCTGTTACTTTATACGATTATCTATAAAAATAAATCTATTGAACAATATTTGTCACTCGGCCATATTTAAGCTAGGACTGTTGACAAAAATCCAAAATGAAAACAACATTATATTTTATAATCATTTCTGGACAGTCTTTATATACCTACAAGTCAAAACTAAATAAAATAATAAAAGTTGGTCCCATTATTCGGGGGGAGGGGGAGGGGGAATCAGAGAGGGGTAGTATTATTCATTTTAATTAGGTACCTACTGTTTTTATAGATAGTTATAAAATTATATAATACACCAAAATAACCAATAATACAATTTATTTCGGGAAGAGGGCAGCGCGTTCCCCGCAGACTACGACATTAGTGCTTGGAAAGTTCTTTTTAAAAATATGAGAATGTTCATCTCCTTAAAATGGAACTTATTCCAAACTTGTTCTAGAATTTAAGAAAGAAACTAGCTCCTATCTCGTCCCTAACAAAGGAACATTTTCCATTCTTTAAATAGAAATAATACAAATCATTAAACTGTACAAATATATACATTTTTAAATTAATTTGGGTAGGTACTTGTTATTCTATAGTTGGAATTAAGAATATGTTGTTATACATACATGATGAAAAAAAAAAATAAAAAAAAAAAGTAGCTGATATTGGGTACGTATGCGGCCATTGTTGTAGTTGGATAGTGGGAAAGGCGGGATACATAAAGTTATTTAATTTATATCGGTAACCAACGATAAACCATTGATAAAGAAAAACGATTTGAAGTGAAGACCGGCTATACATGTTTTGAAAATTGTAAATATTTACGATTTTTGTCAAAATTTGATTTTATAATACTCTTATAAAAAAAAACTGCATTCAACTAAATGTTTTTTTTCATTTGCCACGAAGTATGACTTAAAATGAACCTCCCATCAAATTTTCAAGCATTTCTTTTAAATCTAATAATTTATCTACAGTTCTACAGAGTACTTATCAAATAAAAATTAATTATTAGCTATAATATAATATTATTAGCACAAAAATTGCTCGAGTGTTTTGAAAAATTTACCACGTTAAGAAAAGCAAATATAAATTTCTGTATAAATAAGTCTTTACGAATATGTTGAACTAAATTACAACAAAAAACAAAATTGAAAATAATTAAGTCATTATTTTCGTATTTTGGTAATTTGGAAAAACTAAACGATTAAAAAACGATTAATATTTACGAATGTTTTCTACCAGAAATTTTGCTCCAAAATGTTTTGTTGAATTTTTAATCTAGTCGATAATCAAGAAAGCTATTTTTTTTTTTTTACGTATTTTTCGGCTTTGTTCAATTATTAAAAATCTACAAAAAATAAAAAAATTCAAAAAATAGCTTTCTTGATTATCGACTAGATTAAAAATTCAACAAAACATTTTGGAGCAACATTTCTGGTAGAAAACATTATTTGCATGAATAAAAATATAATTAAATCGGGACGCCATGTTGCCGTAAATATTAATTGTTTTTTAATCGTTTAGTTTTTCCAAATTACCACTTTAGATATCAAAAAACTATTTTCTACGGTAGAGGCTATATGTTAAAAGATACAAAATCGATCACATGTCATTTTTAAATTTAAGCAATATTTTTGGTAAAAAACATTAGTTGTAAAAATTACTAACAATGAAAAACGGTAACGTCGTAGCGTGCCGTAAATATTTGCCGTTTTACGCATAATTTTCTCTCGGGTTTTTTCCAATTATTTTGAAAATTCTTAGAAAAATAAAAAAAAATAATAATCTTTCTAATACATCAACTAGACAAAATCTTCTTTCGAAAATGTGCTGCACTTGATACACCGGAACAAGATTCCTGGTAGAAAAGTTGTCACAGGCCAAAAAAAAAAAAAATTGTTAAACTATTGAATTTCTTGCTATGCTCAAAATCTAAAGTACGTATAATGAGCATCAAAAATATAGCTGTGTTGGGTAATTGTACAATATCGTAAATCGTGATATTTGCCGTTTGAAATTGCACCGGTTGCATACTCTACTGAAACCCCCCCCCTCTCGTAGTGCCACTTACGAACAGTACATAATATTTACATACTAATGTTTTGGATGCTTTGTTACTTGACAGCTTTGTTTGATAGGGACAGCGGTCAGCAACATAATAAAAATACAAATTTATTCATATTGCCCACTATTTGTATTGTCCGTTGATCAGCATTCGGTTGTTGAATCGTACACTTCCTACGGTAAACGATATTTTTAAGCAGCACATTATTTATGACTGTAGGCATTTACGCACATTCATTCTACATCTCGGGAGTGCTAAACAATTTACGTAAGGGTATCACGTGGGGGGCTTTGCCGGATTTTCAATAACGAATCTTTCATTGCCTGATAAATAACCAACAAGGGATAGGTACCTCCTTAAAAATATGGAAACAATTAACATAAACTTACATACGTAATAATATAATAAAAATACTGTATAATATTTATTATTAATATTTTAATAATTTTATATGCTTATAATAAAATTATAAGTAAATACCTAACAAATAGACCTAATAACATTGTAACTTACGGCTAGTGTGTCTTTTAAGTCCGATGTCGTTTACGAGTTTACGACTCATGCAACACGTAACGTAACTTAATCACGAAGCACAGATCTTAAGTCACGAACTCACCATTATAAATTATTGGTAAATCGGATAAATTCAAATGTTGAACTTTATCATATTATCAGTTATTAGATAGTGAGACTCCATAGATAGTAAAGATATTATCACAATCTTATATAATATTATGATGAAATGAACCTAGCCGACTGCCGTGGACATTATTATATTAATCCACCTTGTGTGTGAGTTTCATACAAAAGTTTTATTATATTATCAAATTTTGAGTAAAGCGGATAAACAATAATTAAAAATAATGAAGAGCACGAAGAAGATACGATAGATAATAATTTATAATATTGTAATAATAATCGATATATTATTTGTCTGTACTTGGTAAACCGATTTTTATCGTATCGTATTTCACCCATGGGCATATGTCCATGATTTCACCCGTTCACCGAACAATAGAAACCTTGTTATCGTATATTGTACAATAATTATTATTTACATTATCATTTTTGTACAATAGATATTAAACGTCTGGTTAGACTGGCGTCTTTTTTTTTTAATAATTCAAAAACCCGTTTTGTACAAACACAAGCGGTTTTTACCGTACATAAATTGTGCGGGCGCATTTGGATTGGCGACACTGCACTCATTTAAAGATTGATAAAATAAATAATAATAAATATTGTAAAAATGATAAAATGATACAGTTTTCGTGCAATTTTTTTACTCAATTTAAAAAGTAAATAATGTTTATATTTTTATTTAAAGTTACCTAAATTAATTTGATATGTACTCTTTTCATTAAAATTTATCCTCCTACTTACGAAAATTTATATTATTGATGACGTGTTGTCGTGGTACCACCTGTAAGTATTAATTTGTTTACTTACCGTTTTTTGTAACTTCTTAAATAGGTAATTACAATTTTTTTTGCCTCAGTTTTACAGTATTCAGCTATTAGATAATGGCAAGTGTCAGGGACAGTGACATATCATTATGGTTACACAACAAATTGGGCACGACCAGCGATACATGGATAAGTGGCTCAATATGTACACAACTGACATCCGATGTGTTGCGTAACATAAAAGATTGTTTCCCTGATTTACAAACACAAGTTAAACTCAAATTATTATTATCGTTTTTTCATATTCCACGAAGAAATATAGCAGAAGTAATGACTCATTTCTATTGTATTAGATGTGAACTATTTTTTTTAAAACTGATTATTTGCTTTTAGTGGCGGACAGAACTCGAAGAAATTTTAGAAGTGGCTTGTGTAGATAGCGAACAATGGGTTTCTATGTTAGCTGAAATGATGAAAACATTCCCATCAACTGGTAGTCTTAATGTAACAGAATTTTTTCATAATGAAGATAACAACAGAATATTTAATGATCTGATAACAGATTTAAAAAAAATAGGTGTGCATTATTCGTTGTTTGTTGATTTTATTTGCAAACCAAGAATCTATTAATATAAATTTGGATTTTATGTTTCTATAGTTAGAAAAAATATGGATTATACAATGTTGCCTTTAGAATGTCTTTATTTGAACAAAAGTGCTTTAGTTAATGTAGTCGGTCCACCGGTAAGTAAATATTAAAACAAACACATAGCACATAATTATAATTAATTCAATGTTAATATCGAATAAAGGATTAATTAATCTGTAAATTATCAATTACTAAACATAATGTGGATTTATTAGATAGCTATGCCTATCAACCATAAATTAACTTGATTTAACCTAATGTAATACGTATAACATTTTATCAAAAGGTTAAAAATCAATTTCCTTTTAGTACTTTTTAAATTATTATTATTTGTCATTCTTAATCAATGTTTTCGAGTTTAACATTTTATGGTTAATTATGATTTTTTATTGTATTTGTTGTAATTCTTTACTTTATGTTAACTATTTGTCAAAATTAGCCATTGTATTAAAAATCAAGGTCACATGATCTAAATATTTTTTTAAAACAATAAATATATGTATAGTTATAATTTTTTATATTATTGTATTTTGTTGGTCAACAGCCTACCGCAGTCAAACATTTCAATTTAAAAAGAAAACCTAAAGCAGCTGCTATCAAAGCCGAACTAATGAATAAAGCTAATGATGCAGCCAATAATATAAAGAAACATGCAGCACCTACAGTTCCAGTACGATCGAGAGGCATGCCTCGTAAAATGACTGATACGAGTATATTAAATTTGTTATTATATATATCATTATTATTATTTTTTAATGTAATAATTCATATAATTATATATATACTTTTTGTAGCGCCTTTAAAAGGTATACCAAGCCGCTCGTTACCTAGTGGTGGATTCCGTTCTAATCCGATAAATAGCACTATGACTACTCCCGCGAGACCTGGTGTTCGTAAAGACTGTGGTATTAAAATATTAGAAATTACTGAACAACCTATTGGTTACGCTCAAGCAAAAAAACGCAAGAAGGCTGGTAAGTTATTTTTTGTTAATCAAATTTTGTTAAAAAATAATAATTTACATTTAACCTTTAGAAATGGAAGAAAACAAACGTCTTTTGGAAGCCAATAATGTATCGACTTCTGGAACTACTTGTCAACCAAATTCTAAAACCGAAGTCACATCTACCACTCCAGATTATGCTGCTGGTTTAGCCCCATTAAACCCACCGACTCCAGCACCATCTACACCACAACATGTACCTAGTTATGTAGCACCTTCTACGCCTTTACCAACAGAACCAGTAAAAGAAGAGCCTGCAAGTATGTGTGATTATAATAGTGACTTCTTTTTAACGCCATTAAAACACATATTCCTTTTAATACATAGATAAAAATATATAAGACTTCTAAAAATTGAATAGTTAAATTCACAATTAACTAGTATTTATGTGTATTTTTCAAATATTACTTAATCTTTAAAAAAGAAAATCATAATAATTATAATTCTTTTTATTTCCAAAATCCGTTAAATGAAACATAAAAGTAGTTAAAATAATAATAAATATTAACATTAAGTCAATACTGACATTAGTATTTTTATTTTGTGTGATATTTACAATGCGTATAAACAACACTAACTTTGGCTCATTTATTTAAAATAATTATTTTGTCATATTTATTAATTTATTTTGTTTTAATTCTTTATAAAATAATATAAAAGTTATAAAAAATAAATAATAAAATAAAAATAGTTAAAAAAAAATGAGTTGTATAATATTTTCTGTTTGGTTTAAATGTCTTTCAAAAATACACATGATGTAATGTTATTATATGGTTAATATATAGCTAAGTACATGTTATCATTATAGTTCCTTGTAGTAGTAGAGGAGGGGAAAATCAGCTTAATGTATCAGATAGTTTTTCATTATATAGATTCGATAGGTAGTACATACTCTGTTTTTTTTATCTAAACTAACATTTATTTCTAAAAACCTTAAAATTGCCGCGTATATATTTTTGTATTTTAGTATAATAATGTAAATAAATTTAAGAGGGGTGTTCGAATTCCTTGGAACTCCTCAGATATAACTTAGATAAATTTCAAAATATTTCTTATGACTGTTAGGGACACTGTACATATGATTAACATTATTAAAAAAGACCTCTAATTATTACATGATATTAAATTATTCAGATCTTATATAGTGATTATTTTTTTTTTCTTTTGCAAAATAACTTGATAAGTACAATTTGCCAAGATAAATTAAATTGTTAAAATTTGTTTTTGCCTTGTTTCATTTTTAAAAAAAAATTATTATTATATTTTTAATATAACTTTATAAGGTTAGGTTAGATTAGTACTAATAGAACTAATAGTACTTATTATCATTATATTAAATTTCCATTATAGTATATACTATATGTTTCATATAGTTCAATATTTTATAGTTGGCAGAGAAATCCCATTTTTTACCATTTATTAAAAAAATAAAACGTCAACTTATCAACTTGTTTAATACATAAACGAAAGTTTTTTTCTAAATCATCAAATTTAAATTCTAAATATTTAAAATAAGTATATTTAACATTTAAATAAAATATTACATTTTCAATTTACTTGTAGCTGTTTCAAGTGCTACACCACTTGCCGAAGAATCACCACCTGCTGCAGTCGCTTCAAAAGTCATTCATGTAAGTAATCAATATTTTCATTAAATTTGATCGCTTATATTGCACTTCATTGAGGAATGTTTATTTTTAACTATATTATATTTTTTTTTTATCTTAGTCACCAATAGTGCAAATGCAAGTTCGTCCACAAACGGCCCAAGTTGGTGTATCTACAACAACTGCAAATACTACTCCAATACAGCTTTCTCTAACGGTATGCCCCAATTATATTAAATGAAAATTAATTTTATTTGTTAAATTTTTAAATAGGTATTTATTTTTATATATTTTTTATTACTACAGAGGAGCCAAATGAAAGAAGCGCATGATATGTTTAGAAATTCCAATAAAGTAACTCGTCCAGAGAAAGCTCTAATATTAGGTTTTATGGCCGGGAGTCGAGGTAATTTAACTCATGTCATTAAAGTTTCTAATATTATGTTTTTTCAATTAATTTTAATATATTTTTAGACAATCCATGTCCTCAATTGGGTAGCCTAGTAACAGTAAAATTAAGTGAAGATCATGAGACTGTACTACAGAATGACCACACCTTAGTAAACATGTTAGTTGAAACTCATTTCCAAATGAATTATAATACAGGCGAATGGAAAAGAATAAAGAAATATATCGAGTTAGATCAAACAAGTATGCCAGTAGCCAGTAGTCAACTCGCTGCATTGGCAGCAGCTGCCACTGCATTACAAAATCAATCTTAATGACCTCAAATCATTATTTTAGCTGCTTAAATGTAAAAAAAAAAAACAACTTTCCATTGTACAAAAAAAAAAAAAATAATAATAATGAAAAAAAAGACTTATGCATCAGTAAGTTACACATAATGTTTTTTATTGAATGAGATGAACATTTTTTTTATATATAACAATCCTAAAATCTACAAACGAATAAAAACATTACAAGACTAATGAACGTTACATAAATAAATTACATTTTAAACTTTTTACATTTTAAACTATTGTATAACTTTCCAACAACATATTGCTCTTTGATCATCTGGAGCTTCATCAAATATTTTTCTTCCATCAGGTGTCACATATTTGTTAATCTGGTAATCGTGAAGTATTTTATAACCGAACACGTTTGCTCCGAGTTGCTAAAACAAAGAAGCATTTATATATAATATATATTTTTATTATAAATGTACCTAATGCTGTTCTAAAAATTGAATTGTGTATGCAATCTTATTGAACAATATTATTACTTGCCTTAGCATATGATTTTGCATTTTGCAATGGCAATAGTATTGTTTTGTGTTATACATTATGTGATCAAGTTAATTAGTATAAAAAATATCTTTAATTGAACTTGCATGATGTTTTCTTAGTTTTAATTTTTTTTCTCACCTGTGTCAGGGGATTTGTATTTGTAGTGAATATGCCTTTGAATTGTTTAGCTTTACCAAGCCGCAAAACTCTTTGTTCCATATACGTTATAACTTCGACATTAGTGGACGTGTCCAGCGATTTGTCTGTACCCATCATAAAACTGTGTAATATACTCCCTTTGCTTTTAGGCAGATGGTCCCTCCTGCGTCGCAGAAAAAAAAAAATGATATATAAATAAATAATTTAAGAATGACGTGAATTACATCTCGTCTTAAATGTGTGAAATTATTGCTATACCTAATTGGACCTTCAAGGTACTCAAGAAATTCAAAAATGACCGACAAACGTCCATTGAACTCTACTTCAGGTTCGTCCAGTGCATCAAAATTTAATGCCGCGCCTAGTAGCTGATCAGATTCTTTGGAGTGCACCACAAAACTATAAAACATACACATACATTCACATGAGGTTTTAGAATTAGGTTCTCACGTTTCCCCATTTACCGTACCTTAAGTCTTTTTCGAGAAGTGGTTCCCACAGCATTTCAAGAATGTCCGTGTAGTCGCTATACGGCACCTTTGGTTTGAGCCAATGTTCCATGTCCGCCTTCTCGTAAAAGCTTTCAGCTATTATCCTGTCAAACAGTTCGGATGATAATATTATTTCAATACACGTTAAGTATATATTCGTCTAAGACAAGAGTGGAATAGATTGACACGCACTTGATCACGTCTTCTTTGTGTTTGGGCTCGAGCATTTGCATCGTATATTTTTCTGATAACCATTGATCGTCATCGAAACACGACGGCCGATTAGCCTTGGACGTTTTGCCGCTGAACCGCATTTTATTAATAACGATGCCGAAATTGGGTGCCGTTATAAAATCGCTGACGGCTACAATACATAAAAATTAAGATATGATACTGCTGATTAATGTGCCATTATTGTTGGTAGGTTTTGAAAGGCAGTTATATTTACGATTTTTGTAAAAATTTGATTTTAAAACTTATAAAAAAAAAAAAATCCTGCATTACACACAATATTAAGTACGGTTTTTAATGAATCTCTTGTCAAATTTTTAACCATTTTTAATTAACAGTTCTATCCTCAAAATACCTATCGAATAAAAATGATGTAAAAACGAATTATTAAAATTAAAATAGAGTTTATAAATAGCTCAAAAAGTTCGATTCTTTACGAATATTTTTAACTGATTTATGAAAAGATAAAATTGAAAATAATAAAAGCATTATTTTCGAAAATGTTCTCGTTCTTTCTACGTATTTTTTGGTTTTGCTCAATTGTTAAAAAAAACCATTAAGAAAATCAAAATAACGATTTTCTTGCTCGCCAAATAGATTAAAAATTAAACCAAAAATATCTCTTGTTTTTCTATTGGAGTACTATTTCTAGTAGAAAACGGAAACGTTACCGTTAAAAATAATGAAATCGTAAACATCGTAAATTTATAAGTTTTCATTTAACATTTTTTAGTCTCCTTAATTATAATTAAAACTAGAAAAAAAAGACTTTCTTCCTCATCAACTTGAGAAAATTTCCTTTCAGGAAATTTCATATACTCGGGGCAAGATTTCTTTTCGAAAAGTTGTTTATGCCAGGGGAAAAAAAGCCCACATCTTAGGGTGCGTGCCAGTTGGACGCTTACGCACTTACAATGCAATCACTCACGATCATGCATGCTTATAAACCGTTCCACTAGCATATAAAACCGTACAATCGCTTTGCTTACGCTCCAAGTGGAACGATAAGATATCATATACGCGTTTACGCCGCACTACCTATTTCATCAGAGCGTTTGTGAGCGTGGAACGATGACGTAGAGCTCAGATCTGGTGACGTCACGGTTAAAGTGTGAGCGTCTAATGTGCCAGGTGGAACACACCGTGAGCGCTTGAAGCGTCCAACCGGAACTCACCCAATGTAAAATCGATAAACCCTCGCTCCTATACGCTCCAAAGACACGCGTCGCGGTGTAATAATACCGTACCTATTGAGTATCCGAAGTCTGCTAGTTTGCTAATAGTATAAATGGCGTTGAGCGAGTGACCGCCGAGGGCGAAAAAATTGGCGGCCACCGAGACGCGCGACCGCAGCGAACTGCCCAGCACGGTGGACACGGTCTCGAACAGACACTTGGCCGCTTCCGTCCGGTCGGCGCTCACGCCCGTCATGTCGACCCGGCACTTCTCCGACGCTGCAACTGCAACGGCGAAAACCGTATTGATATAATTGAAAATTACCGATTTATTATAGACCAACAAAAATAATACACGTTTTCGAGTGCATATTTCGTCGAACCGACGACGTGTTCTTACCGGACGTTTCGGAATACCGGCGTAACAGGGTCTGCCTGTCGATTTTCCCGTTGACGAGGTACGGCATCGTCTCGAGTTCGATAACCTGAACACAAACACGGGGCATTTTGAAAAACACGAGGCCGGGTTACCGGATACCGGTCTGGCGTAGTATACCCATAGGCGTAACTCAGAAGCGGATATCGAGGAGAGGGGAGGGCAATTAGTGGATCGTTTGGATCCTTGGGATTATTGTCATCCATTATGTATATTATTATTTACAACTTCATAATTAAGAATTTATAAAGGTATACGGGAAACTTTTGAAATTTACGATAACCCCCCTCCCCGGAAATGAAGGTCTGAAATAATCACTGAAGGGAATAAATCTCATTATCTCTGTCGATTTGAAAATCGTCCCCCCCCCCTCAGAACTAGGTTATCCGCCACTGGCGTAACTAGGATTTTTAAGTTACTACTGCTTGAGTCTACTGGCGGATCAACCTCCCCTCCCAGGGACCAAGTCCTCCTAGTTACGTCGGTGAGTATACCATGTCAGTTATCGGATTGACGATGCGCACCTGGGGCAGAGAGTATTCCGGTAGGGATTCTTTCAGGCGATCCTCGATGTGCGCCGCCGTCGTTTTAGTCTTGCCGTCGAACACGACGAACGCCAACAGGGTCTGCAATATTATAAATACGTCAGTGATGTGCGAGTTAGGCACGAGGTTAAATTATATTGTTTAGGTTACGTCACTAGCAAAGGTGAATCTAGGAATTAGGTAAGCTGGAATATTAAATTTTTTCTAAACGTATTTGCTGGGCAATTTATGAAACAAACGGCCCCGAAATGTTTTACTATAACTACCGTTACTTCATGTCCCCTTTATTTGCGGTTGAAACCACTAGGTAGATAGGTACCTACTTTTGATTTTCAAACCTGTATTAAAAATTCACGAATTTTTAGTTTCAATACATTTTGATATTGACATTTTTAACTTCCGTCGACCCGTTGACGAAATATTCAACTATTAAGTTTGAGCAGGGGAGAGTAGTGGAGCATCTGTGTGACGACAAACGATTCAACGTTTGAATAGTCAACGGGTTCACGAAATTTCAAAATCTAAATTTAAACGTCATCCATTCGAATTTTTAATACACAGTATAAGTTGAAATTTGAATATCAAAAGTATTTTTACTCCTAAAAATAAGGGTGATAAAAAATAAAGGTAGTAAAACTTTTTAGAGCTGTTATTTCATAAATTGAATAATAATAAAAAAAATAAAAAAAAATATTAATAATTCATATTAAATTGGTACTTTCCGAAATAATCAGTGACTAATTTATTGAAGATTGGCCACTCTGTATATTCCCGAGAACCGGGTGTTTATTATCCATAAAATACGAATACAATTTGTACATTCATATTTACAGAAAATTAAATCAACAAGAATTCTTCGTAAAAGGACATGACCTTTTACGACTTTAACGATTACATTACAAATTCATGTTCAGGTAAATTTATAATTAGGTTTTTGTAAATTGTGGATACATATATTATTAGTCTTCATATTGGTGATCATTAATATGCCAGCATAATTTACGAATAGTCGGTACCTACTTCAATAATTTTATTATAATTTAAACAGAAATTCACCATATAGTCTGCCACGGTATAGGTATGAAAGGTGACCATCAGTACAAAGACCCGGGTCAATAATATTATATTATACGATATATTATTATCTTTTGTCCTAGGTTATTTACGAAATTTATTAAGTTGCGCGTAAGTTATGTATTATATGAATTTGCTCGTGTCTGTCGGTCCACATTATGGCGTTAACCTTTTATAAGGTTATGCATTTTGAAACGGCATTTTCGCAAAACGATTAGCCAAGATCTAAAGAAAGTCCGCATCGATTTTCAGTTCAATCGGCGAAAATCGGGAGCTTACGAAAGCTCCCGGTTTGTATCGGTTTATTTGGAATGCGTCCGAACGTCGTAGGCACGGTAAATACTGTCTTTACGATTATACCTCAGTAACAATAATAATGTTTACTTTTCGCGTCCAAAAGTCGGTGTCAGTGTCTATATTATAATATATTATAGTACTTGTTCAGTTTCGCCGGGCTTGTAGCACAGCACGGCCACCTTGTCGATACCCGAGTCCGACAACCCGAGTACGGACGCTTCCACTTCGGACAAGTCGACCCGATGCCCTCTGACCTTGATTTGCGAGTCGGTCCTGCCTTCGTATAACAGCACGCCATCGACCATTTTACCGTAGTCTCCGGTCTGGTACATCCGGTCCATACCCAGGTCTACGTGAAAACGACGTCACAGTGTATATAAGTACAGAACTGTTATTGGTACAATTATTGGGTTTTAAACTTTCAACTTGGATGAATATAGATAATATTTTCGAGTAGAGAGAAAAGAAACATCACGTGGTTATCAAGTGATTATTATTTGAAGTGCGGAAAAAAAAACACACATGGATTACCTCTGTCGCGGCGTCGACTGTTTTCGATGAATCGGTGCGGGTCTCGGCCATTTACGTAGCCGCTTGCCAAGTTTGCTCCGGCCACGTAAAGCTCACCCAGACTACCGGGTGGCACTGTCTGGCCTTTGTCGTCCAACAGGTACAGAGCGGTGTTGTCCACGGGAACGCCTGCAATTTCCGAATGCAATAATTATTATCGTTATTAAATAATGATAATATAATGTTTCGGAACGCATTCTATTATTCGTATTTCTAAGGTTCGCGCTCGGGTTTGTATTTAGTGAGGGGTGTGTGTCTTCTGAAGATTTTGCTCAAACTCAGAAGTGTTTACCGTTCTGGACCTTTCATTAAAAATAAAGTATAAAATAACAATTTTTAAACATCGGGCTTGTGTTTGGCGGGATCACACTCTGAGTTAGGTCACTAATCTAGGCTAAACTAACATAATCGGTAACGATATAATCTACTCGGTAGGCGCTTACCAATAGGTATTTTGTCGCCAAAACGCAAATCGTCGAACGACTTTATTGCGAAGTATGACACGTCGCCCATGATTTCCGTGCTGCCGTAGAAATTGCACAACGTGAAGTGACTAGGAAATGTATCCAGAAACTGTTTGGCCAACGACATCGGTAGTGGTTCTCCGCTGCAAACCCATAACTTTAAACTGGACAGGATTCCATGTTCGTTGTTCTGAACACCGACAAAACATTTTCGTGGCGATTATTGGTTTTCTTTTCTTTAATATGTTCTCTCAACCGAGAGAAGGAAACTATACTGGTGAAGAAATTCATTGAAAAAAACATTACCTGATTTCTCATGGCGGGCTGTTGTTCGTTATTGTTGGAAATTCCCAAGTATAATAATATGGCACGTAATAATGATGGAACTAACACCAAACGCTCGATCTAAAAATATACGTGATAATTAAAAGGAAAAAATATTACGAGTATAATAGTAATAGTAGAAGTTTTAAGTGTTAAAACCTTGTTTTCATGAAGCATATTTATCAACCGTTCTGGATCTTTAGTGACGGCCTTGGGTACGACCATCAGAGCCCTAGGCGTGTCGTGTAACAACGGGGCCCAGATTTCTGCCACTGAATCCACAAAAGTCAATGACGTCTTGAATACACACGTTCGCTCCGTGTCGCTGTACGGGAACCGATTCCATTGCCAGTTCAATCTGTTGTAAACAACGCAATGCGGAAGTCGCACACCTGTGTAAAATGTAATAATAGGTTAAACATGTATTAGTATATTTAATCAATTGTAGTCGATTAGTTAATCGCCGTTGTTTTGCTTTAAATCTACACGATTACAATCCTCTCACGCGAAAATTATAAATTTAAGTAGGTGGAATATTTCCTTGTAAAAAATCAACTTTTACTGTCAGGGGAAATTTATGAGGCCCCTCCACAGCACCTCTTTGCAAGCATATAGAAAATATTTTAAACGTTTAAAAAACAACACCAATGTCACGAACCTGTTGAACTAACGGCATACAGAGTGATCAACATAATCTGAGACACTGATTATTGTCTCGGAGAGCATTAACTTTATTTGAAATTTGTTTTTAGATCTTTTAAGAAACAAGTATCTCTAAAATATTACATTACTATTTTCTTTGTCACCCTTATTGCATAGGGTGAAACCATTATTATCTACATTTGATTTTAAAATTGCAGCATACTGAAAGTTTCATAAATAGATGAAATATTAGTATGAATAAATTTAGCTATTGAAATTTTTTAATTTCTGTCGACCTGTTAACGAGATATTCCATTTTTAACTTTAAATAGTGTTTCACCATTCTCCACTAATATTATATCGTCAGCGAGTTGACAGAAATCAGAAATTTCAATACCAAACTTTATTTAAACTAATACTTCATCTATTTATGGACATTTTAGTATAGGTAGCCCCATTTTAAAATCAAAAGTAGATAGTGGTTTCACTTCATAAAATAAAGGTGACAAAAAATAATACTAATGTAACATTTAAGAGTTACTTTTTTCTTAAATTATCAAAAAAAAAATTCTGAAAAAATGTATACACTTACCGAGATAATGAGTATCTCACGTTATGTTGATCACCCTATATAGCACAACACTGATATGAACACGAACGAACGAAAACGAAATTTAGCTAACGAAGAGTATGTAACTCTATTCTAAATAGTAGTTTATTTTATTTATTTATACTTTTTTTTTCCTGTGAACATTATGTCGTATCACAGATTACCATAATATCAAACTAAACGAAGTTACAAGCTAACCGAGCAAGTATCAACCTAAATGAGACGAACATCTTTAAAACGTTAAAACATTTCACTTATTATACACTTATTATAACATAATAGGCACAATGATAAAACATAATGAGGGTAGGATTTCGGGCTCAAGCCCGTCAGCTCTCTCCCCTAAAAAATGTCAGATGATATTATATTTTTAAATTAATTGAAAATAGTATTTTATCTGCTTGATGTCATGATAGCCCGTCGTCCGAAAGTATCCAAAAGCTTTATACACACATTGTGTTGATTAATGTTTAAACGTGTCTCAGAGATGTATCAAAACTACAGGAAGTCAGAAATACTCAAGGAATAGTGCAAAAATTTAGTACATGTTTCCGGGATTCAGATAAATAAATTAACATATAAAAAAAAAAAATTAAAATCAAAATTGTTTTTTGGCTTAAACGAATTATGTGGAACAGGGTGTATGGAACGTCACGAGTCAATTTTAATGTTTGTTGGAGGTTTTAATGATATTTTAAGTGCATTGGAAGAATTCATAAAAATAAAATACAAAGTTACTCATTTTATGCATAAATTATTGTGTATTTTTTTTATAATAATTAGAAAAAGTTCTTGGAAACAGCATCATTTATAGTTTCTCAACACTAAAATTAATCTATTTAAGGATCTCAACAAATGAGACGAAGCTAAAACAAATGATCTATATTCATGAATATTTATAGGTAAATCCTGAAATTATGATTAATATGTTTGTCTCAAGAAAAAGAAGACGCTTAGATCTTACGTTATAATCGATTTTTAAAATTTTGTTAATTATGATTACATTTTATATTTAAGTGATTTTATTTTTTTTTTCATCCTATCATTTTTGTATGCGAATTATATAACCTCGTCAGCATTACTGTGCAAACATAATTTATTGTTTGTTTTTAAGAACTGAAGCCCCTCACTCCGAAAAAACTATACAAAAAATATAATTAAATTAAACAATTAAAATACGTAATAAATTAAATGAAACCTAGTTCGTAATCAAAATTAATTACAACACGGATACTAATTATTAATTAAATCTCGGTTTGAATGTATATATATATATATATATTGAATGAGAAATGTAGTAATAATTAATGAATACATTGTTAATACGGCCGATAGATGAACAACCTCAGCGATTTATAATATTATTATATTTGATTGATGAGTCCAGTATAATATTCAACATACGCGACCTTGAAGTCGGTTAACAATGAGGCTTACATGCGTTGTAGAAAAACAGTATTGTATTTTTGTGGAGTTTGGTAATAAAAACCGTGGAAAAAAATGACCAAGTGAAAACGGCTATAAAAAAGTATAGTAAAAGGACAATAATATGACCAAGTACAAAAACGCCAAAGGAAAAAATATTATCCGATGTGTTTCTTAGTTTGAACGACTTTAAAACATAGTTTACACGATATACGCCAATAGCCAGAATAGTAATAAATAATAACAAAAATCAGATCTCTAATTGTCGAACTTTGGCCAATCTGGTTATTACTAAACAGTCATAGTTATAATAATTATAACGAACCGGCCGTCTACGTTTGAAATGATCGACCGATCGTTTTAGAGTATTCTTCAAACTTGTTTCGTACACCCCCCCCCCCTCATAAGAAAAACCTCATTTTGAGTTATAGATTTATTAACGTTCATGTCGATTCAAAATCGACAGCGGAATTTTCTGTCAAATTTCAAACACTCTTGGATGCATATTGGACGTTTACACACACAAAGGGTCTTTTGTTTTTGTTTTTCAACATAAAGCAATTTATATGCATACGTCAATAAGTCAGACAAATTTAGACAAAAAAAAAAAAAAAAAAATATATAATAATACCATCGAAACAAGTTTTAAAATCCGATTCGTTATCTAATTATGATCAAAGAAAAATGTAGACACACTAGACGGTATCTGCATATTATAATATGACTGTTGGTGTTTTCGTTTCGTCTTTGTGTTATCAATGCGCGTGTGCAATATAATTGCGTATGTTCTGTTTTCAAAAGATTGCGTTAATCTATAGACTGACACTATCTAATGTGCAGTATTGGTCTTTTGGTGTACAATCGCTCTGACGTTAAAAAAAAAAAAAAACAACCGGGCATATTGAATACAATTTCTTACAATACTATCGTGTATCGCATTACCGCGCGATTCGTCCGATTGCCAGTATGTACTACGTTTGCCTATACAAGACGCCGTCTGTTAAATCCCGATTGAAAACATTACGTCGCCCCCGAAATCGTGTTTCAATATTCGTTTATCACGTCAATATTTACAAAATTTCACGCCGATAGCTAAGAAGTTATCTTTTGAATAACCAAATTCGCCTACATTTCGAATAACGAATGCCGTACTTGTGCGTAGACGCGACGAACGCGGTTTAACACGGTTAATAATATTAATGATATTTAAAAAGCCGGACGTATTTTTGCAACTACATAGCAACTTCGACCACTTTAGCGGATGAGAAGTTTGAAACGTACGAGAACGTAGGGTAATTATTGAATTACCATATTACCGTCTGCTAAGAAATCCGCGTCTCTGAAAGTTCTACGTGAAAAAATCGAAATCCAAAAAGTGTGCGAAAAAACACACACATTTCAGAATCTAATATGGGCAATTGTCGTACGGGTCAGGGAATATCAATATAGGGTTCTCGAATCGGTATACTTTCATCCGATAACAATGCAGTAACAATATTACTTGGATGCTAACCCCCGTGCACCCGTGGCGGCCACCAGACCAACGAAACCTAACCTGACCTAACCGCAAGGCTCATCGACACCGAGTCTCATGAAATTACAACCGATTAACAACGACGGCCGGTCGGCACGTCCGATGACGAAATGTATACGATGCGATTTAATTTATTTTCGTTAAATCATTACTTTCATTTTACAAACTAACAATTTCGCGATTTATTTTTGATAATGTCGTCATCCAAACGTCTTTGGATATTCTACGGTCTGGTCTGGTTCTGAGTGAGCGTGTAACAAATAATTATTATATAGTTAGGTTATGGTTCGGTCTATAGTTTTAGGTTGCGATCTGTCAGTACCGGCGTCACGGTCGTATAGACAGTCAAATATAATTATGTTGGCCTGCGCTCTCTCGTTGAATTCGCGAGAATATAATTGGAAAACAAAAACAACAAAAAAATGTTGGTAAAACTAACATCTTTTTTGTTGTAGTCAGAATCTAAGAAAAAAAAAATAGTCTAAATAGAAATTAACGATTATATTTCCCCCGGGGTAATTTTTTGGACGACCGGTTTGATTTATTATTATTATCTTTTTAAAAGTACCATGTTTTTAATTTTGCACTTGAAATCTGCCAGATTTGTGAGTATAGGTATAATTTAAAACGTTTACTATTTTATTTTATTTTTTTAAGTCGACGTCCTCGAAGTGTCGAAATACAATCGAAAGGCGGTTCTAAGCAACTGCAGGACGGATTTATTTTTTGTTTTTTTACCTTTGGGCGTTCCCGTGCTGCCGCTCGTGTATATTATTATCGCCGGTCGGCGACCACCGTATCCTGCGAGCGTTTCACGGTCTTCCAGGTTACACGCAGACAGTATAGCCGACTTGCTCTTCAACTGCTTCAGCGTGTACACAATGCTCGATTTGTCGCCGTACACTTCGGCTATACATTGGGCCAGAACACAACACACATCATTAGTTATCGCAAAGTCATAATAATATAATATTAGAAATAGGAATGACAGTTAGAATCGGAACTGCCGAGAGGCAAAACCGATTTTACCGACAACCCGCCTGTCGGCCAAAATAACACTTTCGTTTCTATACCACTTTTGAGAAATTCCGAAATTTATTACCAATATCCATTATTAATTAGTAAAAGTAGAGATTGTACAATGTAGACTATAGTATAATGCTAATGGGTGCACCGCTGTTGTAGATGAGAAGCCGGGAAGATAAACGGACGTATAAAGTTATTTAATTTATATCTGTACGCAACGATATTATAATATGACAACTACACATTATAGTGAAAACAATAAATTGTTCGCTCCGATCAGAATTGCATTTGTGTTTTTGTTAATTCTTATAATATTCTTTAATCAGTAGAAAAAAAAAGAACTGTCGGGATTTTTAAATGTTAGAAATTTGAACGAATGTGATCAGGCTACGAACGAAATCTATCGTTTCGCTAAACAAAGAAATACCATCTCCCACGTATCCCGCGCCCGTCGAACAATATTAACGGGGCGCAAAAACTTAACCTAACCAGACTTTTACAGTAGGCAGTAGCGCACGCAGAATTTTTTTCGGGAGTGGTTTTGTTTATAATAATTTCCTAGAGAGAGGATGGCACACGTTATTGGTACAGTACAACTGTCGTCTATCACTATTACTACTGAATAGATTATTTTTGATGAAATTTTATTTTATTCTATTCTATGGTACACGGTATTATGTTTGTTGAATTTGAAACGCGATTTAAACATGTGCAGTGAAGGAAGACGTTTCAGAGGGGGTCATGTGTCCTTAACCCCCGCCCCTCCTCTGTGTGCGCCACTGTCAGCAGGTTTTAAAGTAAAAATGTGTTTATGTAAAAACCGTATTCGTACATATTTATACCGGTATTACAAATGCTTTTCACGGGTATTTGTATTCGGAATAGGATACGTATTTTAAACACTCACTGTATTTGTATCCGCTCGAAATTCGTACAAATATCTTTTACGAGTACGGTGCACGGGCCGAACATTAAACCTACACCGTAATAATATTATAATGCTCAACGCTCACCGTCGGGCTTGTTGGTGATCATCATACACGGTTTGGCCTCGTCGAGCACGTGCCGGATTCGGTGTGCCGGCGCGTCCGTGTCCACCGGCAAATACGCCGCGCCAGCTTTCCAGATAGCCAGCAAGGCGGCGATAAGCCCGTCGTCCGGCGTCAGCTGCACGGCAACCACGAAATCACCGTCTCCGTTTAATGGGCCCGCGTGCGCGACAATCCCTCTGGCCAGTTGATTGGATTTGGCGTTCAGCTCCGCAAACGACAGACGCGCTGAGGGCTGTCCCAGTACTGAAGAAAAAAAAAATAAAAAACCGAATTTTCGTTTAAATACACTTGACGAACGCGTAATAATATTACAGTACCACCTACATAAAATATTAGCAGGGTTGTGAATTTAATCATAGCGATTTACATATGAGATTTCAATGCGAAATTTCGCATTTAACTATTTTGATGTTAGAGTTTATTCATTCGTACATTTGGACTTTTATTGGTTTTACAATATTTTTTTTTTTTATCTTTAAACAACTTTTCTACCGGAATTTCGCTCCGAATTTTTAAGTTAAAGCAGATATACTTGTATTTCGAATACTTAGATTTTTCACAACATCTAACGAGTGTTCTGTGGTAATATCGATTTTGGTTTTTCAAATAAGAATATTCATAAAAAAATTTCATAAATAGACGGAGTATTATGTTAAAAAACATTTTGGTGTCAACATTTTTGATTTCCATCAACCCGTTAACGAGACATTCCACTATTAAGTTTATGTAGGGGAGATTAGTAGAGTATCATTTGCACGTTGCACGGGTTTTTATTTGTGCTCCACTATTTCCCCCCTACTTAAACTTAAAAGTTAAGTATAAAATTCATTAAAAAACCCGTTGATGAGAATCAAAAATTTGAACACCAATATTTATTTAAAATAATTTATTTAAAGAATTTTCAATATAAGTTTTCATTTGAAAAGCCAATGTTGGTATCATTACCTTACCCTAAACCTTAAAGATTGGGAAAAATCTAAGTATTTAAGATATTAAAATTTATCTAGGTCGCTCAATAAAATATGCACCTAATATCTATCGATGAAAATTGTTCTCGAGTTCTAATTTGAACCGGTGGTGAATCTTGGATTTTGAATCTAAGGGAACTAAATACGATTTTACTCAGCATATGGGTGGAGGTAAGAGGGGAGGGGTTACTATTTCATAATTTATAACCCTGCGAGTAGTGTACAAAAAAAACAGAATTTGATTATCTTTATTATCTTCGTTTTTATCATCGAGTTTTTAAATAATACGAGTACGAGTAGTGTCTACAAATATCAGGCCACCGGGCCGTAATTATACGATCCGTCGAGGCCGTCCGGAAAATTATAATTTCCATTTACCGGCCATTCTGCCCCTGAGCGTTTTGAAAAACAAAAACCAAACACGGTGTTTCGCGCTTACCTTCGTGTATGACGGCCGTGCTGTCCGGATAAGCGTTTTCGTTGCGTTCGAACAACCGGTGCAGCTTGACGTCGCCGTTTATCGTGTAAAACGGTCCTCGGAGGACCGACGTCGCCGGGTAAACGTCCATGGCGGGATCCGGTGCTGAAACGAGACAAACGGATACAGGTGGTGACGGACGTTGTCGAAATAATATATCGGGTGTCTACGGCCGAACCGCGTGCTCCGCCAACGAGAGTCGAGTCTGTGGCGGCGGCGGTCGCGGCGGCGGTGACTTGTTTAATTCGCAATATTGAAATCCGCGGAAAATATCGATTTTCGATCGGCGTTGCGCACGCGGGACAGTAATGATGGCCGAATATTATTATTATTAGTGGTCCGCGGGCTCAGCAGCAATCCGACGGGCATTACTAACGAGAATGGTGTATGATTATTGCGGGGCGCGAGCGTGTGCGGACGGTTTTGTCGACGGCGAGCGATTGGATTTGTCAAATCGGACGGTTTCCGCCGAAACCGCGAAGATTTTACCGGCGGTCGCGCATCGCGTATTGTACGCTCCGTGCGTACGTATTGTTATTGAACAAGCCGGCGGCGGCGAAGAAGGAGTCGTTTACATGGCCAGAGGACTCGGTCTGTATAGTCGGCCGCGGCCGCAGTATATTTAAAACCGGGTGGGTATTTTACGTGTGTACAGTGTTTAATAGCGTTTGTGTGTCATGGCTTTATCTTGTCAATATGCGTATACATTATAATACATTTTTGTTTTTTTTTGTTTTTTTTTCATTTATTTGTGTATTTTTTTCACATTTTTTCGATTATTATTTGATTATTTTATAATAATACATTCACCGACATTATGACGTTGTTATTATTATTGTTACTATGATATTTATTATACTGTTATACCAGCACACGTCTCCTGTAGAATTTCAACCTCGCGTTAAGCGCGCGTGTGCACCGGATCGCGCACACCGTGTGTGTACACGAAAAAGCGGTTTCGTAATAATAAACGTGCATGTGGGAAACTTAAACAGAATTTTGTGATGGATATTTCGCAAAAAAAAAAAAAAAAAAAAAAAACAAAACAAAAAACAAAAAAAAAACACGTCCTAAGGATAATAGGGACGGGTGCAGTCAGTGATATAGCCAATTTGATGTATATTTGTAAGCAGTGATTAACCATTGCTAACGAAAAAACGATTCTGAGCGGAGTTCAGTTGATGGTGTAGTTGCCTTGTCAACAATATATATATATATCATATATCAGGGTAAAATAATCACATAAGCAATATATATTTTCTTTAAAAATATTGTTCAATATTGTACCTATATTTCCGTTTTTTTTAAGGTTTTCTCTTAGTTTTTCCCGGATTTCACTTTTATTGGGAAAACTAGCGAGAAAATCAAAAAAATGACCTCTCTGAGCACCTTCCCAGCCAAACTTCTTTTTAAAAAAATTGCTATCGTTATAATTTGGAGCAAAATTGCTGGTAGAAAAATTGTCTACAGAAAAAAAAGAATAAATATCATTGTAAAACCATAAGATTCTTCGCTCTACTCAGAACCTAAAACAAATAAAAATCAGACATACTTTGCAGCACAACGGGTAGTTAGGCACTATAGGCAGTTTGTAAGGCACGATTTATATTATAAATACACAGTTATTTAACTGTATATTATCTGTACGCAACCGATAAATCATTGTATACATTCGGTCAGCCACCGGCCCACCCATTTCAGTCATGAGGCGATCGCTTCAAACAAACCTACTTCGGCAAAAGCCGTTGGTTCACAGAGGAGAAAAAAAATCCGTCCGCTGTAACAGATAGATGCCGATAAAATTATTTTTGTATCGTAAAAGACCGACAACGCCAAGGTGTCACATCAGAATATCGTACGCGCTTTGTGTATTGTATCCGGATGCCTTCCACCACGCGGTGTATACACGAAAAAAAAAGAATCATCCTATTATTATTATTACCTATGCCGATCGAAGCTATATTGCCTGTCATCGTGTAAAAAAAAAAAAACCCTAACAAAGGCTATCTATCCGATGATCGTTCAATGTACGTACACGACAATTATAATCAAAAGAGACCGCGGCAGTCGATAATAATAATACAAACGCCGTGACTGTGCGAAATCTATAAGTATACGATTCAATAATAAGTCGCTTTGTCCTCCGTCCTTAATAAAATCATCAACGCCACGAGTGTTTTATTATTACTATTATTATTTGTATTAAACATTAACATTCATAGTAAACATTAAAATTCGACCCCGTTGTGAAAAACAAAAAAATAAAAAAAGGACGGATATAATTCGCACGTGGGTGCAGCCACTGTTGTAATTGGGAAAGTAGGATATAAACGGGAATTTAATGTATATCTGTAAGCAAAGATAAACCATTTCTAACGAAAAAAAACAATTCTGAGCGGAGTTCAGTTGACAATGTTGCTTTGTCAACAACACAATATTTGGTGTATATCATATTATGGAAAAATGATTACAACAATGTGCGTTTCCATGACAACAATGATTGTTTAAAAAGATTTAAAATAATAACAAAAAATAAATAAAAACAGTTACGAATGACAACCTTATTTTTAATCTTTTAATCTTTTTTATTCTAAAGATCGAGGTTTTCCACATTATCTCGAACATTAATGAGAATATCAAAAAATGACCTGTCTAAAGTACCACACAGAGAACATTTCCTTTCAGAAAAAGTGCTATACTTAACAATCGAAGTATCCTTTCTAGTAAAATAAGTGTTCACATAAACAAAAAATTAACATCATTGTAAAACCAATACATTCCTCGCTCTAATCAGAATTTAAAAGTCACATTCCCTACACATTCAGTTCGAATATAGAACTTGATGACACTTTTCCAGTAATCTATTATTTAACGCCTTAAGGCAGGAGTCAGGAATTTCCGGGTAAATGAGCCGCAATGGTTAAGATAAAAATAACATTCCTTAGTACAAAAAACAATTAATATATTTTACTAAGCAAATTTCATTGGGAATTGATAGGCATATAATCGAATTTTATGGGCCTGACTTTAGATCTAGAATGTCTAGATATTGATGCACGTTCCAAAGAACCACAGATTGCATATTAAAGAGCCCTAGTTTCCTGACCCCTGCCTTAAGGGAAGGGATACGGCCGTTTTGAATACATTTTAGACTAGTAAGGTGAAATAAATTTCATCCATTATACCACCCGCCCGATTCTCGTCTAAATGCAAATTGTATTTAGTTGGTTTATTAAAGGATATTATTTATTGATTTTCCTCAATTATAAGATAACACCGAAAAACAATGGAAATTTAACGGCAGGAACATGTTTCATGATTTTCGTTCTTTTATTTTTATTTTAGGTCGGTTAAAACCAATCGGTCAAGAGACTTGAAATGTTCATAGAATACTTAAATTCTCCATTAGTAAACGTGGCCAAATATTTAAAACATTTTGTCGATTTTGAGCTATTTTTTGGCATTTGATATTTTCACAATGTAATCGTTTTTCTTATAAGCTTCTAAAAATTCAAATTTTTACGAAAATCATAAAAGTCACGGCATTCCAAAACACGTTTAACCGAATTTCGCTTTGAATTGTACTTCGTTATGAATAATTTATTGTTGCGTACAGATGAATAAAATACCTTTGAGTGTCCTACCTTCACAACTCCCCGCCTACATCGGTCGTACGCCAGTTTTTAAGGTTTTCACGCGAGAATTTTCACTTTAAAAAAAGAAACCCGTAGTTTTTTGTGATCGAAATCTCTCAATATGCATAAAATACGGGAAGTATTGATTTGACAGTTCCACGTGTGATAATGGGGTATGTTTATGGGGTATACAGAAGTATCATCCATACATTAATAAAGAACAATTATGATATTTTTCCGTTAGTTGATATTAGGTTTTTTTTTCTATGAAATCCAAGCGGTTTTAAGTAGATGTAAACAAAACCGATATATTGATATATGTAAAAAAAAGAGACCGGTATCCGATACTGTACGATGTTGAACCGATATCTTGACCGTGTAATGACATATTAAAATATAGGTATGCTGTTTTTTTATTTTATGAAAAGAGATTCGTCGATGTTAGCAATAGAGATCGTAATAATTATTATTAAACATATTATTACGACAAACTAAGAAAAAAAATTGCGGTAAAAATAAATTGTTTCCGATTTATTATCTTTTAATAACGCGTTTGAAAAATAACGTTCGTAAAAAAAAAAAAAAAAATAATAATAAACCGACTCTAATAACGTTTATCGTAATCGTCGAGAAAAAAACGCAGTCAATAATAATAAAAAAAAAAAAAACCTATATACCGCAGAGATAACCGGTGCCGAACTCAGGGTCGGACGAATTTCACCGAGAACCTAAAGTATATATTTCTGTATACAATATGGTATACAGTGTTGTGTTATTAGTATTTTAATGATTCGCCGATACATACGTACCGAGTATTGAATTATAATTTCGCGCGAGTACGTTTAGGGCCGATTTTCCGTTCCTACCGTTTGGATATTTAGCACATCGCGCGTACCCGGAGAGTGAAAGCATAGTATCACATGTACGTGTTTTCCTTTTCTAGCTTATAAACGTCCTTTATAATACACCGCGATATTATGAGGTCCGCGGTCGGTGCTCGTGGCACACATTCAAAAATCGCCGAGCCGCGCAGTCGTTATGAAATACTCACTGGCGATGTCCTTGAACCGCGGTGTAAACCGTCTCACACTCTCGCGACGACATACTCTCCTCCTTACACACGCAGACATAATTATTTGTACACACCGCGTGTGACCGTAAACTCTCGGATTCCGAAAAAAAAAAAAAAAAAAAAATACTGTGCGCACAAAGAGAATTATTTTATTACGATACGTACCTATAATAGCTATTTCGAAATTTGTAATCATTTTTTTTTTTTTTTTTGAGTGCGAACAAATTTTCGACCGTAAGGTTAGTTCCGATCGAGTTTATACTGTCCATAATATATTCGACGCATTGTCGGTTTTTTTTATATTTTTCGCATTTTTCTTAACGAGAAAAAACTAAAACGATGAAAACTACCTCACAATGGGATGGATTTTTAAAATGGCGGAAT